TTGATACAAAATCTTAGAAAATAAAGGCGTAGACGATAGTTATTAACAATTTACAACTCTTTTCCGAAGTATGATGCATTATAATATTTTCTATATTATATTGTATTAATATATTATATTATATTGTATTATATTATACTATATCATATCATATAATATCAAAAGCTAAAGTATGATGTTTATAACTTCTAAACAATGTTATAAAACATGTTTAAAGATATTATTGTCAATTATTAACCACAGCTTGACTGCCATTTAAAACGTTTTATAAGAAAAATACACCCACTATTAAATAACAAAAACGTTTATATTAAACTGTGTTTCGAGAAAAGTGGTTCACTTTATGAATAAGCGTTAATTGATAATGTATTCTTAGAAGAAGTTTTAAGGAAATCTTTTTAATATTTTCCATTAGATGATCAACCTAAATTAAATGAAAAGAACTTTCATATGGATAATAATTTATTTTCTTTCTTTCTTAAGATACGTAAAGTGGTAAAATTTCGCAAAGAAAATTGAACCTTTTCAATTGAAAGCATGGTCAGTTTAAACCAATTGGCTTATGGTCATGTAACAAGAATTGTCCTTAATGGTTGTATCAAAGTTCAAGTAATAAAAGACATAATTTTAAACTTTCAACTACATTACTTGGAGGATGTAGTTTATGTCGAATCAATATGTACCTAAGTAAAAATTTGAATTGCAAAAAAATAAAATAAATAAATAAATAAATAAAAATTAAATAAAAAAATAAATGAATAGATAAAAACTGACATTCCAAGAAATACAAAAGGAAGGGTAATAAAGCCTTAAATATATGTCACCGACATTTCACTACATTAAAATATGTTCATTGTATCTACAAATAAGTCGATTGGTCAAGGAAATGGCTTCCTAGCTTAATGTAGACAACTTTGAAAGGCTTTTCATTATAACAAACAAGTTACAACGGTTAATGACATTTAAAGGGATTGTCGATTGACCTTGCTCATTCACCGATACGTTATATTGCTGTATTTATTCAAGGTTATAAGAATAGAATAATTATTTATTTTAATGAAGATTTTCGTAACATTTTAAGGATTTGGAATTCTTTCTGCCGTGTTTTTGGTTTTGTCAGTCTATTATATAGATTCTACAATTTTCTGTAAAAATTTTTTCTTTGACTTGAATGCATTGCAATAAGTCCTATTCATTATTGTACAGGTAACGCACTAATTCTTGACTGACTGTCTAAATTGTACTTCGGGCAATGGACAGAAAAGCTTTTTTTGCATAAGGATGAAAGACATTCGGTAAATGTACAATTCTACAAAACAGGATAATAGTAATATGGAGTGCAACTTGGATCTGAAGTTCGACAGACTGTGTGTACATGTAGCTTTTGTGTTTCTGATGGTGAATATACAAATAAAGGTCAAGTGTCAATCATTTTATGAATACAAAACATATTAATCAACATATTTGAAGTAATTTAAAAGGAAAATTACAAAAAAATGCTTAATAAATAAATATTAACTTGAGCCTACATACATGGTAAAACATCGATGCAAAAAGCGTCCGCTCGCTCATGTTGCAGTGACCACTATCATAACTTAATTGCAACTACATATATTTACTAGATCTATTTATTATTTTAAAATCATGTATTGTATAGGTGATTCACCACTAAATGAGTCTAGACATTAGCTTTCCGAAATTTATTATGATGCTATTATTTCCTAATTGACTTATCTTTTTCTTTTTGTCTTCTGTAATACACATGCGGATATAATATATGGAAAGGATTCAAACTTTGACAAAACTGATGTGACAAGACAGACCTATTAAATTTATAAAAAGAAAACGTTAAGATTTGTTCAAACATTTCTTTTGTTTGCTTTGAGAAAAAGTAAAAAGTCGAGCGTTGCACCCGCCCGGCGGTTTTTCTCTTGTTATGTTTTGTTGAAACAGTTCCCGCTGTTTTTTTTTAACTGATAATGGTTGTGGCAGGTAGAACACAGCAAGGTAAATTCAAGTACCTTTAATACTATGCTCAAATTTGATTTTTGAAAATATTGATAATTGCTACACTGTCTCTTTGTAAATATAAAATAAACATGTTTTGACTTCACACAAAGAACATATGTTATGTTTAAAATTTAACACACTATATGTGGTCACAATATGAACAAGATTGCATTTGAGAAAAATGCTATGCCACCGCATTAATACAACACTAAATAGTAGTGATGGAACAGATTTTTTTTGTTTCTATACAATTGAAGATTGTCATAATGCATAGACCCCTGACCTATCTAATTCTTATTATCAGATTAGTGGTTAAATCTATTGTTAATCCAATAAAAGATCAGAGTAGGAATATATCAATGCACTTGAGTCTAGTGAATTTGGTGGTGAGGGTCATATTTCACACAGCCTAAATTTCATGACTACATCAAAGGACAACACAGTAAGACACTTTGTCAAAATCTAGGTCAGCTGATATCAAAGTTCACTTTACATCTTAATCTGTGCACATGGTTCTAATTTTATTGCTGTACATCAAAGGACAAGAAAGTAGGTCACTGTCCCCTTGGGCAAGGCATAATTTTGACCCAAGGGTTTAATTCAAAACAATCTTGTTATAGGTCCACCAAACAACATTTCAAGTCAAATATCTAAGTTGTAGCTTTCTCCATTTCAGAATACATTTGTTTTATTTTCTGTTTATACTATGTGTACATAATGAAAATCACTGCCCCCGGGCAGGGCCAATTTTGACACCAGGGGAAAAATGGTAGAGGACCTATATATGATATTATATAGCAAACATAAAAGCTCTATGCCTTGTACCTTCAGACAAAAATATTTTTTTATTTTTTTACTATATGTACATAATGAAAATGAATGACCCCTGGGGCGGAACCCCAGGGCTATAATTTGAACAATCTTGGTAGATGTTCACTTCGCAAAGTTTCATTATATTTAACCTTTAGCCTTTGTCAATTCAGGGAAGAAGATTTTTCAAGTTTTTACTTTATACATATACGGAAAACTGTCGCCTCTGGGGCAGGGCAATTTTAACACTAGGGACATAATTAAAACAATTTTAGTAGAAGACCAATAGATGATATTATGTACCAAATATCAAAGCTCCATGCCTTGTACCTTCAGCCAAGAAGATTTTTTAATTTTTTACTATATGTACATAGTGAAAATCAATGACCCCTGGGGGTGGGGCCAATTTTGACCCCAGGGCTATAATTTGTACAATCTTGCTGGAGGTTCACTACACAATGTTTCATGCAAAATATCTTAACTCTAGCCTTTTTAAATTTAGAGAAGATGATTTTTTAAGTTTTTACTATATACATATAAGGAAAACCTATGGCCCCCGGGGCGGGGCTAATTTTGACACTAGAGGCAAAATTTAAACAACTTTGGTAGATTGCCTATATAGATGATATCATTTCACAAATATTAAAGCTCTAAGCCTTGAACCTTCAGACAATAAGATTTTTTGATTTTTTACTATATGTATATATTGAAAATCAATGACCCCTGGGGCGGGGCAATTATGACCCCAGCGCTCTAATTTGAACAATCTTGCTATAGTTCACTACACAATGTTTCATGCAAAATATCTAACCATTAGCATTTGTCAATTGCTAGAAGAATTATAGTTAAAGTTTTTACTATAAGTTTTTACCATATACATATAAGGAAAACCAATGACCCCCGGGGCGGGGCCGATTTTGTCCCCAGGGCTATAATTTGAAAAATCTGGGTAGAGGTCTACCAGACAGCGCCTTATGCAAAATATCTAAACTCTAGGCCTTTTGGGTATTTACAAGAAACTATTTTAAGTTTTAACTATATGTACATATAGTGAAAATCAATGACCCCCGGGGCGGGGCCGATTTTGATCTAAGGGCTATAATTTGAACAATCTTGGTAAAGGTCTACCAGACAATGTCTTATGCAAAATTTCTAAGCTCTATGCCTTTTGGGCCTTTACAAGAAGGTATTTTAAGTTTTTACTATATGTACATATAGTGAAAATCAATGACCCCCGGGGCGTGGCCGATTTTGACTCCAGGGCTAAAATTTGAACAATCTTGGTACAGGTCTAACAGACAATGCCTTATGCAAAATATCTAAGCTCTAGGCCTTTTGGGTCTTTACATAAAGATTTTTTAAAATTATTTTTATAATTCCTTTTGGTTGCCATGGCAACCAGATTTCTGCATGGAATGAAATTTTTTGAACAAGTTTTGAAGCCCTTCAACCAAAGGATCAATCCTGCCAAGTTTGGTTGAAATTGGACTAGTGGTTTTTCACAAGAAGACTATTTAAGTTCACTATATAATCTTTAGAACACACACACACACACACACACACACACACACACACACGCACCAATGCACACACCAATGCGCGCGCACACACACACACACATGCACAGAGAGGTGGATCGCTATATGCCACCGCATCGCAGATGCTGCGGTGGCATAAAAATATAGTGTCATTTAAAAAGACTGGCATTTTTAAAGAAATAGCCAACTTTACTTGACTTGTAACAGGGAAAGCATCTTCCGATACATAGTTTATTCATTCTGTTATTCAAATTAGACATATTCAGTAAGAATTTCATAGATTTCAATAAATGTCTGTACAAAAAATTTTACTCAAGGATGAGCATAGTATATCTTGTGCATAACAGTATTTAATATTTGTTTGTTCACTGTATATGGTTTGATGTTTACAAGACTTTAACAGATAAACAAGAAGTCAAAAATACTAAAAAATAAGTTTTTTTATTTCAAAAGGTATAATATATCAAAACGTTTACAATGTTATTAAGTATCTAGATTATAAATTTTGAACACAAAAACACATTTTTTTAACAGTTTTTAAACATTTTAAGTCTCAAACTCTTTACTAATACATCAATCTTCCACCTTCCAAACAAAACAAATCACAGCAGATTTACCATTTGAATAGACAACAACAATATGTTCAAATATTTTATCCTTTTATAATCGTTGAATCTTCATATAAACTAAATTAACAAATTCAAAAACAGAAGATTTCTAAAAAATATGGAATAAAATATAATTTTTTGATCTGTATATTCTGTATGCATGTGATGACAGAAACTTGCTGTTGTACAACCTTGCTACCTTTCTTTAAGTCAAACAACTTTTCCAGACAAATCAGCAGTATATTCTTGTATGAACATGTAAAATGTTATTTCAAAATATCAACTTAATCTGTTATGTGAAATTTAACTATTGACATGATTACTATTTACTATTTTCAACATCATCTTTTGTCTTCTCAAACAAGAATGTAGTATGTAAACACAATTTTAACCAAAAAGAAAAAAAACTCAAAATTTTAAACTTCAAATTACATAACAAGTAAAAAATAATCTTCAGTGCTCGATCAATCATGGTGAATACAAGTCATGGGGAAAAATATTTCCTTAAAAATGTATGATAATTCTGCAAAGTTAATATATGTTTAAGCAACAAATAATTTTCAGGCACAAACATATCTTCTTTTACTGAAAAAGTATTAAATCAGAATCCATTTGATTATGGCAAAATGTTTATTCACTTATTGTTTATTCAAGAGAATGTGTTCAAGACAGATGCCTTGAATTTAAACAAAATTTAAACTAAACATGAAATCCCCACCCCCTATTACATACACAAACTTTGGAACAAAACTGATAACATGCAAGTGCCTTGAAAATTGGCTATATATATTTAGGTAAATGAAAATTATATACAATTTATGAAGCTGTTAACATATTTATATCCTTATGTACATGTATAAAGAGTATATATGTACCTGTACTAGATAGTTTTTCTTTGTTAAATATAAAACACTCAACATTTAAAAAAATAAATAAAACCAGTTATTGTGGCTTATAAATTTCCGTGTTATAGTTTAGATTTTTAATACAAATTTACTTTTAAGCATGTACTTGAGATTGAACAAAAAGTTGTTAACTACATGTACATTTTTGTATTTCAACAATACTTGTTAGAAATATAGAATTTGTGTTAGTAAAATTACATTATTAAATCATAGTATAAAATCTCTCTTTAACCACTATAAACATTGATGAGTAATCCAAAACAAATATTTGAAGTCAATGATATTATGCCGTCCAGACGAAGCGCGTCTCCTCGTCCCTCTGACCTAGATCTTCTTCATAAATGCTCTGACGGTATCTATACGGACCGCCATATGCAGCTTCCTCAAAGCTTTGGTCTGGCTTGTATCCAAGCGCTGGAAAACCAATAGAAGGGTACGGAGCTAATGGACGGACCTGGCTGCCATGGTAACCAAAGTGATTATAAGTTCCGTCATATGCTTCATTCTGAATATACTCTGGGTCATGATACTGCTTATGTCTCTTTCTACTTGAAACTGGGTCTCTGAAAATATAAAATAACTCATCATAATTAGATAATGTATATCAGAATACAGATAACTAGGTTTATGCAATCCAGTACTTTATACAATAATTATCACAGTTTACATAAATATATATATCTAAATATTACTCTGCCATATAAAAAATGATTAAATTTGTTCAATTATTATTACTGGACTTTTATTACAGATCTGTAACAATTAAGATGTAAAGTTTAAACAGAATTTCAAGCACATAATGTATGACAATGTCATACCTTGAACATTTCATGAACACTCCCACTATTATCAGGATGATTATCAGTAGAGCCGCGCCTCCACCTATAGCTCCGCCCAAGATTGCTGGCATGTGAGAAGATGGTTCTATAATATATAAATATTAATTTTACATACAAGTTATAATGATATGCAAGAGGATCTTAGCCGTTTTAATGCGCACACCTGGTCAGAGACTTTAACTTCTTAAAATATACTTTCATTTCATGCATAATTTATTAACAGAAGGTAGAAACATTCATCTTTAGCCTTAATAACCTTGTCTCTAGTGCTCAATCTGATATTGGTGTTTGGAGCCTCTATTTTGGGCTCCCATTTCCAACCACATTAAATTTTCTTTTTCATGATCAACTGCCTCTCTTTCTTTAAGTAAAAATTTAGAACAAGTAAATAATTGGTATGGTTATTTTGATCCCAGAGGATAAATTTGATAGAACTTTTAGATGTTTACTAGGCTTCTGGTATTCTAGTTACAGAAAACATAATTTTTAGTTAAACCTATGTATATTAATGTTTAAACTAGTGATCATTAAGGTGGGGTCACGTTGTGATTTCATAATCTGAACAATCTTTAAGGTGACATGCAGTAGGCTATGCCACATGCCAAACATGTTGACTTTTATCAATACTATATCTTCAGGATTAGTTTTATAAAATCCTTTCATACCTTTCTTAGTGGAACAAGTTGCACCCTCATAATTTTCATAGCAACTACATGATGCACTGCGTCGCCCCGAGTCTGAGCATACACCTCTGTTGTTACAATAATTTGGGTTGCTGACACAGTATGCTGAAATATTGATTATTTTATACATTTATACTGTACATTGTAAGTGAATGTTAACTTCAAATTTCTCACATATTTAGAGATTATTAAGAAAACAAAATTTCAAGCAGCAGGCTGATGTCACAATAAGTGTGAACTTTGTAACACATCTGACAATGAATTTCACTTTCTATAATATGCCTTTCATATTGTATCTTAAAGGCATATAAAACTGGCCCACATGTTTTGTTAGTCTACAGTCAGAGAGTGTGACAGAGAAATTGACTGTCAAAGGCAAATGCTTATATGACCAACCTCCGAATGCTATTTGCCTATCCCACTTGGTGGGGGGCGTAAACATGCAACTTTAATAGATACTGTTTTAAATCATTATGAAAATGAAAATTCAAAAAATTGAACTTGTGCTGATTTATTGCATGTAATGTATGTGGCATGTATACATACATTGAATTTTGTAAATGTTACTATGTCTATTTTAATGAGATTCTTTTAAAGACTAAAGATTGAACTTGTTTATCCTAAAAAATAAAAGAAAATCTTGACTGGACATGTCAATCTTTAAATGCTTTACAAAACCATTTATTTATTTATTTATTTTCTTAAAATACATCCTGAATGAATAGAGAACAGTGCACATTATGACCTGATGGCAAAGATTAGTTCACTGATCTTGGTCTGCACTGGTTGCATAGATATAAACTTTTGCAGGCAGTAGGCTAAAAGTTTAAAATTGTGTTTTCACCAGCTTATATCATAACTGTATAAACAAGAACCGGTTGAACCAGGTGATGCTCCCCGAGAAGATTTTGGACACAGGAAAGTAAAAAAAAATGAACAAAGGGCAAAAACTCCAAAATTAGGCAAGGCAGAGTAATGTTTTTTTGCACTGTACTTCTATTCAATGAAAACTATCTATATAAAAAGTTTCCTGATGATATCTCTTATAGTTTCAGAGTTTTGTCCCGGGTAAAATTAAAAGTGTAAAAATAAAACAAGGGCAATAACTCCAAAATAACACAGGGCTTTGTTAAGGTTCTTTAAACATTGCAGTTCTATTCAATGATATCTATCTACCTACACAGTTTCATGTTGATATCTCTAATAGAGTTATGTCCCGGGCAAAAGTCAAATAGGAAAAATTAAACAAAGGGCAAAAACTCCAAAATTAGGCAAGGCGGAGTTATGGTTTTTTTTCACTGCACTTATATTCAATGACATCTATCTATCTATGAAGTTTCCTGATGATATCTCTTATAGTTTCAGAGTTATGACCTGGGTAAAATTCAAAGTGTAAAAATGAACAAAGGGCAATAACTCCAAAATTAGACAAGGCTTTGTTCAGGTTTTTTAAGCATTGTAGTTCTACCCAATGATATCTATCTACCTACAAAGTTTCATGTTGATACCTCTAATAGTTTTAGAGTAATGTCCCGGACAAAAGTCAAAAAGTAAAAATAAACAAAGGGCAATAACTTCAAAATAAGGCAAGACAGAGTTATGATTCTTTAGCACTGCACTTCTACCCAATGAGACATATCTATCTACAAAGTTTCATGTTGATATCTCTAATTTTAGAGAAATGTCCCGGACAAAGTTCAAAGTGTCAAAATGAACAAAGAGCAATAACTCCAAAATTAGGCAAGACAGAGTATTGGTTTTTGTGCATTGCAAACCTTCTCAATGAGATCTATCTACCTACACAGTTTCATGTTGATACATCTTATACATTTAGAGTTATGTCCAGGACAAAGTTCAAAGTGTAAAAATAAACAAAGGGGAATAATTAAAAAATTAGGCAAGGCAGAGTTACGGTTCTTGTGCACTGCACACCTACTCAATTAGATCTATCTACCTACAAAGGTCCATGTTGATACCTCTTATATATTTAGAGTTATGTCCCGGACAAAGTTCAAAGTGTCAAAATGAACAAAGAGCAATAACTCCAAAATTAGTCAAGACAGAGTATTGGTTTTTGTGCATTGAAAGCCTTCTCAATGAGATCTATCTACCTACAAATTAAGTTTCATGTTGATACCTCTCATAGTTTTGGAGTTATGTCCTGGACAAAGTTCAAAGTGTAAAATAAACAAAGGAGAATAATTCAAAAAATTGTCAAGGCAGAGTTACGGTTCTTATTCACTGCACACCTACTAAATGAGATCTACCTACCTACAAAGGTTCATGTTGATACCTCTTATACATTTAGAGTTATGTCCCGGACAAAGTTCAACATGTAAAAATAAACAAAGGGAAATAATTCAAAAATTAGGCAAGGCAGAGTTACGGTTCTTGTGTACTGCCCACCTACTCAATGAGATCTTTCTACCTACAAAGTTTCATGTTGATACCTCTTGTTGTTTCAAAGTTATGTCCCGGACAAGAAAAGCGGATGGACGGACGGACAAGGCGGCGACTATATGCTCCCCATGCATAAAAATGCAAATGTATTCTAATTTAAAATCAACTATGGTGAACAATCTACATATTTAGTAATAAAATATGTCACTCAATGTTGTATCGTATACACGATCATTATAAAAGTGCCCTTACATTTACATGCAGACTCATTCCTAGCTCCTGTATCATCGTTGTACGTTCGTGATGGACAACTCTTACATGATGACTCGCCAGTCTTGTCTTGATATGTGTCTTTAGGACACAGCACACATGTCACTCCATCTTCACTGTAGCGTCCAAAATTACAATCAACTGAAATCATTTATACAAAACATTAAGTTAAACAAAATCGTTTAGTATAATAATTTAACAAAGTGCATTTAGTGCATTCTTTGGATGGCCAAAAAAATTTAATGCATTACTTACTATAAAATATTAGGTATCTTGACTTTCAAATTAAAATTACCTGGTCTTTTTTACATCACTGTACCAGTATAAATGTTTACAAACATATTTAACCCTTAACCTGTTGAATATCTGAAATGGACTTTTCCAATTTCCATTTTAGAACAGTCAATAAACAATTGTGGGGGGATATCAAGGTGAGAATTTGAAGTTGGCATGGATGTGCAGGCTGGCCTGGCTCTATTCTGGTGGCAAAAATAACTTTCGCCTTCAGCAGGGTAAAGGTTAAATAAATATAGAAATGCAAAAATTGCTTCAAAAATTACACAATAAGCAAATGTTCCCAAATTTTAGCAACTGTTAATGAACACAGTTAGAAAGTCTTGAGAAAACTATTTTCTATCAGGAAACACACTAGTATTCAATTTTCTTTGATTTGATAAGTACTCACTTACCACACAGATTGTTAAAAGCATTTTGGCCAGCAGCACAAATTACAGTTTCAGTTGGTTCTTCAGCACTGCTAAATTGTATCTCATCAGACTATAAATAAAAAACAACAACAGCTATTGGATGGTAACAAAACAATACATCTTATAGGGCCACAATGAACTAAAAGTCTTATAATAATGACATATTTTAATTTTAGTTCTAATATCATTGTTCTAAATATTGTTTATTACTGGTATGTAAATCATCTCTGTATTCTGTCTAATACAGACTGGTATTTCAACTTCGTTGCAGTAAACTTCTAAAGTCATCACTGAGTACAAAAATATCAAACATTTTGCAATTTGTCCATAACAGCAATAACAACTGGAAGCTATTTTAATAATGTTGGACAAAAATCAGAATTTTTTGGCAAACTAACTTAATTCACAAAAACTACTTACATCTGGTGAAAGTGTGTCTTTGTTGTCTTCTATAATCTCACTTATCACATCTTTTGTTGGTAATGCAACATTAGTATCACTGTCAACAGTGCGATCACTGAATAACACAACATTCATTAGTTAACAGATTATTTACAAAATAAACTAATTGTGTATGAGCACAAATTAAATTCTTAAAGAGTGTATGCACTGTATATTATATAATTTATATGCTGCACCAATGTAATAGCTTTGTTAATGTTGAAGCTACTGATCATAAACTTAAGGTTCACCAAGAAGGTTAACTGATGCCACAGTTGATATTGCTAAGTGGGTAATGACAATTAAGCTTGGCTATTTGTTAGAAAAAGAGAACACAAATAATGTATAAATGTAAGGTTATAATCTAGCTATTCTAGTTTTAAGCATTTTTCTAAACAACAAGAGTTTTCTTTTACCAAGATAGATATGAAGGCACTGGTTGTCATGTAAGGAAACTTTTAAAAGATATCTGATAATATCTGTTTGACATAGTTCAATGATAACGGAAATTAGAGACATCAGAAAGAGTTATTTACATGTATTGTGGGTACTAGACACTGATCCTCTGTGAAATTAGAGACACCAGAAAGAGTTATTTACATGTATTTAGGTACTAGACATTGATCCTCTGTGAAATTACAGACACCAGAAATAAAGAGTTATTTACATGTATTTGGGTACTAGACACTGATCCTCTGTGAAATTAGAGACACCAGAAAAAGTTATTTACATGTATCGTGGGTACTAGACACTGATCCTCTGTGAAATTAGAGACATCAGAAAGAGTTATTTACATGTATTGTGAGTACTAGACAGTGATCCTCTGTGAAATTACAGACACCAGAAATAAAGAGTTATTTACATGTATTTGGGTACTAGACATTGATCCTCTGTGAAATTAGAGACATCAGAAAGAGTTATTTACATGTATTGTGAGTACTAGACAGTGATCCTCTGTGAAATTACAGACACCAGAAATAAAGAGTTATTTACATGTATTGTGGGTACTAGACACTGATCCTCTGTGAAATTACAGACACCAGAAATAAAGAGTTATTTACATGTATTTGGGTACTAGACACTGATCCTCTGTGAAATTAGAGACATCAGAAAGAGTTATTTACATGTATTTGGGTACTAGACATTGATCCTCTGTGAAATAAGAGACGCCAGAAAGAGTTATTTACATGTATTGTGAGTACTAGACAGTGATCCTCTGTGAAATTACAGACACCAGAAATAAAGAGTTATTTACATGTATTTGGGTACTAGACACTGATCCTCTGTGAAATTAGAGACACCAGAAAAAGTTATTTACATGTATCGTGGGTACTAGACACTGATCCTCTGTGAAATTAGAGACACCAGAAAGAGTTATTTACATGTATTGTGGGTACTAGACATTGATCCTCTGTGAAATTAGAGACATCAGAAAGAGTTATTTACATGTATTGTGAGTACTAGACAGTGATCCTCTGTGAAATTACAGACACCAGAAATAAAGAGTTTTATTTACATTGTATTTGGGTACTAGACATTGATCCTCTGTGAAATTAGAGACATCAGAAAGAGTTATTTACATGTATTGTGAGTACTAGACAGTGATCCTCTGTGAAAATTACAGACACCAGAAATAAAGAGTTATTTTTACATGTATTGTGGGTACTAGACACTGATCCTCTGTGAAATTACAGACACCAGAAATAAAGAGTTATTTACATGTATTTGGGGTACTAGACACTGATCCTCTGTGAAATTAGAGAACATCAGAAAAAGAGTTATTTACATGTATTGGGGTACTAGACATTGATCCTCTGTGAAATTAGAGACATCAGAAAGAGTTATTTACATGTATTGTGAGTACTAGACAGTGATCCTCTGTGAAATTACAGACACCAGAAATAAAGAGTTATTTACATGTATTTGGGTACTAGACATTGATCCTCTGTGAAATTAGAGACATCAGAAAGAGTTATTTACATGTATTGTGAGTACTAGACAGTGATCCTCTGTGAAATTACAGACACCAGAAATAAAGAGTTATTTACATGTATTGTGGGTACTAGACACTGATCCTCTGTGAAATTACAGACACCAGAAATAAAGAGTTATTTACATGTATTTGGGTACTAGACACTGATCCTCTGTGAAATTAGAGACATCAGAAAGAGTTATTTACATGTATTGTGGGTACTAGACACTGATCCTCTGTGAAATTAGAGACACCAGAAAGAGTTATTTAAATGTATTGTGGGTACTAGACATTGATCCTCTGTGAAATTACAGACACCAGAAATAACGAGTTGTTTACATGTATTTGGGTACTAGACACTGATCCTCTGTGAAATTAGAGACACCAGAAAGAGTTATTTACATGTATTGTGGGTACTAGACATTGATCCTCTGTGAAATTAGAGACACCAGCAAGAGTTTTTTACATGTATTTAGGTATTTGCCACTGATCCTCTGTGAAGTTAGAGACACCAGAAAGAGTTATTTACATGTATTGTGGGTACTAGACATTGATCCTCTGTTCCTGTAAGATTAACTAGATTATCAACATAAATTTATCATTAAATCTTTATCCTCACCTTACATTCTTGAACTCAGCAACTAAATTAAGAGCATACTCTGTTGTTCCAGTTTGTCGTCTTTTACGCCCAGCACCCCTCAAAGAACAAGGATTCTTGTCAGCAAACTTCAAACTATAGTTATCACAGTCCTCGTTATTACAGAAGCTACGATCTTTGTTCTTATATTTATTTTTTCTAGCATTTATGAATATCTTACGAGATGACAATGAGAGACTAGTGAGGATACTGTTTAAGACCAATGTGTTACTACACGTCGTGTTGATCTTTACAATAAATACCAATGGGACACGTAGGATCACCAACTTGATCACAGGTTGAACAGTTGCTGCAAAACAAAATATATATAATAATATACATAAAATATATATCAAACAAAACTAGAACTATCACTAAATGTGATTAATACCCCCACAAGACTGCTTCCGAAATAAGGATGTTACTAGTAACAGAATACCTTGTAAAAGAATTGAAATATAGAGTAATGGTTGTGGGCAATTAAAGATAGTTGTGGTTCTTATATGTTGCATTTCCTTTCAATGTGGTTGGCCATTGATGAAGTTTAATTGAATTACTCTGTAATAAGTCCAGAAAGACAAAGAACAGGAACAAAGGGCAATAATTCTATAAATACTGAAGATAGAGTTATAGTTCTTGTGCACTGCACTTCCTCTTATTGTGCTTGACCATTGTATGAAGTTGTTTTGAATTCTAACCAGTACGTTTTGAGTTATGCTCCTGACAAGGAAAAGTATCAAAGGGCAGTTACTCTGTATTTTGTCAAAATGGAGTTATGGCTGTTGTGCACTGCACTTCCCCTTATTGTGTTTGACAATTGTATGAAGTTGTTTTGAATTCCAACCAGTAGTTTTCAAGTTATGCCCCGGACAAGAAAAAGTAACAAAGGGCAATAACTCTGTAATTAGTCAAGATAGAGTTATGGTTCTTGTGCACTGCACTTCCTCTCAATGTGCTTGACCATTGTATGTAGTTATATTGAATTCAAACTATTAGTCTTCAAGTTATGGTCCGACAAAAAAAAAAGCAATGGAAAAGCAACAAAGGGCAATAACTCTGTAATTAGTCAAGATAGAGTTATGGTTCTTGTGCACTGCACTTCCTCTCAATGTGCTTGACCATTGTATGTAGTTATATTGAATTCAAACCATTAGTCTTCAAGTTATGCTCCGGACAAGGAAAATGCAACGGACGTCTGGACCGACCGACCGCCCGACCAACCGACTGACCGACCACCGGGTGACTCCTATATACCCCCCCAAACTTCGTTTTTGGGGGTATAATGATATTGTGTTAGTCTACAATATAAATTGAACTAAAGAAATATATAGTGAAAAAATATCAAAGTAAGTTATAAAATATTCTTAAAGCAATTTGATTTTTTTATACACCAATGACTTAAACTTTTCAAAAATTATCAGTTTATTTGTTTTCCAGGTATAATATAGCAGTACAAGCAACAATCTACCAGATAAGCTGTCTTATGTTGGTGTTCAATAAATGGTATAAAAATAAAGAAAATATATAGGGCAGTGTAACTTCAGAGTGGAACCAAAACCCCCATTGGACCTATCAAAAAGTTCAGACTTTTGATGTTTCCAGAATTTATTAGAAATTTAGGATGTAAAAGAATAAATATGAAGCATCATTGGTAAAGCTTTATCATGAGGGTAGTAAGGTAATGTTTATTACATGTACATGTTATATAGAGAATGACGAAAAAAGATGAAAACATTTATATTTAACCCATTACTTCATATACACGCCTTTTAACGCCTTTTTCACCCCCCCCCCTTTTTGTTGTCTCAAATGATGAAAAAATGCCTTATTTAGGCCCCAAACACTTGTTTTTGTTTGAGAAATGTTGTTAAAAAAAGTGACCTCTTTTTCGGCGCGGCCCCCAACCAAAAGATACATCAGGGGGTTGCCAGAAGGGGGGATGTGCCCCCTTCTTGTTTGGGGGGTTTGAAAGGGGGGCGGAGTCCCCCCTCATCGCCAAGAAAAATTTTGGACTTGTGAGAGGCTGTAAATGACCCCAGATATGATCATAAGGTAACGTGTAACCAACGCTGAAAGCTTTTGACTCTATCTCAATCCATTGAGAAAGTGCAGCACTTTGAAATCAATTTTGATGGAAAAAATCAACGCAAAAATAGTGATTTTGGCAATTTTGAGATGTCCCCTCGTTGCCATGGTAACAGAAAATTTAAGCCTGAGCATGTTGTTGCAAGTGCAATGGTCCAGTCAACATTTGTGCCAAGTTTGATTAGTGTTGAAGCAGTTTTTATAGTATTATAGCAATTTGAACTTGTAACGGGAGACTTTTCAATGAAAACAGCCATTTTTCACAAAATGCTCATGAAGTAATGGGTTAAAACCTTCATCAGAAAAATCAAATAAAAAAATATTTATCACTTTAAATCAACTTACTATCATTGAAATACATATATTTACAACATCATTTCAAATATACTATTTTGTGATTTTAACCTTAGTCGAAATTCATGATCATAGATTATCGTATAATTAGTAAACAATCAATGGAGGGATAAAATCTTGCCTCAGGATTTACATTTTCAATTTACAATAGGTTTCATACCTTTTGCAGTATCTGGACAAAAAAACCCAGTCCATCAAAAACAAAATCCCCCTAATGTTTTTAGACCAGACTGATTACTATCTTTTTTCACACGCCCAGTGTTCAGGAAATTGGGTTATACTTAAATAATAAAATCAAAACAAGTATGCGCCTTTAACTTTAATTTCCTTGATAAACGTTGATAAGCGATTCTCTGAAAATATCCATTTACATTTATACTTAAGAAATAACATCCGCCTGAGAGGTGAATATCAATTATTTAACACCGGTTTGGAGTTTTGATGCATAGGAATTGACCAATTGATGTTAAAAAAACATCATGCGAGCAGATAAAAGCAGCACGCCTCCACATTCACGCTAATTTTCATGAACATTTTGAAACTGTATTTAAATGTATAATATTGTGACATAACAAAAAGGACACAATTCACACATTAACAATTGCATTACAACTTATGTAAATTACCAAAAAAATGATCAACATATGCATTAATAGTCCATTGCAGTAGAAATATAGTTGTAAATACTGAAAAATCTGTCATTTACCGCACAATTTAACATATTACTTGAATTTTGAATCATTTTGCTTTTCCTAATATTGAAGTACATATTTCTCAAGTTTGATTTTATTGAAATATTTTGAATCATCTGGACGCATGCAGCTTTAAGATGGATAAAACTTTATAATGATGTTAGAAACAAGAAGAAGACTTACCACATCCTGAATCTACCGGATACTCCCCACTTTCACAGATATCTTCTATAGTGACATTTTGGTAACCCACAAATATTATTTCTTTTACCTGTTTATATTTATAAATGTATAATTATTTACAGGTGTAACAGGTAAGTTTTACTATATCACTCCAGCAAATAATTCATGCATACTCCCTAATTCACTCCCTAATGACCATTATAAAGTGATATTATGCTCATATTTTCATACTCAAGTTGAGCTGAATTGACTTTATATTTCAAAAGATGGACTGTAAAAATGACCAACAGTTGATTTGGAAAATGTTCAGGATAAAATTATAAATTTGCCTAAAATTTAAAAAGACTGCCCCACTCTTTTAATAAACTGAGCGTTATAGCTAAATTCTAATAAATATTTACAGTAAATTTATTTGGATCTGTACATATTATTTACTGTAAATTGTAAAATTAAATGGAATTATGGCTAAATGAAAACTTATTTTGATATTCATCTGCTCACTCACTATATACCCTTGGATGGGCATAATGCCACTTTAACAAGTCAGAAATTGACAAGTTGATGGAAGTATAATCCTTAAGATAAAACATAAATAATCCCTTAACAAAAATATAACATCACAAACAATTCATTCTCAAATTTTCCTCTCTTAATCTTCCAGTAGAGATCAACAATGATATATCAACAAAAGCTGGTAATGTAAACAGCAGAAAGTCATAACTTAAGTTGCACTCTGAAAGAACTGTACAATTTAATGATAGATTGCTTTGAGGCAATAATTTAATGGTAGAAACAGAACAGAACATAGGCCCTATTCAAAAACAATACTTAATCTCAATCTCGTCTCAAACTCACGGAAGGTTGCCTCATTTAGTGACACTGGAGTAGACTTACGGTAAGTAACTCCCAATGTGCAAAGTGGTAGTCATTCTATTTACTTAACCTAACCTCTCGTGAGAGAGACTTCAAAAGTTGATCGATCGGTTTTATTGCATAACATCACTCGATAAACATTGAAAAAGTGTAACCATGTCGTTTAAAAGAGTGTATTTCACCGAAGTGGAAACATTTTGTTAAAGAATTAATTATTAAAAATCTTAACGTAAAAGAAAACGAAACAAAAAAAAAAAAGATTTTAAATAAATGTTTGATAAAACAAAAGCATGAGGAGAAATTTAAAGAGAATTTAATAGTTTTCAAGTAGTGAATGCCAAAATAGCAAAATATGTTGGAAAACCTGAAAAAACTGGATGAAAAAAAGAAGTTAAAGAAAGTGTAAAGGGCTTCTGACAGGCATTTAGAACTGAAAAAAATGTTTACATTTTAATAGCATTAACTTTATTTTGAAAATAGCATCCAATTTTTACTGTCAATGAAATTATTTTTGCAATACATATACACAACTTTGTTTTCTTATTTTAATCATCTTATGACATTTTAAATGGCCTCACAAATTCTGTCAATTTTATTTCTCAAATTTTCAATTTTTGATAAAGGTATAATCATATTGCCTTATCATTTTGTATGGAAGTCAGAATACTACATTGTTTATATTTTTCTACCATCATAATACATTACTGCAGGTTAAGTGCAACTTTTAATAGTTTTTAATTATTTTTCTAAAGAATCAAAATAGAAAGAGGCATAACGTGCCTTAATTTAACAAGACTGTTGTATTTAAATCTTTGTTGTTGGTATTTGCAAATATAAAATCTTAATCATTTTAATTTCTTAAATCAAATTCAATGATTTTGTACTCCCCCCCCCAAAACAAAACAACAAAGAAACAAACAAACAAAACAACCCTGTTTGATTGTGATGCTGGACTACCTTGCGACTGAAGCGAGCTGTTTTATTAAAGCTAAGTAATGAAACACCATACATGTTTAGTAAAGTGTATTCTACATAAATCACGCTAAACAAATGATAAAGATATTGTTTTGCTACGTGTATTTTGATAGTTTTTTAATTAGAATACTCAGACGTCATCAACGTCAACTTTATGCCATGGTTATTCATGACGCCACAAAGATATTTTTCTGTCATGTTTCTTTTGAAATATCTTTCAATATATAGATTGGGAATTCTATGTCAATCCCAAAATTCAAACAGTGTGATATGACGTTTATCTAACTATTATTTTTTATATTTCATAATAAAACAAATAAACATAATCATTTATATAGGCCTATCTTTAGACGCATACGACAACTCATTCGAGGACTTGAGTCCAGAATCATCGACAGTCACATTGACAAACACAGGAACTGCTATTTTCATTGATAACAGAAAATTCAAGAAATTTCCAACTTGAAATCGTATAAATTCATTTCTTATTGGCATAAGTACTGGCATCCCGCAAGCTGAATACACTCTTAATAGTTCATACAACTTGTATCCTTTGAAAATAAAAAATTCTGATCAAATTCAACTTCTGACATAAATTTAATGGGATCATCTCCGTCAATAAGTATCTGCTTTTCAACATTTATTTCCTAAAAAAACTGTCAGTTCGTGTATATGATGCACTTAAATGCATATGGGATGAAATTAATTCAAAATCAATACTCAAAACTAATTGGTATTCAGTATTATTTTATTGAGGAACCTAAAGGTCCCCTTCCTATATATAGATTTTTTTTTCCTGGGTTACTAGAATTTATTTTATAACCTGTTAATTTTTAAAAAGGTGGGTGTTTTTGACGTTACAATTAATGGGAATTTATCATTGGTGTGAGTGTGATTTTCTAAATACGGGCCATACTCTTTTTAAATTTAATTTAAAATTTGCAAAAATTAGTAAAAATTGCTATTTCTTTGTAATTTAACACATAACAATATCTTATCACTCCATACAATAGAGTGTTAATGACCCTTTTCCGTGAATCTCACAGGGCGAGGTATTTAATTAACCCGTGGGCTTTTGCAGATGTTAATGCATTAAAAGGTGCATAATAGCACCATTCATGCATAAAAGTATAATTTTATGTCTGATTTACCCTGTTTAGTTTTTCATATAATGAAATTGGTTTTATCAATTTTTTGCATGTGCTTAATATTAATTTTAGATACAAAAATCCTTTTGATCTACCTAAAGTATGTACAACCAAGTAAGGTAAAATGAGTTTTTGCTTTTGCTTTGACGCAGCTAAAATCTGGAAAAGTTTTCCAAATGATCTCAGATGTACATTTTGACTTCTAATTAATTCAAATTAAAAGACTAGTTGAAACGATAAGTAAAGAAAAGTGAGCTACCTCTATGTGCATCTGATCTTTTCCAGTGTATGTTCTGTTTCATTTAGTTCCTGTTTTGCTTGTAAGTTCATTTTATATATTTTTCCTTGAATTATGTCCAATATAACGTATCCAGCTATCCCAATTTTATTATACAGAACGGTATTTTTTCTTTATTTTCATTTTAAATGCTCTCATATTTTTACCAATGACATGAAAAATGTATTTGTATGTATTTTTTTTTATTAAAGTTTTTGTTTTTTTTGTATTTTTTTTTTTGCTGGGGACACAATTAAAACATCCAGCAAGACCCTAGTAGGCTTAATAAGATCTTGACTAATTTTTAATCATAAAATCAAAAATTATTTATACAAACCTTACTTGGTCAGTAATTCTGTGCAACACAACCTTAAAATCTGATGATAACTTCAACAGCAAATATTAGCTTGTTATCCGGGTATCTGTTATAATTCACTGAATAATAATGAAAATCATATAAATATTTAACTGCAAGTTCTAGTATCTTTATTTAAACTGAACTGGTCCAAAGGACACGAGTGCCCCCACTGAAATTTATGGTATTTCGCGCAGTCTGATCAGGTCCATGCTGTTCGCTATCAGTTTCTCTACTTGTAATAGTTTTGTAAGCGAACAGCATGGTCCTGATCAGACTGCGCGGCTGGTCTGGTCCAGGCTGGTCGCAACCCATTATGTTGGTTTTGTCATGACGCAGCTCATATTGTTAAACATTAAAACTTATACATTTATTTCTATTGTAAAAGAACCACAGCATTGAATAAGCTTCCATAAATGTAATTATTCAATTTGCTAAGATTTTTCACAGTTATTTTTTTACAATCATGCGAGTCTAAACTTTGCATTTCAGAACATAAACAATCAGCACTGGATAATCCTATACTCAGAATATCCAATTGTCGGGGAAAATTACAAAAGTTATCAAAAATTTAAAGGATTTGTTTGTTTATTTAGAAAACCATTGAAAAGCCATTTCAAAAAGTAAAATTGGTTTTCCTAGATGTTTCAACACATAATAATAACAAAACCACTGACAGAGCTATGTGTTCAAAGATTGACAGCAAAACATTTTAAAGTATTCCAAATTTATACATTCAAAGCCTGAAAGCAATAGTGAATACTTAAATGTGGTCAGTGACAAGGTTGAATGGTACAAAATGTTTGATGTCAAATGAGCAGGACTGCTCCTCCTAAACTTTGAACTAAAAACAATGATATGTTCTCAAATATTTCTGAAACAGAATTACAAACCTGATATTGTAAAATACAAAAGATATTGTAAGTCTGTGGGTTATAGCTCTCTTTAGTCTAGTTATTACTTCACATGTTGGATTTTGAGAAGCATCAAGATTATCACAGCTATCGCCATGACAGAATCTTTGTTCGCTATTGTAAAGTGCATTTGTCCGATCTTGGAACACTTTTCGTGCAGTTTGTTCAACTTGGTTTGTTATTCCATTGATGCTGTCAGTATCAGTACACTCATTTATAGCTACCTCAACCTTACCAACAAATCTCAAATTAATATGGTTGTCAGGGATCGGGGATACTGTAAATTATCAAAAATATCATTTTAAACAATAAGTCCAATAAAATAAATGAATAACCAATACTTGCAAGTAAATTTCCACAAAAATAATGTTGTTCTCTTTTAAAAAAAGATAAACTGCATTTTAAACATATTTTTCATCAATTTCTCTTTATATTGAAAGTTTTGTACTTGTAAACAGAAATATAGAGATTGTAGAAATAAGCCTCTTAATATCATATTGTTATTGGTGTAAATAGAGTGTTAAGATTTTGTTTTCATCTAATTATCAATTATTTGAAATTTAATTGAAATTTCTTTATTAAAGATATTGAATCATAATGAAACTTGGGTATTTCTACAAAACATTTAATTTATATATAATATTCTAATGAAACGAAAAAAACAATAACAAAAACTTCATACTGTTAAAAGCACAAGATGTTGATCCACTCTGGTAATTGGTAGTACCAGCTGGACATAATTTACAAGTGTTTGAATTCCGCCCCTCTTTTCTGTTGTATTGACCTTTAGGACAGCTAGAACAAGTGGCAAGATTGGTTCTGTAACCAGCACCAGCCTGGCAGTCAACTGAAAATATCAACAATTATCAGGTTAAAATATTCTTATTATTAACATTACATCAAATCATTCATCACTAAAACAATTAAATATTGCACTTTCCTAATGTTTTTACAATTACTATCTAGTTTTTTTTAAAGTGTTATAGATGGCACATATAACTGCACACTGCTGCTATCATTGTATCACACCTTTTGTTCTTCATAGTAAACTTCAAAGCATAATGACCTTTATGGTGGTGGTGGTGTTGGTAGTTTTCACACCGGATCATAACAGAAAGCCATATTAAATTCACCAGAGCATAGGTCAATCAACGCATCGTTCCTGGACAGGCTGTCAAGCAGTTTACCTGTACTAGTTGCCATCACTTTCGCAAGGAACTGAAACTTCTGCACATGCCAGAGCAGAGGTACAGTGCGAATGACCGTAGAAATGATTTCATGATCAATCACAACATAAGTGACTTGCCCCTTTCAGGAATCGAACCTGGGTCGCCCGATTCACAGTCTAACGCTCTACCTATTGCCGGACGGCTTTAATGACCTTTCTCACATTACCCCTGATTTATGTATTAGAATATGAAATTTGTCAATGGTGTTTTAAGTTATGCTGACTTTGTGAACTATAACAACTTTCTGGCTTTAATGGTGGTGGTTTAGGGTTATTCATGCCACACTTTGTATTATTTCAGCACATGTGCTGAACTACCAAACAAAAAGAAATTCCTTCAATGATTTTAATATACAACACAGATTCAAGATATAACATAAATGCTGATTTAAAATTAACTGTTATTGTGGTTTTTATAATCAACTTACAAATACACATTCCAGCTGACTTAGGTGCAAAGACTTGGGTTTGTTTAATTCATCAGGACATTTACAAGTAAAGTGTGTCACATTTCCACATCACTAATATCTACCTATCTGGCATGCGTCTACCAAACTATCTTATTATTTTCTCTACCACAAAATATTTTCCTGGTTGGCACTTGTCTGAAATATTCATTATTATACTGATATAAATGATGATTTATTCCTAGTGGTGTAACAATAGACTGGTTTATTGTTATACAACAACAATAAATACTACCATTGTACCAAAATATTTTTTTTCTTTTTTATTTGATCGAAATATGTGATCTGTGTGTTAACGTTTCAAGCACTGCAACAATTTAAATGTACATACAAAATACCTTTAAAGATAGAAACCACATGTCACTTGAAGGATAGCTGAGGACACCAAATAAAAGTTAAATAACATTACTGGTCTAATAATCAGAAAAGGTTTAGAAATACCACAGCAATTCAAGAGATTGTATAGACATATTAATAATAGGGTACAAAATAAAAGTGAACAAAAATAAAAGGGTAAAAAAAAGGACAAAATAAAAGTGGACAAAATGAAAGCAGACAAGACTATAAAAGTGACTGTACGAGGTAAAAGTGTACAGAATAAAGGTGTACAAAATAAAGGATTACAAAATAAAAATGTTTTAAACAAGAACCGGTTGAACCGGGTGATGCTCCCCGAGAAGGTTCTGGACACAGGAAAGTATAAAAAAATGAACAAAGGGCAAAAACTCCAAAATAAGGCAAGGCGGAGTTATGTTTTTTTTGCACTGCACTTCTATTCAATGAGATCTATCTATCTATAAAGTTTCCTGATGATTATCTCTGTATAGTTCAGAGTAATGTCCGCGTAAAATTCAAAGTGTATAAAAAGAACAAAGGGAATAACCCAAAATTAGACCAGGCTTTGTTTAGGTTCTTTAAGCATTGAAGTCATAAGTCAAGGCAGAGTAATGATTCTTAAGCACTGCACTTCTACCCAATGAGGACCTATCTATCTACAAAGTTTCTGGTTGATATCTCTTATAATTTTAAGTAATGTCCTGGACCCAAAGTTGTTCAAGTGTCAAATTGAACAAGGCAATAAACTCCAAAGTTAGGGCAATGACAGCTGTTACAGTTCTTGTCGCACTGGCAAACCTACTTAATGAAGATCTATTCTACTTACAAAGTTTTCATGTTGATACCAACATTATAGTGTTATAGTTATGTCCGGGACAAAGTTCAAAGTGTTAAAAAGTATACAAAAGGGGCGGATAAATTAAAAATTAGGCAAGGCAGTGTACTGTTCTTGTACACTGCCACACCTACCAATGAGATCTATCTCCCTAACAAAGTATCATGTTGATACCTCTTATAGTTTTAGAGTTATGTCCCGGACAAAGTTCAAAGTGTAAAATAAACAAAAGGGGGAAAATTAAAAAATTAAGCAAGGCTGAGTTACGGTTCTTGTGCACTGCACACCAGTCCTTCTCACTGAGATCTATCTACCTACAAAGTTTCATGTTGATACTTCTTGTTCTTTCAAAGTTATGTCCCGGACAAGAAAAGCGACGGGTACGGCACGGATGTTACGGAACGAGGACGAGACAGAAGACAACAGGCGAGCGGACTAATTTCGGGCAGCATAATAAAATGTGAACAAGATAAAGGAGTACAAAATAAAGTGTACAAATAAATGATGTACAAAATAAACAGTGTTAACACAAATAAAGTTTCAAAACTACACAGGTGTAACAAAGGTTCAAAATATGCTTTAATCTCTTTACATCCTTGAATTTTTAAAATAATAAATTTGTTTATTCTTGAACTAACATAACTCTAATTATAGGTTGAATATGACATTTGACCTTATTTAAAAAACTCTTTTCATCTGGTGGATTTGTAATTTTATTGCCATTACGTAGGCAGTAAACAACTTTCTATTGGTCGCCTATATTCTTTGGCGGTAAACCTTTTTCTCCGCTTGCCGCTTCTGCCTTTTTGGTTCATTCGGTATTCGTTGACAAGCAAGATACACTATGTTTGAGATAATCTCTATTTTTTACACACAATTATTGAAAGTTATTTTACGATCTGTTCCACATATGATTGGCTATTTTATCTTGAGTTTTATGGACTGAGTGTTTTGTTCATCAGGCATTGTATGTAGTGCACATACAAGAGGAGTTTTCGTTATTCAGTAAATTATATTCGGTTGAATACGAATAAACTTTATTCGTACTTCGGTGCCGTAAGCTGTTGTATTTCGGTTACTTTTCGTCCGCAGTAAGCTGTTTGTATTTTGGACAATAACATGGCGGCAAGGAACTGGAAAAAAAAACAAACTCATTACCTCTCATTTAAGAGGGTAAAAGAGATGGACTCATAATAATGTTAAATGACGGCATTCGAGCATGAGACCAGGAAATCCTTTCGGACACGAGGAACACATGGAAGATATTAAATTGTTTTTCCGACGGAAACTACGCAAGCGACCTGAATTGCCAACTTCCGCCTTCCGCTAAAATGTCAGCTTTTCACGAGGATGATGAATTTTCTTGGGGATACAGATTGAAAGTAAGAAGTCGTCAGACTGATTCTGGTATCATTCGATGAAGAAAGGAGCTGACGCCTTACAACAAGAAGAACGGGTTCTTAAGGAACAAGTTATCCGAAGCAGACGTTATTGAGAAAAACCAAATTGAACAGAAAGAAACACAGGATGTTAAAAATTAAGAGGTGAGATCGTACGAGTATCCCAATTTGTATTTTCTAGGTAAAAAAAACCGTTATGATGATTCAAAGTAAAAATGTAGATTATTGAGCATTTACGCTTATGACTTGAGAAAAACACAGATCTACGAGGAAAGCAAAGTCGAATTAGTAACAATTGGTTTGGATATTTTTTCTCATTCAGGTTCAGACACTTGCAGTGATGAAAGTTTGAACTAAGTATCAAAAGAATATGAAGAAAAAAAGGTGTCTAATTGTTTAAGTTCATCAGAAGATCGATGTTGATACTTTTCATTATTCGAAGAATAAATTAGCTGTGGTATTTTGGCTAAGGCTGGGGATAAATAGTCAGTAACAACAAATATCCTCAATCCAGTCTAAGATTTGAATATGTCACTAGGCTCAATTACATTTGACAAATTAGAATGGAATTTGTTTTGTTGCAGGGGAATTAGAAATATTTCATCCCCGTCTATGCAAGCTTTCTGAACGTAGGCTAGACTTGAGTAGTAAAGGAACTTTGTATCTGTTGTTCTTCCTATGACTTTTGTAAGTTGTTAAGAATTATGTACGCAGATGTTTAAGAGAGATTGAACTAGCCATCTTAAATGGGAAGTTCGTATCAATATGTGATCGGCAATTTTATCTAGTCATGTGAGTAATGTAACAAAAAACACATGAATTGTTCGTCATAAGACTGAAAAAGTAGATCAAGATACTTAGTGTTACTACAGAAGAGTTTGGTTCTGTAGTCAATTTCAAAGAAATAAATGTCAGCAAAAAGGCGCCTCATATTACAAATGTTGTAAGGCATTTGCAAGATTTATCTCAACCATTCTGTGCATCTTTTGGATAAAAGTAAGGTCAAGTTGGAATTCCCGAATGTTTCAAGTTTCATGCCCGATTCCACCAATTGACTTGTTGGATTAGATATGCATCATCTATAAAAAAAATTGACAATTAATGAAAATGTTGTAGAATTCTATTTTTCCAAAAATTTTGTTCTAAAACAACGAGGTAATAATATTGCTTGATTCAGCCAGTATTTGAAAATACTATTGTAAAAACATTCAGTTTAATGTAACTATTTGTAATGTCACTAAAAATGATTTGATGTTTATTTATGATAAAGTTTTTATTCATTGAGAAGGTACCGCCAATCGGTCTTTATAAATATGAAGGTTTAAATTCAGGTTAATGATTAAAATTTCATACTGAATTTATGAGAAGTATTGTTAGGTACGGATTATAGGATTGTTAGTTTGTGATCTTTTGAAATATGTTTTGCGATTGGTTTTATTGATACAGGTTTTCCATTTTGATCATTTGGTTCTTGGAAGTACAAAAATCTTCTGGCGTAATGATTATCCAAATGATATAGATAATATTGGTAAGAAAGTTGCTGATTCATGTATTATAGGCCCTTTTAAGAAATCCCTTTACTTCTGACGTAAAATTTCTCCATTGAATTCAGTTCCAAAAAAGGATACTGAAGAAAAGGATCTTTAGATTAGTAGGCCCACAGGTCAGGCTGAAATGATCTTTATTAATAAAGATTGTTATTGGAAGTGAACGTGTTATTTAGTTTTTCCTCGATTGATGATTTTTGTTCATTTGAATAAAATCAAAAGTCAAGGTTGTCTTTTGTTAACAAGGATTTGAGAAAAGCTTTACAGAGCAAATCGTAATTTTGTCCTAGCAACTATAATCTTGGTGGCTTTTTTGTTGGAAAAACATATTTTTTGTGACACATGTTTTAAGCATGGGGGCTTAGGTCAGCTTGCTTCAAGATATGTCAAAGGGTTCGAACTGCCAATAGGCCTTTATTATGTATTAAGATAGGTTTTTTGTGATTCTCAATTATCTTGATGATTAGCAGGGGCTGAAACAAAAAATAATGCCTCCTTTTTCATATGATTGTTTAGGACAAATTTCTTAGTAAATTGGTTTTATTGAATCTGTGAATTAAAGCATTCACCTTCAGAAGTATGACTTTTGGGTGTTCTATTAATCAATTCTATGACAAGGAAGTAACACCGGAGCGATTTAATTGAAATCAAAAATTTAATTAAGTATTGTTAATTAAAACAGAGGGCAACGCTAAAGAAAATTACAGTCTCTTATTGGTAAATTAAATTTTGTGGCTTCTTGTGTGGCGGTCAAGCCAATTTTATAAGTAGACTCATAAATTGTCTTAAAGAATTGTATAATTATCTTCCTTCAATGTTTATGTTATAATTCCATCAGAAGTAAAAAGATTTTATGGTGGCATAAATTGTTACAAAAATATAATTGGAGTGTCTATTTGTTATATGAAAATTGGTTCAAGACCTGATGCAATTTTTCGACGATTCCTGTCTTACAGGCTTGTGGTGGTTTTTTCAAAGGGAAGTATTTTCACTCAAATTTCCCTGATAACATACTAGGTCAAAATTACTCAATAGCTGTTCTCGAGTTACTTGTATTATTCTGGCCCTAAGACTGTGGTCTCTGAATTCAAGGGTAAGAAAATAATTGTTAATTGTGATAATGAAGTTGTTTTGTTCGTTTTTAAATTCTGGCAAAGCTAGATGCCCTATTTTTGCAGATGGTTTTAAGAGAATTTATGTTTTTTGACGCCAAAGCTGAATGTGAGATCAGAGATGTAATTTATCTAGTACGTGACAATCGTATATCTGATTTTGCTTATCTCGTTGGTATCAACACAAAAAATTTCAAGATGAATTTTTTCGGTTAACATCTGGTTTTCATTTAGATCATTATGAGGTGTTACAGCAAGATTTTGCTTTTGTTAATGACTGGTAATTCTTTTTGTCTTCTGGTTTATTTTGCGAGATCTGCAATGAAGGCTCTCAAGACAGATTTAAAACTGTGTCTATATTTCAGCATATGCAGAAAATAGTAGAAAAAATTTAAAAATTCAAATGGGAATCATTTATATTATTTTGTTTGTATTTTTGCAATTTCTTGTTATTTACCTGCTTCAACTGAAAACATTTCAGTTATTATTCCCAATTTCCTTAGTAGATCTTTTAAATCTGTGGCTAGTATTCGAAATTATTTAAGTGGTTGTAAGAACTGATTCATCAGTTATTGGGTATAATTTGAATGAAATGAATACTTTTTTGATAAATTTCACCTCTTCGTGGGATTTTTCCCGATTGAAATAGTCATTGTGTAAAAACAAGCTCAACCTATAACTCCTTTTATTCTTTCTAAGATTTACTTGACGTTGAATTTTAAAGATCCAGAAAAACTTAGTTTTTTGGTGTTTATTTTATTTGCATTTTTTCTGTTTGGCACGAAAGTCAAATTTCAGTTCCAACTACACTTAAAGATTTAATAATTCATAAATGTTTGATTTAGGTCTGTGTACTCGTGTTCATGCGTGGTTTAATAGTTACTATGGAATTGGACCAAACAATTCAGTTTGGAGAACGACTCTTTTTACAGATCCTCTATTAAGTTCCAGGCTCTTGTTTGTGTCCCGGTTCTGCATATGATAACATGTTAAAGGTCATTCTGGGAAATCTGCAGATGCTTTATTTCTTTTACCTAATGGTAAACCGGTAACTTATTATTTATTTCAAAATAAATTGCGTCAGGTTTTTAAATGATCTTGGGTTTGATCATCATGTATATTCCTCTCATTCATTTAGGCGTGGTTTTGCTACCCTTGCCTTTAAGAATATATTAGTTCAGATGAAATTCAAATTCTTGGAGATATGGCATTCTGACGTTTTCATAAACGTTTATATTTCACTATCCATTGAAGATAAGTGCTAAAATTATGAAGGATATTCTCATGTTTTTTATGTTTGATTTAAAGTATAGTCATTAATAAACTGTTCTTTGTATGTTTTCAGAACATGTTAGCTCATCCACACTTCGAAAGTGTACAATTGTCTCAGGACTCCATTGCCAGAAATGTGTCAGGTATTTGGATACTCAATAACAGCCTTTCCTGGAATTAATATTTCAAGGTTAAGTTTTCGTATTTCACAAGGTCAAGTTGATCTTAGATCTGCTTATGTCATTTTACATGTGGTACCAATGATTGTAACTGGCCCTCGTTCAGAAGATGAGATTATCTCATCTTTTAACGATTTGATTTCCAATGTTCGTCAACAATCTTCTGGAAGCATTTTGTATCTGCAATTATTCCCCGCCCTATAGATTTTGATACTACTGGTAATAGGGTTAAAAAATTAACAATAAATTGGTTCTACTATATGCAAATCAAAGAAATGTTATTTTCATTAGAACTTTTCAAACCCTTTCTTAAATGTGGCTTGCCCCGTCGTGAGTATTATGCTATAAAGACGGTGTTTACATCTTAATCTAGAAGGTACAAGCGTTTGAAAGAATTTTTTCATTAATACCATTGGCTCACTTAAAAGTAATTACATCTTAGTGTTGGATGAGCGCTACATGTTTACTGCAAGTTTCAATATTTGTATTTCTAGACAGCTTGTTTAAGTAAAATATGTTCATAATTATTATAATCTTTAGAATATACATTCGTAAGATAGTGTCATGTTCTAATGTCATTATGTCTTTGCTTGAGGCACTTGGTTACTCAAGAAAGATTAAATCTTACAAACTGGCAATGGCTAGTATTGAAGATTACTTTCTACTAAGGAGGTTAAAAGAATGCCTCTTAGTGGTTTTGTTATTGTGTATACACTTGTTGTAGAGTGTTTCAGGATATTGATTTAATGTTTATATTCAAATATATGCATTAGTTGATATATGTACGTTATGCTTTGCTTGAGACACACTGTTTCTCAAGAAAGGCTCAGTCTCGTAAGCTGGTAATGACCAGTCTTGGAGATTATGCTACTAAGGAGGTGGTATGAAAGCCTCTTAGTAGATTTGTATGTATCTGAACTTTATTTGCTGATGTTTTGTATTTTGTAATGTTTTTTGTTTGTTTTTTTCATGGCCATGGGTGTGGCTGGATTATGAATATTACTTCTGTAATGATTAATGGATTGTCATGTGGATAGACAAAGACATTTTGATTGAGTTTCATGATGAAACAATTTCTATTTGTATTGAATAATATATTCATTTAATATGAATGTGAAACATGTGATCTCGAATTACTAATAATATGATATGAAGATCAAAATTTCTCTTGTGTTTTCTTTTAAATGATAACTTATAATTTTGTTTATTTTGAACTAAAATAACTTAATTATAAGGTTGAATGAATTTGACCTTTTTAAAAACTCTTTTTCATTGGTGGATTTTTAATTTATGCATTACGTAGGCAGTAAAACAACTTTCTATTGGTCGCCTATATTTTTGGCGGTAAACTTTTTGTCGCTTGCGCTTCTGCCTTTTTGGTTCATTCTCTGTATTCGTTTGACAAGAAGATCACATGTTGAAAATTCTATTTTACCCTCCACGCCCGCCCTTATTGTGTGTTATTTGTATATTTTATTGTACAATATTGTATTTTGTAGAAGTTATATTTGAAGAGTTGCTGGATTATGAATATTACTTCTGTAATGATTAATGGATTGTCATGTGGATAGACAAAGACATTTTGATTGAGTTTCATGATGAAACAATTTCTATTTGTATTGAATAATATATTCATTTAATATGAATGTGAAACATGTGATCTCGAATTACCTAATAATATGATATCAAGATCAAAATTTCTCTTGTGTTTTCTTTTAAATGATAACTTATAATTTGTAACAAGTGACATGCAAAGAAAACATAAAACTTTCTTCATTGAATATATGTAACATAAAGAAGAAAAAATTAATATGTTTATAATCAGTGTTGAATATCATTATATAGATAAAAAGAAATTATTTTTCTGTCATAAATTTAATCTTAAACTGTTTGATTTCAAGTCAACAGATAAACAAATTTTATTTCTTTCAAAATAAAATGTAGAACTATGGTTTACATATAGATTTAACTATGATTTACATATAGGCATAAAAAACTCACTTTCTGAGCAGTCTGATGCTTGTTTAGCACCAGGGCCAGCAGTTGTCTTATCAGTAGGGCATGCTTTACATGTATCTGTGTTACCAATTGATTCCTTATAAGTACCAGTCTCACAAAGGAAGCATTGTTCTTTGATTGCATCATACTGCTCCCCTTCTTTACACTCAGCTAATGTCAAATTAATATTACATATTACTATAATATGTATTCAAATGTTTCATGTAGACAGATTATATTTAGATATAACAACTTGATATAACAAGAAGATAAAGAGGATATTTGTTTGTTTTGCATGTTAGATTGAAATATATTTCAATGAGTGAAAGCCAGACGCAATATTTTCGCGAGTGGCGTTGAAAACGATTGAAAATAGAATAGCTTGTGTTCACAAATATTTCAATCTTATATGTAAAACAAATAAATTTTCTTTTTATTTCATGCTTTTTAAGTGATTTTTAGTGTTTTTACTGATTTTGATTCTAAATGCCAAATATTCTCCTTTATGACGTCATCACATCATGACGTTTCTCTAATTTCATAACATTTTTGTATTTTCTGACGCTGACATTCAATCTCTGGCACAGAATTTAACGACAAACCTATCAACAAGTAGTTCTCAAAAGAGTTTAAAACTAGCGATGTAAAAGAAAGGAATATTTTTATTTTATTACAAGTATCCAACAAATTACAAGGCATTCAAAGTTTAAAAATAGCATTGGCTTATAGAATTGACAATAAATGCACAATCACAAATTACGCGGTTAATCAATGAAAATGCTATTTTTAGCGATGTCGATTACCGAATACTTCATAGCGTAGTACACAAATAAATCTGACTGTCGAGTAATGAAATATATACATGTCGGACTCAGTTTTGGCGAGAAGATTTTCGATAAATTATTTACATTAGTGTTAAACAACAGGTTTATTGTGAACAAAATACATCAAAACTAATAATTTTAAAGATTAGGAATTACTAAATTCAGAATTGTTTGATTTTATTCAGGCTATCTTCGTGTAACTTCCCCGTGGTACAGGGGTAACGCGCTCGTTTAGGGTGTGAGAGAATAGGGGTTCAAATCCCAGTCAAAGCAACTATTTCTTTAAGTGTCTTTTTTAAAGTAGACACGGTATGCAATGATAATGTGTGGCTGTCATAAAAAACTGAACATGAATTATATTTTTGATGCAACTTTAGTCATGCAAAATTCCGTATGTACATGTATCAAACTCAAACTGTTATAGTAAAAAATCTAAACGCAGTCGCTGCATCTCGGTGCCCTGTAAGATGAATTGATTTATAGTAACTATATAAAAATAAACTTATACAGGAAAATACATACAGATGTACTGTACAGTACGATTTAGATTGCAAAGATCAGAGAATACCACAGAGCTTTCAGCCCTTTGATTAACATGATGTATGAATGACATCGACTTTCTTTTCCTAAAGAAGCAAAATTTACGTATGACAGCATTTTTTTGCTTGTTAATATTCCATTTAGTTATGATATTCTTTTCATCCACATTCAGATACAGTCAGGCTGCAGTGAGAATTATAATTAATAAATTTCCCTGGTGGTGATTATCAGAATATAATCATCTGATATATTACAGTGAAACACTGGAAAGCATGAAATAAATAGAAAAATTGTTTCTTTTGGGCAGTATCTCCTAATACAACTGATGAATCACTGGAGTAAATATTAGCCTCCTAAATGATTAGTATCAATATATATTATTATATATATATATATATATATATATATTGAAATTAATGTATTATATTTGTTACCAATAAGTTCTGAAAAACGATCAATGATAATTATTAATTCTATACTTACGAACACATGCATCGGAGGTAAACTGTCCATTTTCCAGGGTAATTTCTCCATCAGGACAGTTAATACAACCTGTACTTCCCGACTCGGGTTGATATGATCCTGCCTCACAAGCATAACAGCCTGTTTTCGTACCTGGTTTTCTATATTTACCCTTAGCACATACCACTGAAAACATCATCATATATTTTTGACATACATATATAATCTATGTCATAACAAGCATTGAAATCACTTACAAAATAACTGAAATTTTTATGGAGTTTGTTGTTATTTCTTAAATATCTTCTTTTTTTTACAATTTCAACACTGCACAAGGAACCTTTATCATAATTTAACATGTCATATGTATATATATGTGTATATATAAAGGATCTCATATGAACATCTAGCACACTTCATAAACAAGTTTAGTAATAGATTAATATAACAGGACAACAAATGTGAGATTATTTTATCACATGACTGATCACCTTGACCTTGTATAAACTCGGTATGGCATTTAAAAGCACTTTTATATGTTGTTTTTGTATAAAATGTTGATATTTGAATTGAAAAATATGCCTTTTAAAACAAAAACATAACAATTGACCTTTACACGGCAAGTTTCATTACTACCCAAAGGGCTTGGAACCCTCGGAACCAATATTACGATCTGAACTATAACATATGACCAATATCATTAACCTTACATTGATCTTGACCCTACACTTTATAAGTCTGATATCTAGGCTTACTATGTCTTAAAAATGTTAATATTCTGGTTTCACCATGAGTGGGCATACATTCTAAGCTTGCTTTATCTTATGTTTAAAGGTTTAGATTTAAGACTTACTTTGTCTTACATAAGACCAGGTTTTAAGTTGACTTTAGATACCTGGTATCACATAAAGTGTGAAGGAAATGTATACCCAGTGTCACATAATGTGTGAAAAAAATTTATTTCCAGTATCACATAAAGTATGAATGAAATGTATGCCCAGATTCACATAAAGTGTGAATGAAATGTACCAAACCAAAATGCATGCCTGCGACAAGCTTGCCGCAAGCTTGTCGCAAGCTTGCCGCAAGCTTACAGCTTAAATACAAGGTTGCTGCATGCTTGCAACAAGCTTGCGCAAGCTTGCGATGACTTTTGAAATATATTGCAAGCTTGTTTAAAATTCATGCAAGCTTGCAAACATTTGATGTAAGCTTGCAATGCCGCAAGCTTGCAATTAGTAGACACTTAGAAATTTTTTGTACAAATCTACACTTAGAAATTTCTTGTTAAAGTAATGGAAACACTTAGTACACGAAAATTTTTGTCAAAAGTGTACACATTAAAAAAAAATTCCAAAAATGATAGTATCAGTGAAAATTAACTAGTTTAAACTAGATTACCACGCTAAAGTTTATTATTAGTTATTAGTTATTTTATATATTCAGCTCAGTATTGTAAATTTACGAAGAAAATATAAAATCATCATTTATTTTAATGCAAGTTACTGTAAATGATTTGAAATTTGACACTTTATACATTTCATATAGTTGGAAAAGGGTATATCTCAGAAAAAATGTCTGTGCAAAAGAAGTAAATGAATTGATTGTTAAATACATATTATTATTTCAATAAATCTACATGAAGTTATGTACAATGAAATAATATCCATTTAATAACAGGCTTTAAGTTTAACTATAAATTAATTAAAGTCTGTGATTCAATCATTCAGACACTAATAATCAAGATGGGATTGCATTGCTTGCCATTTTTAAATTCTAAGAATTCATGTTTTTGGATAACAATAAATAAATAAATAAACATAACAAAAACAGTGCATGAAATAATCTCATATATATTCTATATTAAATTAATCAATATATATTGCTTTTATTTAGGAAAATAAATACTACATCCACTGAGATTTTTTACGCTACACACATCAGAGCCTTGATAAAATTAATTGACCATCTGTGCATGACTAATTTACTCCCTGGTCATTCCGACAGATCAGGCTGTTCCATGTGATTATTTTGGGGAGAGATAACATTATAAATTTCATATGCAGAATGTGTCTAGAAGGACATTGCAATCTTTTTGTACAAAAATTTGTAATGATTTTTAAAATCTATATATCTATTAGCTATTTGATATTTTCTTTTACGCTCAAAGAATGAAAGTTAAAATGATGAGTAGATTAACCCTGCTTTACATACTGATAGACCTGTCCAGTTTTACAGTAACTGTTGTAAAATTTGAATTCTAAGATATCTGGGTCAGCAAAGAGGATGTACTTGATATTTTAGCAGTTTTGAAGATATTGTTTTGTTTAAGATTTTAAAGTGTTTAAGTATTGGTATGATAACAATCAGAATCACCTGGGACAAGGAGATATACAACAGAATCAGGTATTTATAAACCTTAAGTTACATTAATGCAGAAACAGGTTATATATCAAACTATTAACATTTGTAACAAGAGATCAAGGTTGTTTTTATATTTTCAACTTCATGCATTTGTTTTTCTGATAATTCTTTTTAATCTATACATGTATAATCTGTAAAATATAAATTATTCAATGATTTCTTTTTAATGATTGTTTATATTGTTTAAATGGCATGTTAGTAGATCTTTTTCATTTCCTGCAAATTAAACAAATTAAATCAATTTGATTAAATAGGACTAAATGGTACAATCAGTAGTTTTGTACAGCTGAACAGGGTCAATCATATTCATTTGTTATTTTACATGTATGTGTTGTGTTTTCAACGGAACAATCTAAAATTACATTATACATAAATAATTTGCAGGCTTGGACATTAGTGTGAGAAATAGCGGCATGCAGTGTTTAATAATGATGTGCAGTATTAATCCTGAAAAGGTATATTATTAAATCTCAATACTTTTCTATTCCACATCTTTTCTTGAAAAAATACATACTGGGTAATAAATATTGTCACAAATTTACTTAATTCTCATACAGAGAAATTCTTAAACATTAATGTGCACATTGAAATAAGATAAACTGCATTGCTTTAGTATTTTTTGAAAATACATAAGCATAGTTAATATTTAATAGTTAATACTGTTGAAACATTAGATTTGATGTTATTAAAAGATATGAAATATAACTGCATTTATGCAATAAAACATAGTTCATTACCGCATCTGTGTTTAATTAATTATGAATTTTATCTTTAAAGGTGAGCACAACCATAAGAAGTTCTAGGAAACACAGGCAGAGGACTAAAAATGGACACCGATAAAAGAAATAGTAATTTAAATAATCAGAAACATTTAAAACAAATTTAAGATTGAATAGTTTGTCACTGACAGACTAAGAGCAAACTAATTGCTTAAAACAAAGTGTTGGATTCTAAGAAAACAAGAACCTACTAAAACCTGCAGCTAGAAAAAAACTGTTTGTGTTATAGTGAATGTAGGGTGTTCTATTCTGTATTTGGACTAAAGGATATGTATTAAATTTTGTGAAAGAAATATGTGATCATGTTAAACTCATAAAAATTCTATCCCAAACATTCCTGTGCTGAATTCCGTCCCAGAATTTTACATTTTAAGAACATTCAAGGATGCTGGAATTAGGCTGGATTTTTTCAATGTCATTCCATCAAGGCTATTTACCATGGTAATTGGAAGAAAACATTAGTGTAGCAAATGAAAAATTTAACATCAGCTTCTTTTTACAATTTATGATTAAATAAGTTTATCATGGTAATTAATGCCTTTTTTTTTTTTTGCATGTTACATAGGATTCAGAGACTGTTCGTATACGTAGCAACTCCCTTTCCAAATAGGGTTTACAGTTTTTGCAAGCCTGCGATTAAGCTTGCGCAAGCTTATACATTAAGCTTGCGCAAGCTTATACATTAAGCTTGTAGTTATACATGCACAAGCTTGCGACTTAGCCTGTGCAGGCTTGCGGATAAACCTGCGCAAGCTTGCAAATAAGCTTGCGCAAGCTTACGATTAAGCTTGCGCAAGCTTGCGATTAAGCTTGCGCAAGCTTAAATATTAACTAGTTTGCAGTCAGATTTTTTTTAAATAACTGATCGCAAGCTTGCCGCAAGGTTCCAATTACTAGCCAGTAGCAAGCTTGCAACATAAGCTTGCAGCAAGCTTGTGACAAGCTTGCAATGTTAGCTTGCGATTTTGGTTTGGGATATATATATGCCCGGCATCATATAAAATGTAAAGGAAATGTATACCCAGTATCACGTAAAATGTGAAGGAAATGTATGTCCCAGTATCACATAAAGTATGAAGGAAATGTATACTAGTATCACATCAAGTATGAAGGAAATGTATGTCCAGTATCACATAAAGTATGAAGGAAATGTATTACAAGTATCACATAAAGTATGAAGGAAATGTATACTAGTACATATGTATCACATAAAGTATGAAGGAAATGTATTCCCAGTATCACATAAAGTATGAAGGGAATGTATGTCCCAGTATCACATAAAGTATGAAGGAAATGTATAATAGTATCACATAAAGTATGAAGGAAATGTATGTCCAGTATCACATAAAGTATGAAGGAAATGTATACCAGTATCACATAAAGTATGAAGCCAATGTATACTAGACAGTATCACATAAAGTATGAAGGAAATGTATGCCCAGTATCACATAAAGTATGAAAGAAATGTAAGTCCAGTATCACATAAAGTATGAAGGAAATGTATACCAGTATCACACTGTGTGGCTGCCGTTGCACCTGTGACTGTGTCTGTAGTTGTACCATCAGGACAGGGAGTACACTCATCATTGCCCATTTCAGACTTGTATGTTCCTGCCTTACAAACCACACATTCATCTCCTGCCTTGTACTTTCCTGGTACACAGTGCACTGATATTGAAATAAAATAATACATGTAACATAACTTGATAACTAGTACACCTATTGTTGTCAAGTTTTAAATCAAGCAAGAGAAATAGCAAAGGTGGTTAAAGATGAACCAAGGTTGAGACAAATCATGTATATATAATCCCAATTCAGGCATGTAACTGTGGTCAATGCCCCTCTCTGAAGCACTTGTATTTATCAAATTCACACTTAGTCTAATTACAATCATTAACTATGAGTTCTTTGTTGTAATGTGGTTGATAGTCACCTTTGAATTATTTAAGATTTTGCCATTACATAGTGTTAAATTTATAGAACAAATAACTAAGGCACAGAAAGATATCAAATTATAAACATGAATATTATTTCATTTTTGTTTTGTAAATATCTAATTATCAATTACAATTGTAGATCTACAATAAAACTTATTTTGAAAATGAATTAAACTTTTCTATAGAAAAAAAAAGATTTGTTTACATAAAAGTGAATTAACATGTTTGTAATTATCTTTATTCTAATTAATAACAAGCACTGACTGAAGAGCAGCATGTTCTGGTTAGTTTAAACTTCAAGTTTCGTAGCAAAAGAGAAAATATAGGGTTAAGGTCATATAGGCCTTAAAATGGGTGTGGTAAATTAGACTCATCAAGATGCATTCACATGTCAAGCTATTCACTAATCACCATAAAACAAAGAAATAATAAAATTTTAATTAAGTTCATAGTCATATGACCTTGACCTTTAAACTTTTGACCTCAATGATTGTGGCAACTCTTCAAGGTGCATCTACATACAAAATTTGCTTGTTTAATGTTTTGTTATTTTGTTATTACTAGTCCTAGTGATCTTAACGTTTAACATTTAGACCTGAAATGCATGTTGCACACCCAGCTCATCAAGGTCACCAATGTTTCCAGTTCCTTTATCACTACACTTTCACTGAATGACCATTTAAATGTTTTGATAGAACAGGTCTATGTGACCTTGACCTTTATCTACATACAAAGTTTTATGTTTCCTTGGTCAATTCACTTTGATTAAATGACTAGTTTTAGGTTTTGTTATTACAGGTCTCAGCGACCTTGACATTTAGCCTTTACACCTGTCAATGGGTGTGGCTGGTAAAATTTATCAAGGTTAAATCTACATACAAAATTTAAAGTTCCTAGGTCAATACGGTTTGCTTTAATATCCAAGTAATGTTAAGATATTACAGGTCCCTGTGACCTTGACCTTTGACCTGTAAATATGTGTTGCATGTACAACTCACCAAGGTGCATTAACATGCATTGTTTAAATGCACTTTACTGTTATAGCCAGTTGTATTCTGCTATCACAGGACCCTGTGACCGTTACCTTTGAACTAAAAATAGATGTGGCTGGAAAAAGGTGCATCAACAGAAAAGGTCAACCAATGCCAAAGCTGACAAGAAAGAAAGAAAGACCTTTTATGTCATTTAAATGTATTTAAACTACCTAATGAAACATGAAATAAGAAGACAGATTGAAATAATCCTGCATGCATGCACAAACACGTGCACACATACATACACACACATAACATCTGATCTGAAGAATGAAATCAAAATCCAAAATTTATCAATACTTACATAAATCACAGGAGCCTTGTCCAACACCATCAGTTGTTAATCCATCCTGACATTTTTGACAACTAGCATCATTTCCTACAACACTTTTATTGAAACCTTCGTTACATCTATCACAGCTTTCCTTACCATCAACTATATTATACTCTTTACCAATGCTACAACGGTCTGAAAGTAAAATGCTTGCTGTTCAAGCTACATGCCTCCAGATGAGTCAAAATAATTCAATAAAATCAATCTTGAGAAAATGTACAGATTTAAGGAAAAGTAAAAATTTAAAGTTTCAAGTAATATGCGATAAATGACTGGTCTTTCAGTATTTCATCTATATTTCTACTGTGTTCCCAATGCAGTAAAGGCTATTTATGCATATTTTGACCACTTTTTGGTAATTTATGTGGTTTGTAAGTGCCATTGAAAATGTATAAATTGATTCCTTTTGGTTACTTCACAATATTACACATTCGAATACATTTTCATAATTTTCATGACAATTAGCATGAATCTGTAGGCGTGTGCTTGTAAGTTTCCCCCGTACCAAAAGGAAAGGTTTGCCGCAAACTCGCCGCAACTTTGCCGCAAATTCGCTGCAAACCTTTTAGTTCGCCAAAACACTGTGTCAAGTGTTTGCCAGATATCGCCACTAGTGGCAACTCTGTGGCAAACATTTGGCGACTTTGCGGCGAATTCACCAGAATATTAAGTAGTTCGCCAAAAGTTTGCCAGAAACTTTCAGTGGAAAACTAATTTGCCAGAGATTGCCAGAATCTTTCTATCAAAAAAATATTCGCTGAAAGTTCACCAGAAACTTTTCTATAAAAACAAAGTTTGCCAGATAATCGCCACAAACATATCAGTTCTGAAAGTTAATCCAACTTTTTTCAGTAAATAAAACTATTTTGCCAAGGAATTATATTATTATGCACATATAAAAAAAGTCCTTCATGTACCTACCTATAACACGGATTTAAATGTCAATTAAAGTCCGTGCTATAACCTACCTACCTACCCAACCTTATTTTTATGGGTCGGGAAGTGGAAACAAACAAATTTTTATTTTTTGCCTTAGAGATTATCAAATTGAAACATCATATGTATCATGGAGGGTATTGTAGTTCACAATAACAGTTAAAAAAAATTATAAGGTAGAAGACCCATAATGAAATCGGCAATCTTCGACAATTACCGCCATATCTCGCCATTATTCGTAACGAACTTCGTTTGTTTACGTATAAAGTCGGAATTCTAATACATATAGCGAATATCCCCGGGTCACGTGGTAGTATTCCCCAAGAAAATGACGTAATTTCCGCAGATATCTAACATGGTCGTCTTACAGCGTGATACGCTCGGTCGATTAAAAAAAAAAAAAGTGTAAAAAGATGCAGAAAACTCAAGTATTCCGACTTTATTATAGAACATAACTATAGTGCAAGGTAACCAGTTATTACGTGTCAACCAAACCAGCTCTACAAGACATCAACTCTTCCTAAATCGGTTGATAATGAGGGTTGGAAAGCAAGGGAAGAAGAATCGTTGAGTTTGGCGTGTATGCGTCAAACCCTAAGATTTTGTTAAAAAATGTAGACTTGGACCAGTTGGCTACCATTAACAAGCACTGATTAACTTTTGACAACATGTTAGGTGAATTTAAACAGGGAGTGTCTGGTTATTTGTATGTGAAATGTCGAAACACAGAATGCGGTCATGTGAAGTTGTGTCCGCTATGGAAAAACACACAGACTCTAGTAAATTGAAGACCTGTGAAAGTTGGAATGCCATGGTTCGTTGTCAAAACACAAAATTGAGGAACAGGGTAAGCTGATTAATTGTATTGCATCATAGTTTACATTAAGTACTATATATTGATAATGAATTCATAGATGTAATGTCTCGTACCAAAATGAAATATATCGATACATTATGCATTTTATTCAGTGTTTTATTTACTCGTCTTCCAATGATGTCAAACATATAAAATTATGCGGACCAAATTTATAGTTTCAGATTTATAAATAATTAATTTATTATACAGAATACATGATCTTGTTTGTGTTTAGCTGTAAAACAACTACTCCTTATTGTGAAAGAAGTGGCTACCGTAACGGCTAGCCCAAAGTTCTAGCCGTACGTGACTCACATATCCATATAATTTTTTGAAAAGTCGCCGTACGGTTAGCCAATACCCAGTGTGTCCTTGCCTAGATCGTACGTTGACTCACCGTACGGCTAGAAACTTTTGGCTAGCACTAAACGGGCCCGTACGGGCTGCCACTTCCTATTGTGAAATGTTTTATAAACTTCCCTACTGAAAACATGATTTTAATTTCCACCAAAGTCACTGCAAGAAATTTGAAAAAGCAAATGATAAAACGTTGCCTAAATATAAATCTTGCAACAATGCAAAATTTTTAGTAAGACATTACAGAATCCTTACCTGTTACATTATATAAAAGACACAGGTTTACACTAGGCTGCCAATGCACACAGTCACAGTAGCTACTTAATATTCAACGTACATGAGGCAGCTAAAAATTAGCCTCGTATATTAATTTTATGGCAAGTGTTATTATCATGGTTATGCTAAAATTACAATCCATGTGAAGTTTTTTTTTTGACAAAATATTTTGTATACTTTAATGAAATAATTTGTTTCTTTCATTTTTCTTACAGCATATGATTGATAGTGTAGCGTGGCGCGCGTGAGGGTCAAACAATTTGTTGTCAACACTAAAGATTACCAACAATTGAAATAAAAACATGAAAAGAAATGGAGAGACGTGTTGGAAATATCATTGAGACAGCACTGGTCTTCTTATGCCGACAGAATCTGCTGCATAAGATCAAGGAAATGGAGTAAGACACGATTTACATTTACAATGATATTTTCGAAATAACATGGTACTGAAATTGGAAGAATTTAACAAAAATTATTTTGTAATTATATGTCTATGCAGCTTATCATGGTATTCAATCCTATATTGCTGGCCACCACTCGTGGTTTAGGGAAACCAAAGAATATTATACAATCCAATATGAGAAAGAATTTTTAAACAATGGCTTTGTTGTTTTTGCATGTTACTATCTGATATTCATCGTACATTATTTCTTTTTTTCAAAATAACATGAATGTGTAATTGTTTTTTTTTAAAAAAAGTATTTATTTCTACATGACAAACTGGGTCCGCCTGGGCCTCCATTGCCATTGGTACTTGTTGCTTGGTCATATATGGGGTTGCGTTCATTGAACGCCACCTTTCCTTGTTGAGTCTTGTTTATCATATTTTACCTTCATTGTTAAGACTAAAATTCATATTAAATACATGCCATTCTTTTTAAGGGATGTGCATCATGAAGAACCGAAATGGTATCAAGAACACAACGATCATGGAAAGATCTTATTGACAAAAAAATCTCGGAGGATGTCCTTGCCAGCATGTTTGCCAGCCACTTAAAGTGAGTACTGGTTAAGTTGTTTTGCTGTATTTTGTTTATTTACGAAAGTAAAGCGCACTATTGCAAAAACTGACATGGTGTGTTTAACTGTTTGTGTTATGTCAGTTGCTTCAATATATGAATATCTCTCCATATACTTTTTGTACATAATGTATTTTTTTTTTTTATTCAAAGGTCTATTCATCAGTCAAATGCTACAGTTACAAATGACAGTGAATGGTGCAGATGTTATACAATTGTGATTAACATATCCTCAACAATACATCAAAAACAAAAATGCCTATTAAACTGTAAGTTTGAAAGCTATTGAGTCTTTTTAATATATTTATAATCATGGTTAGCATTTAAATATAATACTGTGATATTTTGCTAATAGCTATTTTGGGTCGTCTTCAATAGAAACAATTTGATGTATCTTCATGTTGATGAATAATCGATATGCAGTCCGAATTATTTCATAAAAAGTGATACTAAAATTTGTCAGGAAAAAAAAGTCGTGCAATTAGGCATTTAATAATTAACAAAACTTATTCTAGTAAACTGCTATGAAAACATTGTGCTTACATTAATTATACATATGTTATTGTCAATTCATTGTTGTTCAATCTTCAATATTTGTCAATATTTACGTTTAAAGATAAATTTTAAAATACAGAAAATATTTTTGAAATATATTTTTACAATTACAGTTCTCCACAGACCAGTCAAAGGTGGTTGAAACAATCAGAAGTGGTTCCAGCATCTTAAAAAAACACTCACAGCAGATTATAGACTTCCCCGAAATTTCCCTGTAAAAACCCGCAGCTGTTATGTCCAGTGCAGTAGATACTGCCTGGCACAAAAGAGCATTGACAGTTTAACACCTAAGTAAAATAAAGCATTATTTTATCCCCCACAATGTGGGAGCATATAGCGGGCACTTGTCAGTCTGGTCCCAAAATCTTGTGAACGCAACTCCTTCTAAACCGGATGGCAGATTTATGCTTAAACTTCCAGGGATTAACAAACTTAATGTGTATATGCGTAGTAAAGTAAGGAATTTTTGCTGCAACTAAATTTAAACAGAATAATGCGCCTTTGCTTGATTTTTTTAGTTTTTCAACTTGTGCACATGTAGTCCCAAAAACTATTTGGACTAGAGTATAAGATTGACAGAACAGTAGGCATGTGGGGCATCCGTGCTTTTATTGACACATTTCAAGTTTTTCTCAGTCTTATGTCAGTAATGATTTAGCAATTTGTCAGAAAAGTATCTGTGTATATTTATAACACGTGCTTATTTGATGTATAAATGAAAAAGTGAGTTTGCATACAAAGTAAGACTGGATAGTTCAACATTAGTTCTTTCAAACAGTGGCATTTTTAGAAGGAAAATCCTAATGGTATATTTGAATGACCCTGCGTATTTAACTTTGAGTTCTGCACCTAGCTGTCATGTCACAGCATGGCTTCATTTTGTGAATCGCCTCTATGGAGGAGTGGCCAAATATAGGGCATCATTTTCTCCGTCGTCTTGTCTATCTGTCCGTCCGTCACAAAACTTGTCCGGACTAACCCTCATAAACTACTGTTGCAATTTCATCCAAACTTACAAGGACATGATCATACCAAGTCTAGTTGTGCATTTTGTCAGCATTTCCGGTTCAATGATTTTGTCAGAGTTATGCGCCCTTAATAATTTTTTATTTATTTAAAGTTTGTAACGTTGACTACTTGCCTTAATACCACTAATGCAATTTCAATGAAAACTTTACAGGGTTGATCTGTAACCTTAAGTCCTTGGCTGGCATATTCATGAGTTTTCCGGTTGAATGTTTTTGGCCGAGTTATGGCCCTTGATAAAAAGCGTTGTTTTTTTCGGGTGTGTTGCCCAGATACACAAAAGCTGTCCTGACTACTTCGCCATAAACTACTGGTGCAATTCATCAAAACTTTACAGAATGATCATTACCAAGTCCAAGGTGCATATTGTCAGCATTTTCCGGTTCAATGATTTTGTTCAGAGCTTATGGCCCTTTTTTTTTAATTGTCCGGACTACATCTCTATACCACAAATGCAATTTTCAATGAAACTTTACAGGATTTGCATCTGTGCTCAAAGTCCTTGCACATATTGCACAGCGTTTCGGTTGACATGATATTTTGGCAAGTTTGATGGAAAAGTGTTGTTTTCTGTGTGTTGCCAGAACATAATGAAAGCATTGTCCGACTACTCCTCAAAAAACTACTGCGTGCAAATTTCATACCAAACTTTAAAGGAATGATCAGTACCAAGTCTAGTTAGTGCACTGTCTGTACTGTCACGAAAACTTGTCCCAACATGAAATTGCGCCATCATGAGGCGACACATGTGCATCACTGAATCGCTCTTGTTTGTTATTTTGGTGTTTTAACATGATACCTTGATTCTTAACTAAGTAGATAAAACTTATAATATCATGAGCCACTTGTCATTCTGTAAATAAATTAGGTTTTGCAATGCAAATACATGTTCATACCCAACAGCATCAAAGATTCAAGCCTAGCAATAAAATAATAATTGCTCTTTGTTTTATTTTCTTCATTTGTAAGTGGGCTTACTAATAGATTACTGCCACTTTACTTTCAAAGTGGGGTTTTGGGGTATCAATTCACCTTCAGTGATAGTTCTAGTTGATCCAGTATAAACAGGTAACATGGAAATGAAAAATAAACCTTGTTTTTTCAGTGTACTTGCACCAATAAACGTAAATATGGAGAGAAAGCTTAGTCACCAAAGCAGTCAACACCAAAATACACAACAATGGCCAGGGCACTGAAACTTGGAAGAGAAGAGTAAAGAGTGCGTTTTTAGCTAACAAAGTGACATTGCAAAGCTTTTGTCTATCTTCGTCGTAAACTTGAAATCTTTAAAACAACATCTCATAAATTGCCAAGCCAATTTCATTGGGCAAACCTACGATAGTGTCTAGTCAGTTTTTTGTTTTTAGCTTGCAATCGCTATATAGACATGACTAAGACATTAGTTATCTAATTACTTATGGTTTATGTATTATAAGACCAAAATATATTGCTTAAGATCATTTTTACCAAATTTGAAAGCCACTATGTTCCTAAGTCAGTTTTTTTGTTTTTGCTTGCAATCTATAATTACATGCCTAAGCACAATTTAGTTTAATCTCTTAATAGTTATGTCTATATTTGTATAAGACCCAAAAATATTGTTAAAATTCATTTTTTACCAATTTGAAAGCCATTAAAAGCTCTAGTTTGTTTTTGTTGCTGCTTGAAATTGTTATATGACATGACTAAAGACATTTAGTTTAAAATCTTTAGTTATTATTCTATGAGGCGGCATCCGTGGCCGAAGTGTGTTCAAGGTCATTGACTTCAAACCACTTGCCCCTTCACCGCTGTGGGTTGGAATCCCGACAGGACTTTGAATCTGTCTTGTTGAGGAAGCTATTCCAGCTTAAGCTTAAACTAAAACGTCAGTGGTTTCATACTCAGCATACGGCCGTTCGTTGCCTGAAATAATGCAAGGAAGGGCACTCTGAACAGTCACGGATATGACCTTTACTGTGTTGATGTGACGTTTAAAAACCCAAAAACAAGCAAACAAAAAAATTATGTCTATTGAAAATTCGTTGTTTGTATAAGACCCAAATAATATTGTTGTGATTAATTTAAACAATTTGAAAAGCCATAATTGTTCGGTTCAACGATTATTGGTTTGCTCACAATCATAATGTTATATACAGAGAGTTTAAATCTGAAGGTATTATGTCCATGAAATATGCTTGTTTGTTTAAGCACCAAAATATAAATTTTGAGATTTCATTTTTACAATTTTGGAAAGCCATATTCGTCTTTAGTCTGTTTTTGCATAACACATAACGGCTATTGTTTAGTTATTTATTCGTTATTAATAGTGATTTGTCTAAGTGGATGTCGAAAGTATGTATGTTAATACCATGCCAGTTCATGTTTGAATGAAACTTTTTGTCCAGATAGAAGATTTCAAACTGTAACTTTTCTGATTTTTATCTTTTACAACAATATTATATTTCCCATTTATTGCTTAAGAAATACTGCAACATGTGCTGAATAATAGCTATTGTCAAACATTTTATATGCTCCCCGAAAAATTTCGGCGACCATATAGTCATTGCGGTTGTCTGTCCGTCTGTCTGTTACGTAACATACGAAACCTGAATTCGTGTCCAGCCCATAACTTTGTTTATTTCAAGTGCGATTTTAAAACTATTTCACAGAAATGCTCACCATATTGAGACGACCTGTCGCCCCGCAACATTTGGCGTCGCTACCTTGAAGCGTCAAGGTCACACCGATGACCGTTGAACAAAAATCAGGTGTCGCTGCCATAACTTCGTTATTTGAAGTCGGATTTTAAAGCTATTTAAAAGTAATGATCACCATATTGAGGACGATGTGTCGTGCCGCAGCATTTGGGGTCGTTACCTTGAAGGTCAAGGTCACAGCATGACCTTAAACAAAAATTGTGCCGGCCCATAACTTGGTTATTTGATGTCGGATTTTACAACTATTTTCACAGAAATGATCACCATATTAAGACGACGTGTCGCACACACCATTTGGGTCAATACCTGAAGGTCAAGGTCGCAACATGACATTGAAGCAAAAATCGTGTCCGCGCCCATAAATTCGTCTATTTGAAGTCGGATTTTACAACTATTTCACCGAATGATCACCATATTGAGACGATATGTCACATGCAACATTTGGGTCATTACCTTGAAGGTCTAGGTCACAGCATGACCTTGAAGCAAAAATGTGTACGGCCCATAACGTCGTTATTTAAAGTGGGATTTTACAACTATTTTGGAGATTATCACACTTTGAACTTTGTTCTGGCACATAACCCTGAAACTTCAAAAGATATACTTTTCTGTATCTAGGATTCACCCCGCGTTCAACCGCCCAGCTCTTGTTTTAATTGATTATTAAGTAATATGAACAATTCGATGATAGCATCATAACTAAAGAGTGGGCAAATTTATGAAAGTCAAATATGTATTAGAATCAGTTTGCTAATAAAAAAAGTGTGTACAAATTTATTCTCTTTTGGTGAATTAATTTCTTTATTTTACAAATTTAATCAAATTTCATTTATTCTACTGATATGTTTGTAATATTTCCTTTATTTTCTATTTGAAAAAATGTGTTAAACCAATATGGTTATTTTTTTCTTAAGTAATTCAGCTAGTTTTTTTTATTCCAATGGGTTTGAAAAAAAATTGTTCGCCAGAACTTTACCAAAATGTTTGCCAAAATTAATCGCCATAACATATTTGCTGAAACTGGCAAATATGCAAATAAGTTGTTCCGCAGTGTTACCAAAAGCTTCTGGCGAAAACATTTCCCAAACTTACTATGCAAATGAAGTTTGCTGCAATTTTCCGGCAAACTTTTGGCGAAAAATCTGCAAACTTTTACCATGCAAATGAGGTTTGCGGTTTAAAATTTGCCCGCAAACAGAAGCTACCTCCCCCTATAGTTTGCGGCAAAGTTTGCCGCTAACCTCCATGAGTTCCGGCAAAAATTTGCCGCAAACCTTATTTGCATGGTAAATTAATGCCCTGAAAGCAGTTTTGTCCGCAAAACTCACCGCAATGTTTTGCGGCCCAAATTTGCCGCAATGTTTCACCAGAGAGCCCTTTTTTTGGTAAGGGGCGCCATGACAATTGTAAGTAATTCCCATAGTTTTTTTTTAATATTATTACAGCTCCCATAAATACCTTATCTAATACAGTCGCATTAAATCATTACAGCAACAATTAATACATTGTACCTTTATATAACATTTATTTAATCAGTCTAGCACTTACAAACATCACAGGCCGTTCTATTTTCATTTGATGTACGATCTTCATTTTCACATTTTTGACATAATTCATATCCTGCATTTGGTTTTACCATTCCCTCATTACATTTCTCACATGAAGTGTTACCTTCTTGGCCAGGACCACATTCAGCTGTAATTAAATTAAACTTCTAAAGAAAACAAGATAGTTATTTTGAAACTTTTTTAACATGTTCTCAATATTTCTAATAAACAAATCCATGATCAATTCTCTGCCTTTTGGTGTCAAATAAGTAAATGCTGAACATTTTTTCTAGTGCAGCAAGTTAGATTTATGTAATTAAACTATTTAACAGGAGAAGTTTGATTGCCCTAATATGGTTCACTTTAGAAGTTTTGGTCCGAAAATTGTCCACCTTAAAACTGTTGTTTGACAAGGGCATAATGACTAAAATGTGATGGTTATTTAATCACAATGAAAATTTTCCATGATCAAAATTTTATTTCAAACACAAAAACTGACCAGCAACTGTTGTCTAAACTTAAAGAAAAAAGCTGAAAAAAATTCAACAAGTCACTGGGTTATGACCCAAGAATGAAACAAGAAATGTCGAACGACACATATGCCCCCCTTTCTAGCCCTTGACTCACATTAATGTTTTTTTTTGTTATAGAAACTAGCCATAAATGGGTACATGGAAGTGTTCAGTTATGGAAAAAAGAAAAATAATGAAGACTTTGTGATAAATAGTTTTCAAGATAATGAGCGGACACAATCCTGACATGTATGACCCATGTGACCTTGACCTTTGAAAAATTGACCCAAAATCAATAGGGGTCATCAAATAGTAATGACCAATCAATATTAGAAATATGAAGACTTTGTGAAAAATAGCTTTCAAGATAATGAGCGGAAACCAAACTAACATTCAAGGACCCTGTGACCTTGACCTTTGTACTAGTGACCCCAAATCTATAGGGGTAACTTACTAGTTATGACCAATCAGTATGCAAAATATGAAGACTTTGTGATAAATAGTTTTCAAGATAATAAGCGGAAACCATTCGGAAATTTAAGGCTCATGTGACCTTGACCTTTGAACTTAGTAGAGACCCAAAAAGCAATATGGGTCATCTACTGGTTATGACCAATCACTATGTGAAATATGAAACCTTTGTGATAATTAGCTTTCAAGATGAGTTGAAATCATACTACCATACAAGGACACTGTGACCTTTACCTTTGACCTGGTGACCCCATAATCAATAATTGTTATCTACTTGTAAAGAACAATAAATATGTGAAATATAAAGATTTTGTGATAAATAGTAACCAAAATAGTGAGCGGAAAGAATTCTAACATTTTTGGCCCCTGTGACCTTGACCTTTGACCTGGTAACCCCAAAATCAATTGGGGTCATTTACTTGTTATGGCAATCAGTATGTGAAATATGAAGACTTTGTGATAAAAAGTTACAAAGATAATAAGTTGAATTACAAAACTACAAATTCAAGGCCCATGTTACCTTGACCTTTGATATAGTGACCCCAAAATTAATAGGGGTCATCTACTAGTTATATGACCAATCACTATGTGAAATATAAAACTTTGTGATGAATACTTTTCAAGATAATCAGCGAAAACCATACTGACATACCTTTGACAAAGGGACCCCAAAATCAAAAGGGTTCATCTACTAGATATGACCAATCACTATGTGAAATATGAAGACTGTGATGCATACTTTCAAGATAATCAACAGAAACCATTCTGACATTTAAGGCCCCTGTGACCTTGACATTTGACCTAGTGACCCCAAAGTCAATATGGGTCATCTTCTAATTATGACCAATCACTATGTGAAATATAAAGACTTTGTAATAAATTGTTTTCAAGGTAATCAGCGGAAACCATGTGGTCTACCGACAGACAGACCGATGGACCGATATAAGCAAAACAATAAACCCACTCTTCTTCAAGGGGTGGCATAATTTAATACAAAACTGTACCTCTATAAAATATTTGAGAACCAAAGGTAAAGATTAACAAAGATTGTTAGTGGGTCAGGCTTTACATCTAATAACAAATATTCTTGCATAAAAAAGTGCAGTAAATAGATGGAAACATTGCACTGTTTTCATATATGTGACTCGGGATGCCATGTTAAAATAGCTGACTGCAATGATAATTTTATTATATTAGTGTCAAACTACATGTTAAACTACATAGCAATCATTCAGGCATCACCTGCATGAATTGCTTGAATTCTTATTATAAATACCAAAACTCACTAAATTTTGTTGATCAAACTTACTCTGACAGGCTTCAGGACTGGTACTTCCCTCACCAACAGTATTTAGATTGATTCCACATTCTATACATTCAGTTTTTCTTGGTTTATCTTGATAAGTCTTTTTAGGACATAGTGTACATTCACTCCCATTAATCTTAGATCCTGCTGGGCAGTTACCTATAAACAAAATAATTCTGTTAGATAAAATTGTGAAATTGAAAAAAAGGAAACTATTATATATGTCATGTATTGCATCCTTTTCCCTACTCAATCAACATTTAACCTGCTAAATTAACATTTACCCTGCTAAATTAACATTTAACCTGCTAAATTAACATTTACCCTGCTAAATTAACATTTACCCTGCTAAATTAACATTTCTCCTGCTAAATTAGCATTTTACCCTGCTAAATTGACATTTGTTCCGTAAAATTAATATTTACATACATGCCATAAATTTAGACTCATTTCCGGGACACTTTTCATTTGGAGGTGGGGCATTGATCAGCAAACGTATTTTTTTTTAATTTACATAGTGGCATACAACCTATATTACAGGTGTTTACAACTTGCAAAGTTAATGACACCATAAACAAAAGACAGAATGTCAATAATTATTGACAGTTTTTCTATCTTTTTTAAGTATTTGCGCATCGTTAATTCAAACATTCACAGAATATAATAAAGCTATATTAAGTACTGACAATTAGCCATGTCGTTTATTTGCAACATTCGCTGAATCTTGTAGATTTCATCACCTCATATTTAGCGGTAATTTTCACGTGCTTGACCACTAATAACTGCCTCCAGGCGGATTAAATTTATACGAAAGGGCACGTAGATATACCAATTTAAGGATAAGTGTCACCATTGCAATGCTGTTTAGGGAATAATCGTTCGTTATTAGCGTTCTAAACTAGTTTATAAAATCTTGACAATAAAATTATATAAAAATATAAAATTTCTTGCTTCAAAGTAGATTATTTTTTATTTTTTTTACCGGGACATAAATCATCTCCAGGACACCCCCGGGACAGCCACCTTATTTGGGGACTGTCCCTAACTAACCTTTGTTCTGCTAAATTTACCTTAGCTCTGCTAAATTAACCCTAACCCTGCTAAATGTAACCTAGCCAAACTAAATTAACCCTAGCTCTGCTAAACTAACCTTTGTTCAGCTAAATTAACCACAGCCCTGCTTAATTAATCTAAACTCTGCTTATTTACCTCAGCTATGCTTAATCAACCCTAGCTCTGCTCAATTAATCTTAGCTGTGCTAAATTTACTGTTGCCCTGTAAAATATACATAGTGGTCTTTGTCTATTTTTAGCAAACTGAACCAACAAATAAAATAGTCAGAGAAAAGTGTAAAAGAATTGCTGGTTTGCCTTACTGGCTATTAAGGCTCCCACGTTTACAATTTTTTGTAAACGTTTACACGATTGCTCAGGACCGAAACGATACCGTTTAAACGGTGGTACTTCTACACCATGTATTCAAGTCTCAAATGATGACTTACTTTTTATTTACAAATAATTTAATGTTCAGGGCCCATCACAATTGAGTCCACACACATTTTCTGCATTGTATCCTCATTTCGCTCTTTTGAAAGATCAAATGATAATCAACTTTACCAATGTATTATGTCACGATTAGTGCATGGTAATGCTGTGTGAAGGGTTGTAAATACCTGTTTTCCGTATTTTACTTTGGAATAAACCAATTACAATTGATAGAATTCATGATTACTGGCAATGATTAAGATATTTTGTAAGACAATGTAGTCATTTCGATTAAACGGTAAAAATTATCGTAAACGTTTTTGACTGAAAATCGAAACAAATCTGTTTAAACGTGTAACCGTGGGGGCCTTACTGGCTATCATATACCTGTCAGATATCACTGTCATAATTTAAACAGTTTGATATTTTATGAGAACATCATATTTAATGAAACACTGACACCTTGATTAATTCAGTTCCAAACACATTTATATATAATGCTTTTAAATAAGCATGGACATATAATTTTACTATAAATATACCTACATTTGTTATATATCACTCTATCTAGAACCTCTTGTGAACATGTGTAAACATGTTATTTTGGTTACATTTAAATCAGCTCTGAAACAATATACAGACAGGTGTTGTGTTTTTATGTAATATGAGCCAAACATAGAATATGTAATGATCATCGGGTAAAGATTATTTTATACATTTTCTTTGTTTTTCTTTGTAAGTAAATGACATACGTATTGTGCACTGTTCAGCTGATTTAGATCCAAAATTACTGGCTACATATCCAGGTCTCTCTGTTTCACATTCTACACATAATCCAAACCTGTCATCATCACCTTTAAAACTCTCTATTGGACAGCTCTCACATTGTAGTGTGTCTGCATTATATTGTTTCCCTCCAGGACAAGTTGCTAAAATAAATGTAGAAAAAAATTCTGAATGTGTTTTCTGATTATAGTTTTAAATTTTGTTATTGTTTTCATAGGTATTGTGATAATTTTAAGGCTTTAATGGTGTTAGAAGTAGACCCTTAAATCCCCTTTATTAGCAGTCACTACATTGATACAACACACTAATTGATAACTAATAAGAAATTTATTAACAATGTTGTCACATTATATAGTGACATGATGTGTTAAACTTTTACTGAAACGTAAAACAGTACTCCCATGTTCAAATGAATTAAAGATCCCTTACGTTTACAAAGTGAAGAATTATTTGTCCCTGTTTGTTCAGTGCCATAAACAATGCCATTTGTAGTTCTACATGGAATACATTGAACTTGTGAGTTTGGATATTCAACTTCAGAGTAATAATCCATGACACAATCTGTGCATACATTTTCCTTCAGGTATTGGCCTGCTACACACTTTGCTGTAAATGGTAAAATAACAAATAATTCAATTTTATTTTGTATTTATTCCTGCTAACAGAAGAATCTTTTGCAATATTCATATAATATATTCCCTAAGTCAAAGTTGAAGGGACATGAATTCATGATAGTGAAACTGTTTATATCCACTGGAGAAAAAAAAAACAACCTCAACAGCTTTTATTCAACCAGCCTATTTTTATCAGTGAAAGTTGGCTAATATGCAAAATAATCTGACCTCATATTATTTCTGATAAAGATATGAATATACAACTGAATTTTATTGTAATTTTTTAGCAAGCACACACTGATATATCTGTAACATCTGGAGGGATTTTGTAATGCTATTAATTAATTGTAGCTAACATTGAGGGATATGAAATTATTAGAACATAATTTATATCTATTTTAAGAAAGTATTTATAAAACATAAATGCTAATCTTACCAGTTCTGCAGGAAGATAATCATAATCTGGTACACTGAGTTTGGGCCAAACATTTTATTTTACATTTTCATAAACTCATTTCTGTACAAGTAATTGCAATGAAATATATGAAACATACGTAAAGTACACAAAGATCCACTGATTGCCCCTGTATTGTTGGTAGTTTTACCATCCGGACAGACAGTGCAGTTACCAAATCTAGCATCTCCAACATTCTCTTTATATGTTCCTCTTTCACATGGCTTACAAGATGACTCAGAGAAGAACCGTCCAGCATCACATATAGCTGAATAAAACAAACAACAATATGTCATATCCTTTTATCACTACAAAGATAGTTGTACTTTGAAAAAGATATGTATTTTATGCTAGTCAATATCACACTTTGTAGTTCATATTTCTTTTGTTAGTCAACATTACATGTTGTTATCGGAATTTCTAAATTCTCAGTAAGAAGTCCAATTGTTTACATTTCTGTTGCTTTATTTTGTGTTAGTCAATATTTCATGTTTGTATCATGACGGAATTTCTAATTTTTCCCCTGTTTTTGAGATAAAACAAATTGTTTACATTACATAATATGTTTCTTTAATTTAGACAATATTACAAGTTTGTAGTTTATTTTGTTTATGGCTTTAATAAAAGTCCATTTACAACACAATTTTACGGAGCCCCTAAGGTGACATTATCCACACTTTTTTCCCCGGAACTTAATTCGTTTTTACGAAAAAATAATTCGTAATTACGAAATAATAATTCGATTTTACGAAATATTAATTCGTAATTACGAAATATAAATTCGTTTTTACGAATTATTAATTTGTTTTTACAAAATATTAATTCGTAATTACGAAATATTATTTCGTTATTACGAAATATTAATTCGTTATTACGAAATATAAATTCGTTTTTACGAATTATTAACTCGTTTTTACGAAATATTAATTCGTAATTAGGAAATATTATTTCGTTATTACGAAATATTAATTTGTTATTACGAAATATTGATTCGTTTTAACGAAATATTATTTCGTAATAACGAAATATTATTTCGTAATTACGAAATATTAATTTGTAAAAACGAAATGTTATTTCGTAATTACGAAATAATAATTCTTAAATACAAATAATATTTCGTAAAAACCAATTAAATTTTATCAAGGGTTTCAAAGAGTTTTGGTAATAGATATTAATAAGGCCTCGAAACTTAGTTCCTGACAGAATATAAGACATGTAAATGTAATATCAATAGTGATTTTTTTTCTCCCCAAGTCTATTGTATATAAATCAAACTAATCGCCTCAGGCAATAGCATATATTGCCGCCACAGCCGTGATAGTACACGCGCTAGGAAAATTTTGTTAAAATGGATGTCCTATGCTTCAAATCCAAACACGGACATCATTTTCTGTTTCATTTAGTCGAATTTATTGAGTTTTGAAATAAACTGTTATGTTTTTATGATCACATAAATTGTAAGGAAATATTCTTTTTTTATTAAATTGATTAGAGTAGTGAAAGTCTGGATCCCCCTCGTCCCTTTAGTTTTACTAATGTATATGGTAAAAGAAAGTAATAATAAAGCATGTTTCTTTTTTAAAGAAAAATGTAAGAAATGATTAATTGTCTCAAAAATTAAGACATTGCTGATAGGAACATGCATTTGACAATGGGGAAAAAGAGACCATTTTGGATAGAGAATGACTCCTCACTCAAAAACCTTGTTCGCTTAAATATAATAACTTGAGAACCATTCGGCATATAATCGCAAGGTTGATCCAGGCTTGTAAATGATCCCTTTGTGAGATTAGTAGGTTCTTTGTCCAGCTTACAATGACCTTAAATAAGATTTTGTAAAAACGAATTAATATTTCGTAAAAACGAATCATTATTTCGTAAAAACAAATTAATATTTTGTAATTACGAATTATTATTTCGTAAAAACGAATTACTATTTCGTAAAAACAAAATAAATATTTTGTAAAAACGAATAATTATTTCGTATAAACGAATAAATATTTCGTAATCACAAATTAATATTTCGTAAAAACGAATTAATTGCCGGGAAAAAAGTGTCAAAAATGTCACCTTAGGGGCTCTGTACAATTTTGTATTGACTTATTCATTGTTTTACAAGCTACGCAAACTCCTGAACCTATACAAATCAACCACTCACCACTCGATGGACATAAAAGCTAATATTACTGTGCTGGATTCCAACAAACTAATTAACAACTAGAAATGACACGGGTGCCCCCACCGCGCCACCGACCTGTCAATCTTATGACTGTAGGTCAAATATTTTTTGAAAACTAAAAAATCTTTTACTAAGTTAAGGACAAGAACTTTACAAATACTGAATAAATCCACAAGCAAACCCCAAAGTGTATAAGTACACATGCTGACCAACATTCTTGTAAACTGTCAGGCCTACAAGTGAAATACTTTTTGAGCTATGCATGAACAACTTGAAAATTGCAAATTTATTCTACTGTAAGTCAAGAGCAATAGCTCTAGCAAAACTGAAAAAAATCCACAAGCAAAGTCCCAGGTGCATAGCTTCACAGTGATGTGAATCATTTTTCCTGTAATTTAGTGATGTTGATCATTATTTCTGTAAAGTTGGTTGATTCTAACTCAAGCGCTCAAGGAAAAAATAACAACATAATGAAATGGTTTTTACTAAGTCAAGGGCAATAACTCTACAAATACTGGATAAATCCACAAGCGAAACCCCAGGTGCAAAACTAAATATGCTGAGCAACCTTCCCGTCAGGTTTAATGACTCTATGTCAAATCCTTTTTGAGTTACATGCAACACAAGTTGAAAATTGCAAAAATTTTCTAAGTCAAGGGCAATAACTCTAAAAAAACTAAATAGATCCAGACGAAAATACCCAGGTGCACAACTACACATGCTGATCAACGTTCCTGTAAAGTTTCATTACTCTAGGTCAAATACTTTTTGAGTTACGTGCGACACAAAAGAGAACGGACGGACGGAAGAACAGACGTACTCACAAAATGGTACTTATGTGACTTTTCCTTTGATCTTTTTGGCCATTTTTAGTCACACAAGGTTTTAAAAAAGACACACAAGTAAAAACGGAATCAATAGGATCAAAGAGAATTTACTGTTACCAATTGTTCTCCAAGTCACACAAGTACCTCTGGGTTCGTACGGATGGACGGACAAGGTAAATCTAAATGCCCGCCACTAAAGTGGGGGCACAAAAATGGAACATTTTTCAGAGACAATGTCATTATTCTGTGAGAAATGAGGTGACATAAAAATATACATATAGTGTAACTTCTGAAAACCGAACACCTTTGGGACTAGCCAAATAGTTCGGAATTTGGAAGTTTCCGGAATCCAGAAGTTCGGAATTATCTGAACAAGTAAAATTATTATACAACTTTTTATAGTAAGACATGGTGAAAAATATATGAAGCTGATTAAATTAATAAAATAGCAAAATTATAGGCTTTTTTACTATTTTAAATTTCATTATCACCTTAACTGAATTTTCTGATACAATAGCATAAAGTTAATTATCACAATTTATCCTTTAGTATATTTCACCTGCTATTTACCAGTACTTTTTCATTTCATCACATTATATTTATCAATTTCTTAATTTTCAAACTTTAAACTAGTGTTTGATATTCTTGACAGGTTGTAATTCTAGTAGGTGTCAAGATAAATGGTTACTGTTATTTTGAAGATACTGACATTTTGAAGGTTTCTCAATTACAAGTATAATTTTCCGTCATACCTTTTTTAATTTCCAGATTTTGGAAGTAAATAATTGACATGACCTAATTTTTACCAGAAAATAGTTCGGAATTCAGAATTTAGAAAATGTGTTATTCCGAGGTTTTGATTACATAGAAAACGGAGAAATTTTTGAACCCTGAAAAATGTTCAGATTTCTGATGTTTCCAGATTTCTGAAGTTTCCGGATTTTACAAGTTCCGAAATTCAGAAGTTCGTTACACTGTATACAGAAATAAAATGTTATAACACTCACGCAGACAATCTTCAACAGTTGTTGTTCCTACAGTCTTTGTATTAGTAATTCGACCATCTTTTTGTGGGCATGGCTTGCATTTATCAGTTGATAGTGGAAATTGTACTGGTTGGTAAAAGTTCAGGTCACAAGGCTCACATCCAGAGTTTGAGGAGACAAGGCCGGCCTCACATTTATCTGCAAAAATGAGAACTCAATCTTAATATAAAAAAGAATTTGTTACCAAGTAAACAATGTCCCTTTTCTGTTTTAAATTCAATGCAAAATCTTGATAATAAATTCAGTATAGATTTAAAATGACACAACTTTTCAGAAATACATAATAGTAAGTATGAGTAAGTAAGTAAGTAAGTAAGTAAGTAAGTAAGTAGGTAAGTAAGTAAGTAAGAAATGACTTTATTTAATGGGGCAACTCAATTGGGCAAGCCCAGTCTTCCCTGAGAGCCTCAACAATGCACAGTCAAATTAAACATTTTTTATTGAAATACGTGAGATCAACATTGAACAAAAAAAGACATGAGTTGATAATATATACATACATTCAAGTTATCAAAAGTGAAAATTAACATATATATAAAACATATATACATACATTCAAGTTATTAAAAGTGAAAATTAACATATAAAACAAACATATTTAAACCAATATAAGAAGAAATAATTACATAATTACTTGGAATTCACTGTCTTCAAAATGACTATCTAAAAAATTTTCACATAAGCAAAGTAGATCAATTTCTTTGTGGTAATGTAATAAAAGTTTTATCTGATCAAATTTGCGGTAAAGAAGATGAAAAATATTTAATCCTTGTTTATTGAAGAATGGTTGTATATTTGGATTTTCATTGATCTCAATTTCAGTCAAGTTTTCTTCATTAATTGTATGAGCAGTGTCAGAGTTAACATTGTTGTTACTTTCTGCCTGTGGAGAGTTATTTCCTAGCATGGTGGAAGTACCCAGTAATTCTGAGGCTATCGACTCCTTAGTTTCTGGTAACCCATGGAGGTTGGCCATGAAAGTGATGCTGGTGGTCGTTCTTTGTCTGTTGCTGGCAAATCGAAAATTTACTGTTTTTTCAATGAAGAGTCAACCAAACCAAGAAAATTTCGGATCTCAGTGATCAGGATCATTCCTAGAGTTCTAGAGCCTTCAGCATTTATGTGCACCTCATCATAGAAAAGACTTTGGCTAACTTTATTGTTGCTAGTGAAACCCTTAAAGGTATCAATGAAGATATATCCTATCTCTTTGCACAATGTATTGATCTATATGTTTGTTTCTATAATATTGTCTTTTGATAGAAGTTCTCTCTTTTTTGAAATGATCGAGGAAATCCCTATTTTGGCACCTTTGTTAAGACTTTTCAATGTGTCAGTCAGTTTAGTAAAATCTTCACATATGCTGGAGGGTTTATCTGCGTTTAAAATATTGTTTATTCCTGCATGTACAATGATGATATCCGCTGATTCTAATGTATTTGGACGTGCTTTCTGTTCTGTAACAAGATTATTTATGTCATTAACTGTAGAACTTCGATTTGATTTGAACTTTACAGACACTTTATTTGTACTCATTTTTTGTCTATTGAGACCTTTTATGACAGAGTCCCCTATGATAAGGACTTTTCCTATACTCTTTTGTTTTTATTATTTTTTTCATTTTCTGCTTCCTGATTGGTTTAAGGTTTTTTGTCTTGTGTTGGCATTGAAAGATCAGTGTCACTTAGTCTTGTATCTTGTTGCTTTTCAGTTGTTTGGCTGTTTTTAAGATCTTACCTAAGCAAAGACATCTCATGTTGAAGCAGACATATGTCTGTACTTGACGCCATATTTTTACGTCCTATTCTGTACAGTATTCACTGAAGTTATGAGGTTTTCAAGTGTCTCTTTTATAGAAATTACTTCTGTCTGGAGTAGGTCATTAATTTCCTGTAGATTTTGATTCGAAGACAATTTATCACGTAGTGTCTTGTTCTCTTTCTTTAATGACTGGTTGATATTTCTAAGTTTCGTCATTTCTTCTTCCAAAGTAAGAATTTTGGCATTAAATTCATAGTTTTCAGTTATATGATTGGCCGAGAGCTTATTTCTCATATCAATGTTTGCTGACTGGAGTTTTTCTTTTTCATATTTAAATTTATTTTTTCCTGCTGATGATTTTCATGTTGTTTCTTTAATTGTAAAACTGCAGTTTTCAATTTTTCTTTTATGACTTCAAGTTCTTCAAATGCTGATGATAGTTGTTTTGATTTTTCTTCAGCATATTCAATTTTTGTATTATCCTCAAAATCACACTGAGTTGCTGTGTCGGATTTTATAATGCATGTAATGTGGAAGATTAATTCAGCAGATTTTTCATGCATCGAATTTTTTTTATTACAATCAAATTCATTGGCCCGCTGTAGATCTTCATTCTTCTGCTTTGGTTCAGAATTTTTATATTTGGCCCAATTTGTTTCATTAGGAAATTCATTTTCAAGCAGGATTTGTTTTGGCAATGTTTCATAAGAATAAGATGAGATGGATTTTGGCACTGTCTCTTCACTACTTTTTGTCATATTTCTATAGTTCATTGGTGTATTCCATTTTGACTGTCCAATTTTGTGTAGCTTTTGTACAGGTTTCTTGTCAATTTCTTGAATAATAGTTAATTGTCTGTTAAATTCTTGGTAATCATCCTTTTGCCAACCTCTTATTTAAGTTTTCTTAGCCTTTTTAAACTCTTTACCAAGTTTTTCATCCCACTGTTTATAGATGGACCAAATATTGCTCTAGATACAGCACAATACCAGTTGATTTTGATTTGGTGAGGTTCTTTTGAAGTGTCAGAAAAAGACTACTGATAAGAGATGGTGTCAGAGGAAGTGAATGGTGCTGCTTTGAGCCATTTACATTTGGTGTTGAAATTGTTGGAGTTTGAGGCAACGTGGTTTGCATTTTTATCAGTCGTTGCATTGTTACCCCCAGACTGTTTTAAGTCACATTTTATATGCTCGAGGATAGTGTTAAGCCATACTCTGCATCCAGTTCCTTGGATCAACATTTTCATTGTTTTGTTATATACTGTAAGAACAACTTTCTTGTTTGATAGAGATATTGTTGTTGTTAACCAAGTATTGTCCTATGAAGGTATTATAATTGATACATAGACTTTAAAATTTGAAGCATTTTTGCATTTGTTGATTGTTGAAAAAATGTTATAGAAATATTGTAACTTGTTGGGCTGACTATTAGAAATAGAATATCAACTGTTAAGTTGTCAGACAAGTCATCGTTTGATTATCCTTCAAAATCCTCCATATCCATTGATGAATGATTAGAAGCCATTATCACAGATTGTTGTTAACACTTTAGTCCATTAAATATTTAAAGCCATTTTAGTAGCTTTTGTTTGCAAGATTAGTAGGAATTTCAGGTATTTTATATGAGAATTTATAAATCCTTTTTTTTTTTTATTTAAAATAAATGAGAAAAAAACACAGTTAAACTGAACAGTTTTCATCCAATTATGAATTTTCTAATCACAAAAACACTTTTTAATTTTCATATTAAGATGCAGAATTGTCCAAGGAATTTAGTCTTATAAAAATATCCAATTTCTTTAAAGGTAGTCCATTTTTATTTGAAAGAATAGTGAGAGCAAATAACACATGTCTGCACAGTTTGAAATCCAGTGTTCTTCATAATGGCAGATGAATTGAAATTATTTAAGATACTTATGTGACAAGATCAAATAAGGGTCAAGGTCAAATAAATCTTCTTTAATATCTTGTCCCATGGATTATTGTGCACAGGTATGATGACAATACATTAACTACAAAGTTTTAACCAATTAAAGCAAAAAAACTTTGAAATTACAATAATTTGACAATCAAGGTTGAGGTTATTGACAGGTCAAGGTCATACTGAGTTTTATTTGTTCTTAAGGTAGAAGTACTGAAGAGAATCCATCCATATATATATCAGCTATAACAAAGTTATAGCTGATGACAGCAAAAATCAAGCAAAAATTCATTAACTTACCTTAAAGGTAAGGCCATGAATGAGTCAAGGTCAAGTTCAGTCTTGTTTACTTGACAGTCTTGGCCAAAGGGTTGCTTTGACTAAGTATGAAGACAATACATTAAGAAATAAAAAAAGTTAATGTTTCTGGACAGAAATGCATCAAAAACTTGACAGAAGCAATGGGTCAAAATTTGTCTTCAAAAAAGTCAGGCTAATCAATAAAAGATGATTTTAAAAGCTCAAGGCATTTAAACAGGGAAATGGAGATATAAAGATGAGAAAATGTCTTACAAACACTACAAGCATCAACACTTTCAGAACCAAGCTTATCTGTTGTTGTCTCTTTCCCATTTTTATCAGGACATTTCCTACAGTCATCAAACCTTGTATTACCAACATTGTCTTTGTAGTAACCTCGTGTGCACTGCTCACATTTGTCTCCATTTAAAAACCATCCAGCTTGGCAATTCTCTTTAATAACATGAATAAAAAATAATTAAGAATTATCCATGCGGGAAGTGCCCTTTATATACATACAAGAAGGCCATAATGGTCCTGAAATCGCTCACCTGTATAAAGGCCCTTGGGGTGTGGCTAATTTTAACCAATGGGCTTTTTTAACCAACTTGGTAGACACCCATTAGAAGATGTTTCAAAAAATATGTAAGCTCTAGCTCTTTGGGTTTTTAAAAGAAGATTGTTTAAGTTTTTACTATAGACATAGAAGGAAAATCAGTACCCCCAAGGTGGGGTCAATTTTGATCCCAGGGCTTTTATTTGAACAAACTTGGTAGACACTCACCAGAAGATGTTTCATGCTTAATATCTAAGCTCTAACTCCTTGGGTTTTTTAAGAGAATGTTTTTAAGTTTTTACTATATACATATATGGAAAAACAATGACCCCCGGGGTGGGGCTAATTTTGACCCCAGGGATCTTATTTGTACAAACTTGATAAACACTCACTAGAAGATTTTTCATGATACTTATTTAAGCTCTAGCTCTTTCGGTTTTTTAAAAGAAGATTTTCTAAGTTTTTACTATATACATATAAAGAAAATCAATTACCCCCCCCCCCCCCGGGCGGGGCCAATATTGACCCCGGGGCTTTTATTTGAACAAACTTGGTAGACACTGACTAGAAGATGCTTCATGCCAAATATTTAAGCTCTATCTCTTTGGGTTTTTTTAAAAGAAGGTATTTTAAGTTTTTTCTTTCGGTTGCCATGGCAACCAGAGTTCTGCATGGAATTAAATTCTTTGAACAATTTGTAAAGGTGACCACCAAAAGACCATTCCTGTGAAGCTTGGATGAAATTGGCTAAGCAGTTTATGAGGAGATGTCGTTTAAAGTAAAAGTTTACAGACGACGGACGGACGCCGGATGAAAAGTGATCACAAAAGCTCACCATGTGACTTTGTGACAGGTGAGCTAGAAAACATTGCAGTTATGAAAAAAATGATTATAAGCAATTATTAAATCATGAAAATCCATTAGATTATGAATAATCCATATGGACAGTATATTATCTAATTATGAATAATCTATATGAGCATTACCCTTTAGTATGTAGGTAGTATCCATCTAAATTATATAATGAATACACTATAAATATGAGTAGTACCCTTAAAGTACATAAATTTATCATTGTGAAGAATGATACAAGTAGGCAGCACCCTCTAATTGCATGAATAAATTACTACTGTGAAATAAGTTCAATTAGATGGGTACCATACATATTACCTTCAGTAGTTAGGGAAATACCAACTTACGCACAAAACTTATGCTAAGTGCAATGACAATATCAACATAAGGGTGAGTACAATAGCTTTCCCTACCAAAATCTGAATTACTTAATTTATCATAATTTAACATCAACTTTAAACAAGCAATTATCATAGTATTGCAAGCAATCCATAAGTCCCCTACTGGTTAGAACCCCAGCAACATTCTGATGGGCCAATGGCCATTCAGTTATACCATTGAATGAATGAATGACATCAACTTTCTCAGGATGAATAATTATGACAAATGTTTCAACTTTTCTCTATTTTAAGTAAATTTGTTGGAAAAATCTTGTCATATAATTATGATGTGGTAGCTTGAAGTAAAACCTCAAAGGAATGAAGAAGTTGGGAAAAATACCAATTTCCCGAAAAAGTTCAAGGGGGATATAATTCTGAAAATAGTCTTGCTAGAGTATTGAACCTTCTAAAATTTGTTGAGTGATAATAAGAAACAAACATATAAAGTTTGAAGCAGATACATTAAGAAATAAAGAAGTTATTTAAGTAAAAACATTTTTTTTATAAAAATTCTAAGTTCAAGGGAGGTTAATTCTGATAATTTTTGTGCTAAAGTTGTAAACCTTGTCACATATGATGTGGTTGATGAACAGAAACTAATATTTAAAGTTTGAAGTAAATACCTTTGAAGTTATAGTGAAAAAGCGTAAAAATCGGAATCAGAAATCTTGAAATTCAGTGTATTTGCTGCCATAGCAACCAGTTTTTTCAACATAGGAAGAACAAAAAAAAATGTGCATAATCTCCAGACTGTCGTCTACCTATATTTTAAGTTTCATAAAAATATTTCCAGTACTTTTTGCGTTATCACTGGATCCAGTTTATGTGTACAATTTGCCCTATTTTCAGTCTATTTTTTGCCATAGCAACCAGAATTTTCAACATAGGAAGAAAAGAAAATGAAGTGCATAATCTCCATACTGCCATCTATCCATATATCAAGTTTTATAAAAATATTTTCAGTACTTTTTGCCTTATCGCGGGATCCAGTTTTGTTGACGGACGGACTGACAGACTGACAGACGGACGGAGGGTAAACCTAAAGTCCCCTCTGGTAAACCGGTAGGAGACTAAAAATATCATATGCAATTGAAATGTGATAAAGAATAACTCAAAGTTGATGCAGATAACTTATACCTTTACAATCATTTTCACTGTCCGATCCTTCACCTCCAGTTTTGTACTCATTACCACAGGGTAGACAAAAATTCTTGCCTTTCTCATGCTGATAAAAATGTCTTTGGCAATCAACACACATTTCTTCAGCCTTGACATAGTACTGACCTGCTGGACATTTCACTAGAAAAGAAATAAATGCTTTTCTTTTACACTTTACTGGATTTCTTCAAAGTATTTTTTGTTACACTTTAATATTTTTGTTACACTTTACTTGATTGTTAAATGGAGTTTTCCTGTTTAAAACTTAAAGACTCTTTATATAAGGATGGTTGATAATGAAACAATAAAATAAACTGGAAACTATACAGAATTAAGAGAAATGGTTGGGCCAACCTGACACCAAGGCTCTTTGAAGAGTAAGTAAATATGAGGAATGGAAGGGTTGACCAGCCAACCAGGGCCTTATACAGTTGGTGATATCTCATATGGTTCAAATAATGTTTCAATTTCTTTCTAGGATTCTTCATAGCTAAACCATACCCTTGTTGCTGATTTTCTTCAATATATAGTAAAATTTATAATCAGGCATCATCTTTCATAATAATAAATGCAAAATAACTTTTTATTCCAGTTGATCATTTAAATCTATTAGATATTCACAAACCTTTGCATTCATTTACATCTTTGGCACCTCTGCGGTATGTAACTTTTTCATCTGGGCATTCATCACACTTTGTCTGGGCTTCATTCACTTGGTAGTGACCATAATCACATGGCATACACTCTCCATCTTTTAGATAGTAGCCAGGAGAACATGGAACTAAAATGTATAATATGTTGTTTTTTTTAATCATATTACAAGTGCTCCTACTATTTCACTAAATACAGCATACTTGCGTTTGAGGGATATTACTGGTATTCATTCAGGGTCAGTCTTATCAGTCTTAGGTCTTGCTGAAAGTGTTTTTAATTAATATACATGTTTTCAATGCACCTGTCGACAGATTTGTAATATTAAATTACTTACTGCTGCTGCAAATCAATGTTTATTTATTGATATATTGATATGATGTTTCATGTACAAATTTATGTTGTCTAAATGTTGATTGTGATTGTAATGTACAGATTGTACATATGAGTTTTATGATTAAATGACAACAATTATTTATATATTGAAGGCTTATAATTATGTAACATCACAAGAAATGAAACAAATCTCCAAATATATTTCCGCTACATTGTCTGTAGTATATCCAATGCATTTGATGTGAGAATTAGGGTCAATATATATAAAATTGCAGATTATACTTAAAATGTGTCTATCGGACATATTCCTGACACCTCACATGTCGACAATATTACATACCACAGAATGGTGGATCCCCTGTCATATCAAGTCTGTTTCCTGTTGGACATTCTAGTACTTTGCTGATGAAAACAGTTTCTACTTGTAAAACAGCACCAGATACAGTCTAAATAAAACAAGAAATTGTCAAAGTACATGTATTGCAAACAATTCAAAAGTACTCAACCGGTTAAAACACCTGAGTAACATTCTGAACAGCCATGGCCATTCCATTATGCCACAGTGGAAGACATGTATTAACTTAAATCTATTGAGTTCTTTCTTCATCTTTGTCATAGTAATGTGTTACGTTTCCATGCCTGATAAGTAAACTATAATGTTTATACAACATATAATCAAAATATCAAATTTTCTTCGGGTGTATATGTTTAACTAATGTTTAAACTTTTCTCTATTTTAAGTAATTTTTTTTAGAAAAGTACCATGTTCTTTATAAGTGATCTCACAACAGTTTTTAGGGGCGTTTAGACAGAATGAATGACAGACAAACAGAGGGCAAATCTTTTAACATCCCCAGTACCATCATATAACATACAAAGCAAAGTTTTTAAACTAAAGAGGAGATAACTTTTGAAATAAAGATGACAGAATGAACAATGAACATTGTCATACATAATGTGAGTGGTGACAAAGAACAATTATCTTAAGTCTGAGGTAGATACCATTAATAGAAACAAAGAAGAAAATACAAAAATTATATAACAATTTCCAAATAAATTTTGAGTTCTGAATGTGAAAATAATCAGGGAAACCTAGGGGTGCTCAACTTATATAAATCTAATCATATATGAATCTCAATTCATGAAAAAAATTATACAATATGAAATATTATAGAAGTTATAGAATAAAAAATGGGGAAATTCAAAGTTTAAAGGGAAGATAATTCTGGAAATATGAATGGTAGACTTATAAACCTTGTCATATCATTATGATGTTGGGGTTTGAAGTTTGAAGTTGATCCTGTAAGAAATGAAAAAAAATCTGGAAATAGTCAAGCTAGAGTATTGAATCTTCTCACACCATATGGCACATATGCTTCAAGTTTGAAGTATATACTCGTACCTAAAGAAATTAAGAAGTTATAGAAAAACAAACAACATCTTTTCATGAAAGGTTTAAGGATTATTATTCTGATAATATAGGTGATAGAATTAAGAATCTTGCAACATATGATACGGATGATGATAAGAACATATATTTTAAGTAGATACATAAAGAAATCAAAAAAATATTAAAAAACTAGAAATGTATCCATAGGACACGGTTGCCCCCATACTCCACTGTTTTGTCAATCTTATGACTCTAGGTCAAATATTTTATGGACTATATGTGCCACAAGTTGAAAACTAAAAATATTTTACTAGGTAAAAGGAAAGAACTTTACAAATACTGAATATATCCACAAGCGAACCTCAAGGTACATAAGTACACATGCTGACCAACATTCTTGTAAACTTGCAGGCCTAGAGGTCAAATACCTTTTGAGCTATGAATGAACAAGTTGAAAATTGCAAATTTATACTAAGTCAAGGGCAATAACAAAACTGAAAAAAAACACATGCAAAGTCCCAGGTATATAGCTTCACAGTGATGTTGATAATTTTTCCTGTAAAATTGATTGATTCTAACTCAAGCACTCAAGGAACAAATAACACAACATAATGAAACGGTTTTTACTAAGTCAAGGGCAATAACTCTACAAAGACTGGATAAAATCCAAGCAAAATCCAAGGTGCACAACTACATATGCGGACCAACATTCCTGTAAAGTTTCATGACCCTAGGTTAAATAAATGTTGAGGTATGCATGCCACATATTGAAAATTGTCACTTAGTCAAGGGCAATAACTCATATAAATTAATTCACAAGCGAAACCCCAGATGCAAAACTTCACATGCTGATAGTAATTTCTGTAAAGGTTCATGACCCTATGACAAATACTTTTTGAGCTTTCCTATATACATGTATCTTATATTATTGTTTCTTGTCATTGTATACAGTTTACAATAAATAAATACATGAAATGAAATTGGTAATACTTTTTGAGCGTCAGAAGTTGAAAATTGCAAATTTTTATTAAGTCAAGGGCAATAACTCTTTAATTACTAAAATTACCAGATTCACAACATCACATGCTGAGCAATATTCCTGTAAGGTTTCATGACTCTAGGTCAAATACTTTTGAGTTACATGCAACACAAGTTGAAAATTATAAATTTTTTATAATCATGGGCCATCACTCTAAAAACTACTAAATATATCCACACAAAAATTCCCGGGTTCACATCTACACATGCTGAGCAACATTCCTGTAAGGTTTCATGACTGTAGGTCAAATACTTTTTATTTACGTGCAACACAAGTTGAAAATTGAATTTTTTTACCAAGCCAAAGGCAATAACTCTAAAAATACTAAATATTTCCACACAAATACCCGGGTGCAAAACTACACATGCTGATCAACATTCCTGTAAAGTTTCATGACTCTAGTCAAATACTTTTTGAGCTACATGCAACACAAAAAGAGAAAACCTGAATAACATAACAATCATAACACACCTGTTACAGTCTAAAATAACTTAACAAACCTGTTACAGTTTAAAATTACCTAAATCAAAGTGTATGTAATGTAAACATTAAAATGGGTTATTTAAAAATGGAAGACAAACCAGAAATTGTTGACACTCTAGGGTCATCAAAGTTGGGTGTCTTTCAGTGTAGAGCTCAATTTTGCTTTTTTAAGTCTTCCCGATAGAAAAATTAACGTAAACATTATATTAAGCCTGACTAATAGAATCAAAATTAATCGGATCACAAAGCAATAATTGAGAATGAAATTGAAACTAGAGAAAACTGAATTGTTTTGTCCCTAACTAAAAAGTGTTATACCTTTAGATCTATTAGTTGCTCATTACGGATAATAATTTTTAGTGCATCTTCAATATCGACTGTACCACCTCCTACTGCTTCTAAAGTCATACTGTAATAATCATAAGATATTATTACCAAATAAAATTCTTCGAACTGAAATAAATTCATACTGTTATAGTACCTTTAAAACTTGAATAAAAATAATCATACAACATTCAGGTAAGTTGATACTAAAGTACTACTTGGAAAACCTGAACAAAGTAATCTTTCAATATTCAGATATGTTCATACTGAAGTACTTCTTGGAAAACTTGAACAAAGTAATCATTCAATATTCAGATATGTTTATACTGAAGTACTTCTTGGAAAACTTGAACAAAGTAATCATTCAATATTCAGATATGTTCATACTGAAGTACTTCTTGGAAAACTTGAACAAAGTAATCATTCAATATTCAGATATGTTCATACTGAAGTACTTCTTGGAAAACCTGAACAAAGTAATCATTCAATATTCAGATATGTTTATACTGAAGTACTACTTGGAAAACCTGAACAAAGTAATCATTCAATATTCAGATATGTTCATACTGAAGTACTACTTGGAAAACTTGAACAAAGTAATCATTCAATATTCAGCTATGTTTATACTGAAGTACTACTTGGAAAACTTGAACAAAGTAATCATTCAATATTCAGATATGTTTAAATACTGAAGTACTACTTGGAAAACTTGAACAAAGTAATCATTCAATATTCAGATATGTTCATAATGAAATGCACATATTAAGATGATCATACTGAAATGTACATAAATTCATACTAAAATACTCATACTTAATACTAAAATAATCTTAATTTTACTGACAGACAGATGAGACCATACTGAAATACTCATACATTCATTATGAAATATCCATTACTTTAGACTAAAGGAAAAATAACATTATACTGAAATAAAATGAGATCAAACATAGTTCACATTGAAATAATTTTCATACTAAAATAGACATATTGAAAAAGAAATGTTTGTTTTGAAACACATTGCTACTGCATGGGAACAACACACTGATATAAAACAAAACAATTATATTACAATATATAACAATCCCTAATAAAGAAATATACTTTATTAAAAAAGTTAGAAATTCGGTCTAAAATACAAATACTGAAATAACCTCTAAGAATATGTCAGCAAAACAGAGTGGTCAGACAACTTATCTAACTAGAAGATTTACATTACATGAATCTTATATCATCGATATTTTGTTTTTATATATTGATATTTCTTGAACTGGCAAAATAAATAATCAAAAAAGCCTTTCTTGCAAAATAGTTCCAAACGAAAAACATCAATCTATAATATAGATATGACATGTCAGTGTTAATGAAATTTTTCGCTATAATAAAACTTAAAATGAACATACCTAGTTAACACTAGAGAAAACTGGACAACAACATTAAAATCATCATCTGTGTCACACTTATTGGTAATGTTCTTCAAATTAGTGCAATTGGCGTCAACACAAATGCCCATCCATTTTGGTCTAATATCGTCCTTAAAGCTATCTTGTACTCTATCCTCAATGATGCCAAGAACTGTATCTTGAGTTTGAGAACAAACTGTCTCTAATTTATACTTCATAGAGGCTGCAAGGTTGTATTCCACAGCTGATATATCTACAACAAAAGTTAATTATTATGAGATAAAGTTGGGTATTTAGAAAAATTGACAGTCTATATACATGTTTTATAACAGTACATGTTAAATCTATTGCTGATATATAAATAACTTGTCATATTAAATCAACAAGGAATAACTTGTCATATAAAATCAACAAGGAATAACTTGCCATGTGAAATCAACATGGAATAACTTGTCATATTAAATCAACAAGCAATAACTTGTCATGTGAAATCAACAAGGAATAACTTGCCATGTGAAATCAACAAGGAATAACTTGTCATATAAAATCAACAAGGAATAACTTGCCATGTGAAATCAACAAGGAATAACTTGCCATGTGAAATCAACAAGGAATAACTTGCCATGTGAAATCAACAAGGAATAACTTGTCATATAAAATCAACAAGGAATAACTTGCCATGTGAAATCAACAAGGAATAACTTGTCATGTAAAATCAACAAGGAATAACTTGTCATATGAAATCAACAATGAATAACTTGTCATATAAAATCAACATGGAATAACTTGTCATATTAAATCAACAAGCAATAACTTGTCATATAAAATCAACATGGAATAACTTGTCATATAAAATCAACAAGGAATAACTTGTCATGTGAAATCAACAAGGAATAACTTGTCATATAAAATCAACATGGAATAACTTGTCATATTAAATCAACAAGCAATAACTTGTCATATAAAATCAACAAGGAATAACTTGTCATATAAAATCAACAAGGAATAACTTGTCATATAAAATCAACATGGAATAACTTGTCATATTAAATCAACAAGCAATAACTTGTCATATAAAATCAACATGGAATAACTTGTCATATTAAATCAACAAGCAATAACTTGTCATATAAAATCAACATGGAATAACTTGTCATATAAAATCAACAAGGAATAACTTGTCATGTGAAATCAACAAGGAATAACTTGTCATATAAAATCAACATGGAATAACTTGTCATATTAAATCAACAAGCAATAACTTGTCATATTAAATCAACAAGGAATAACTTGTCATATAAAATCAACAAGGAATAACTTGTCATGTGAAATCAACAAGGAATAAACTTGTCATATAAAATCAACAAGGAATAACTTGTCATGTGAAATCAACAAGGAATAACTTGTCATATAAAATCAACATGGAATAACTTGTCATATTAAATCAACAAGCAATAACTTGCCATGTGAAATCAACAAGGAATAACTTGCCATGTAAAATCAACAAGGAATAACTTGTCATATTAAATCAACATGGAATAACTTGTCATATAAAATCAACAAGGAATTACTTGTCATATAAAATCAACAAGGAATAACTTGTCATGTGAAATCAACAAGGAATAACTTGTCATATAAAATCAACATGGAATAACTTGTCATATTAAATCAACAAGCAATAACTTGTCATATAAAATCAACAAGGAATAACTTGTCATATAAAATCAACAAGGAATAACTTGTCATATAAAATCAACAAGGAATAACTTGTCATATTAAATCAACAAGGAATAACTTGTCATATAAAATCAACATGGAATAACTTGTCATATTAAATCAACAAGCAATAACTTGTCATATAAAATCAACATGGAATAACTTGTCATATAAAATCAACAAGGAATAACTTGTCATGTTGAAATCAACATGGAATAACTTGTCATATGAAATCAACAATGAATAACTTGTCATGTGAAATCAACATGAAATAACTTGTCATGTGAAATCAACAAGGAATAACTTGTCATATAAAATCAACAAGGAATAACTTGTCATATAAAATCAACAAGGAATAACTTGTCATGTGAAATCAACAAGGAATAACTTGTCATATAAAATCAACATGGAATAACTTGTCATATAAAATCAACAAGCAATAACTTGTCATATAAAATCAACATGGAATAACTTGTCATATAAAATCAACAAGGAATAACTTGTCATATAAAATCAACATGAAATAACTTGTCATATAAAATCAACAATGAATAACTTGTCATGTGAAATCAACATGGGATAAATCATCATATGAAATCAACAATGAATAACTTGTCATGTGAAATCAACATGGGAAAAATCATCATATGAAATCAACAATGAATAACTTGTCATGTGAAATCAACATGGGATAAATCATCATATGAAATCAACAAGGAATAACTTGTCATGTGAAATCAACATGAAATAATCTGTCATGTGAAATCAACATGGGATAACTTGTCATGTGAAATCAACATGGGATAAATCATCATATGAAATCAACAAGGAATAACTTGTCATGTAAAATCAACAAGGAATAACTTGTCATATAAAATCAACAAGGAATAACTTGTCATATAAAATCAACAAGGAATAACTTGTCATGTGAAATCAACATGGAATAATTGTCATGTGAAATCAACATGGAATAACTTGTCATATAAAATCAACAAGGAATAACTTGTCATATAAAATCAACAAGGAATAACTTGCCATGTGAAATCAACAAGGAATAACTTGCCATGTAAAATCAACAAAGAATAACTTGTCATATAAAATCAACATGGAATAACTTGTCATATAAAATCAACATGGAATAACTTGCCATGTGAAATCAACAAGGAATAACTTGTCATATAAAATCAACATGGAATAACTTGTCATATAAAATCAACAAGGAATAACTTGCCATGTGAAATCAACAAGGAATAACTTGCCATGTAAAATCAACAAGGAATAACTTGTCATGTGAAATCAACAAGGAATAACTTGTCATATAAAATCAAACAAGGAATAACTTGTCATATAAAATCAACAAGCAATAACTTGTCATATAAAATCAACAAGGAATAACTTGTCATATAAAATCAACAAGGAATAACTTGTCATATAAAATCAACAAGGAATAACTTGCCATGTGAAATCAACAAGGAATAACTTGCCATGTGAAATCAACAAGGAATAACTTGCCATGTGAAATCAACAAGGAATAACTTGTCATATAAAATCAACAAGGAATAACTTGTCATATTAAATCAACATGGAATAACTTGCCATGTAAAATCAACAAGGAATAACTTGCCATGTAAAATCAACATGAAATAACTTGTCATGTGAAATCAACATGGAATAACTTGTCATATAAAATCAACATGAAATAACTTGTCATATTAAATCAACATGGAATAACTTGCCATGTGAAATCAAACTTAGAATTACTTGTCATTTGAAATCAATTTGAAATAATTGTCATATGATATCAACATGGAATAACTTGTCATACGAAATCAAAGAATTTAAAGTACAAATTGAAGGCAATTTGTATTTTGCAAGATTATTTCGTAATATCACAGAATAATGTCTTATAGTTCTCTCTCAAAGAACATTTTTTAGGGGAACACTTGTCATTAGGAAAACATACCCACGTTAAAACAGGTCCACAGTAAAACAGGTCTGCATGCAGTCTGGCAAAGCTTCTCTATTTAACATTCTTGTCCACTCCTCACACTTACTCTGTCAATATTACTACACTAATATATTTATCCATGTAATTAATTTGCTGCTGTAACTTGACAAAAGCTTTGTGTGCATTAAATATAATAAATACAGCAATACTTTTACATCAGGTTACTTGCATAGATTCAGACAGTTGTTCATGGGAAAGAGAAATTACAACATTAACAAGATTATTTGTCACCGTGGTTACTTACCTACACATGCTGGATAATATGTTTCAGCAAATGGCATCCTGTAATCATAAACACCAAGTGTTCCACATGTAATATAGTATGGTAAAGGAGCTGCTAGAACTTTGGAATCATTGTTACATTTAACATCACAATAACCACCAATAGTAGCAGAGCACTGTCTATAGCTCACAGTATCACTAAATGACTCATTCATTGATGGACATGCACTGTTGTCTGAAATAAATATCAATACACATTGTTGATTTTTCATAACATAACTTTTCTTAGTTTATTATATATATCCACTTTATCACTGAGTTACCTTTCAATCAATTACTGCAATCATTGAAAACATATTCTAACACGCTTCTCACTATTCCCCTATCAAAAGATAAGTGCAATCAAGTGGATTATTACACACTATATGCATAGCATGAAAAAGGAATTATGTAATAGAAAGAGCACCGAAACACAAGGCTATCTGGTTTGTACGAGGGGGCGTAGCCCCCGAGTATTAATCAGATTGCCGAGTGTTTTGGTGTTCTTTCTCTTTTGTATCATAGTCAAACATAAAATCACGTTCCCTGTTGTCACAATATGAAACCCCGGCAAAAATGAACCAATGAACGAACATCTGAATATGACATTTCTGTCCCTTTCCCTTTCTCTGCCGTCACAATATGTAAACCCTAGCAAAAATGAGCCAATCAATGGGCATGCTCTGGAGTGCGGGTAACTAATACCCGCACTCCAGTTAACGCACTGTGCATGTATATGTATACGATTTAACCCTGACACATTTTCAACAGAAAGGTCTCCAAACTATGATACAATACACATCATATTACATCAGAAATGACATCAAGAAACTAAATGATGTCAGGAAAATTACTTCTAAACTCAATGTAGTTCAACATACCTTAATTTATTCTCTTTCTTTCATTAGCATGTTAGAATGAACTAAGATTTTAATTTTTCTTGCATTTTAGCATAATAGTACACGCTTTATTATTCAAACAATTTGATATTAATCACTTAAAACTATTGGTCTTTGTGATTATATTCATGCACATTTGAGCACTACGACAATGCACTCAAGATTGATATTTATTTCCTTAATAACAAAATTAATATGAAGTATATATAACATAATTATGAGCAGGGTTCCAGCCCTAATTTACTGATGAAATTTCATGAAGTACATTGTTTTAACTATTTTAATTCTTTAAACAACAAATGATATTTGGCTGCACCAAAATTGTTCTCATTCTTCATAAATGAATTAGCAGTCATGATGAACAATGATGATAGAATCAAAGGTAAACAATTAATGCCAAATGAAATTTAATCACAGTTGTAAATAATTGCTGATGATGTAGCTTTATTATCCGAAACAGATAAAGATTTACAATATCAACTCAGTATATTTACTTACACCGAATGATAAGTTTTCCCAAACATTGTCCATAATTTTTTGTATCTTTATCCATGCCAATGATTATCAAAGGATAAGCTCCCCATGTAATTGCTACAATAGAAAATAAAATTCAGATATATTTTCAAAAAGTAATTATCAAAATAGCTTTATCTATTTTTTTTAAAAAATATCCTGCAGCATCCAATCAATTTACTTTTCTTCAGTAAAAAGGTTAAGGTCAACTTGAAGGTCATGATTTGAACAAATTTCTGAACTAAACATTTTTCTAAGAATTTAAAAAAGTTCTCCTAAAATATATCAGAAAATATATTCTTGTATACCAAATGCAACACACCTGCTGCAGACATTTTCAAAAAAAATCTTGCGATTTTTCTTAAGTTTTTGACTAATAATAATCGTAAGTCATTTCCACAAAGCCACTCATAATTTAAAATTTTATCTAAAAAAAACATCCCTTGCAACATTCATTTGATATTTATGTGCTTGTCCAACGAATTGTACTCTGTGGCGAGATATTGTTCTATTTTCGTGTCTGGACAATTATCTCGCCTCTATATGCTGGCCATCAAATTGTACTAAACATTAGTATTCAAGAATTCTATATAGTTCACATATAAACTATTCAGTATGGTAAAGTTATGACAGATTTTTTGAATATTTTTTTTTTGTTCTGTGAAAAGGAGATTTATTGTAAAATTTCACTAACGATAAAAAATTGTTTGTTTTTTTGTAAAAATGGCTGTTGTTCCTTTTAAAGTTTGAATCCATTGCCTCATTGAAATTTAACATTTTTGAATAAATTTTTCCATTTAGTATTTTCTTCTTGGTCTACTCCTATTTAACATTTTCTTAAATGATTTATTTTATTTTATTAAGGTTCTGTTAATAAATATGCAGATGACAATACCCTCTCATTCAATCACATAAACTCTCGAAAGATCAATACAAGATGAAAGTGTTGTTATTGTTGGAGAAGTTATTTAAATGAAACATATATACACTGAGGGATCCTTATAGCTTACTCTAAGACTCTTTGTGAACATACATCGGTTAACTGAATGAGCAATATTTGCTTATTTTCACAACAATCCTTTTCTTAGGACAATTTTCTTACTTGATTCAATTGTGTGCATGTATTTCAGTGTTGATCCGCTCTTTTGTTTCACTTGGTCATATGCTTTAACTAGGTCAGATATTGTGCTCATTGACACTAGACGCTCAGTAGAAGTGTAATATATATCGTCAACATCCTCACATTCCAAATTTGGAACTGTTAAGTTTGGATTCCCTGATGACAAAGAAAACATGATTTACGTCCTTCCAACAAGAAATTTGTTGTATCTTATTTTGACAAAAAAGAGCATTAGTTTATCATTTCAAGCCTGACTGAACAATGTTTAACCATTTTTACTTCTTTTTGTATTATTTCACTAACTGAACACAGATGTTATGTAAGTATAGACATGATCTAATTCTGCAGTTAATTAACAATCAAACAATATATTCTACAATGCTTTGTACAGCTAAGTTCTTCTTTGGATATGATATTTTAAATAACAAGAGGGCCATGATGGCCCTGAGTCGCTCACCAGAAACAACTGCTTTCCAGTGTTGGAATGTCAATATAAATTATTCTAATATTAAATTTGAGCATAGAATATGTTTAAACAATAATTTGAAGAAATGCCATGGCCTGGGGTACAATGTATTTAAGGTTTAGCTTAAACGGGGCTAATCAAATTAATATGAGCAAACTTGATAAAAGACTACCCAACAATGCTTCAGATAAAGTTTGGTGATCATCCATCCATTAGTTCTGTGGAATAGACATTTAAAGGTATTTCTATTTTTAGCTTTACCGGCCCCTAAAAGGGGCTAATCAAATGAATATGAGCAAACTTGATAAAAGACTACCCAAGAATGCTACAGACAAAGATTGGTGATCATCCATCAATTAGTTCTCTAGAAATAGACATTTAACAGTATTTCTATTTTTAGCTATAGAGACCCCTAAAAGGGGCTAATCAAATGAATATGAGCAAACTTGATAAAAGACTATCAAAGAATGCTACAGACAAAGTTTGGTGATCATCTATAAATTATTTCAGTAGGAAATGATGTTTAAAGGTTTTTTCTAATTTTCTATTTTTAGCTTTAGTGGCCCCTTAAAGGGGCTAATCAAATTAATATGAGCAAACTTAATAAAAGAGTACCCAAGAATGCTTAGCAGACAAAGTTTGGTGATCATCCATAAATTAGTTCTGTAGCAATAGATGTTTAAATGTATATCAATTTTTAATTTTAGCGGCCCCTAAAAGGGGCCAATCAAAATAATATGAGCAAACTTGATAAAAGACTACCCAACAATGCTTCAGATAAAGTTTGGTGATCATCCATCCATTAGTTCTGTGGAATAGACATTTAAAGGTATTTCTATTTTTAGCTTTACCGGCCCCTAAAAGGGGCTAATCAAATGAATATGAGCAAACTTGATAAAAGACTACCCAAGAATGCTACAGACAAAGATTGGTGAGCATCCATCAATTAGTTCTCTAGAAATAGACATTTAACAGTATTTCTATTTTTAGCTATAGAGACCCCTAAAAGGGGCTAATCAAATGAATATGAGCAAACTTGAACAAAGACTATCCAAGAATGCTACAGACAAAGTTTGGTGATCTTCCATCAATTAGTTCTGTAGAAATAGACATTTAAAGGTATTTCTATTTTTAGCTTTTGCGGCCCCTAAAAGGGGCTAATCAAATGAATATGAGCAAACTTGATAAAAGACTACCTTAGAATGCTACAGACAAAGTTTGGTGATCATCCATCATTAGTTCTCTAGAAATAGACATTTAAAGGTATTTCTATTTTAAGCTTTTGTGGCCCCTAATAGGGGCAAATCAAACTAATATGAGCAAACTTGATAAAACACTACCCGAGAATGCTACTGACAAAGTTTGGAGATCATCCATCAATTAGTTCTGTAGGAGAAGATGTTAAAAGGTTTTTCTATTTTTAGCCCTAGAGACCCCTAAAAGGGGCCAATCAAAATAATATAAGCAAACTTGATAAAAGACTACCCAAGAATGCTACAGACAAAGTTTGGTGATCATCCATCAATTAGTTCTCTAGAAATAGACATTAAACGGTATTTCTATTTTTAGCTTAAGCGGCCCCTAAAGGGGCCAATCAAATTTATATGAGCAAACTTGATAAAAGACTACCCAAGAATGCTACAGACAAAGTTTGGTGATCATCCATCCATTAGTTCTGTAGAAGAAAATGTTTAAAGATATTTTCTATTTTTAGCCCTAGAGACCCCTAAAAGAGGCCAATCATATTAATATGAGCAAACTTGATAAAAGACTACCCAAGAATGCTACAGACAAAGTTTGGTGATCATCCATCCATTAGTTCTGTAGAAGAAGATGTTAAAAGGTTTTTCTATTTCTAGCTCTGCTGACCCCTTAAAGGGGCCAATTAGAATGACATGAGCAAATTCAAGTGTGACTGTCACAAGGATGCTACAGACCAAATTTGAAGTAAATCTGTCCAGTAGTTTCAGAGAACAAGACGATTGTTGACGCATGACGACGGACAACGGACGACGGACGCCGGAGCATCCCTTTTTGATACTAATAGCTCACCCTGAGCCTTCGGCTCTGGTGAGCTAAAAAACCAAACCAGTTTGTTGCCTTATTGCTATAACTGAATAAGTCTTTCAAAATTTAATAGCAGTTAAATCAGTTATTGCACTAAGATGATGAAATAGGACTTACTTATAATATTGCTGCCATTTTCACTCATTGATGTTGAAGGATAGAGGTTGTAATTTTGAAAACTCTGAACAGGGGGAACATCAGGCCTTTCCCCTCCAGTAGATGCCTTAGAAAACACACTAGTTTCAAAAGACTTATTGTAAACTTTAACATCTCTGTACTCAACAACATGGCCATATCCTAAATTTATTTGTGCACTGAAAAAAAATGAAGTAGGAATTTTCAAAAATTGGAAAGTCTTGAAACTAAAAATCTAGCAATCTAGAAATAAGACTTCTAGATAATCTCACAACCCTAAACAAGAACCGGTTGAACTGGGTGATGCTCCCCGACTAGGTTTTGGACACAGAAAAAGTTATTTATGTAGTCCAAGGGATAAATTTAAAAAGTGGGGAAAATTTCCAAAAATTTAAAGGCAAGACGGGTTTACTTTTCTTTGCATTTGCAACTTCTCCCAATTTGGAGAATCAAATAGTTGTAAAACCCGGGAACTTAAAAAAAACAAATTTGGGGGCCGGGACACTTTTTTGCCCCCAAGGTTTTTGGATGGGGCCCTTTCCCCTTCAAAGTAGGGGCCAAAATTTGTTGCGCCCCCGAAAACCTTTATCTCAATTTTGGTGATAATTCTGAAAAATTTAGTTATATAATCCGACTGCAAAAAATGAAAAATTTGAAAGTTATGGGGCCCCGGACAAAATTTTGCTCAAGGTAAATGCTGTGACCTTGCCCTTAAAGGTAGCGCCCCAACCCTGTTGGGGCAAAAACGTTCCCAAATAGGGTGATCATTTCTGTGAAATACTTAAAAAATCCGACTTCAAATAACAAAGTAATACGGACTGGACACGATTTTGCTGTAAGGTCATGCTGTGACCTTGACCTTCAAGGTAGCGACCCAAAAATTGCGCCCAACACATTGTCTCAATATGGTGATTATTTTTATTAAATAGTTTAGAAATCCGCCTTCAAATAACGAAGTTATGGGCCGGACATGATTTTGCAGAAAGATCATGCTTTGACCTTGACTTTCAAGGTAGCGACCAAATGTTGCACATGACACGTCTTCTCAATATGTTGATCATATCTGTGAAATAGTTGTAAAATTCCGACTTCAAATCGAAGTTATGGGCTGGACACAATTTTGCTCAATATAGTGATCATTTCTGTGAAACAGTTTAAAAATCCGACTTAAAATAACGAAGTTATGGGCCGGACACAATTTTGCTTCAAGGTCATGCTGTCACCATGACCTTCAAGGTAGCAACACAAATGTTGTGCACGACACGTCATCTCAATATGGTGATCATTTCTATGAAATAGTTTAAAAATCCGACTTCAAATAACGAAGTTATAGGCCGGACACAATTTTGCTTCAAGGTCATGCTGTGACCATGACCTTCAAGGTAGCAACACAAATGTTGTGCACGACACGTCATCTCAATATGGTGATCATTTCTGTGAAATAGTTTTAAAATCCTACTTCAAATATAGAAGTTATTGGCCGAACACGATTTTGCTTCAAGGTCATGCTGTGACCTTGACCTTCAAGGTGGGGACCCAAATGTTGCGCGTGACACTTCGTCGCAATATGGTGATCATTTCTGTGAAATAGTTGTAAAAATCCGACTTCAAATATAGAAATCATGGGTTGGACACGAATTTCGGGACGTACGTACGGGCAGACGGACGGACTGATGGATGGACGGACGGACGACCCGACAACTATATGCTCCCCCGAAATTTTTCGAAGGAGCATAATAATATCAGTTATAAGCCTAGATAATATCAATTAATCCCTAGATAATCTCAATTACAACTCTTGATAATCTCAATTACAACTTTAAATAATCTCAGTTTTTGCCCTAGATATTTTCAGTTATAACCCTAAATAATCTCTGTCATAACCTTGGATAATCTCAATTACCCCTCCAGGTAATCTCAATACAACCCTATATAATCTCAATAACAACCCTAGATAATCTGAAGTACAACCCTAAACTAGAAATGTGTCCATAGGACACGGGTGCCCCAACACTCCACCGATTTGTCAATCTTATGTCTCTAGATCAATTTTTTTTTTTGGCTACATGTGCCCAAGATGAAAACTAAAAATTTTTTATTAAGTAAAGTGTTAATGCTACAAATACTGAAAAAATCCACAAGAAAAAACCCAGGGTGCATCAGTACACACGCTAACCAACATTCTTGAAAACTTTCAGGAAAATGAAAAATACTCAGGTGCACAACTACATTACTCTCCTGCGCATTGGTCGAATGTTCCTCACCTCTGCTAAAATTGTAGGTTCATATACCGATACGTTCATATACCGATATTTCTATTTTTAGACGGGAAAATCCGTGTCTACACTTCAGCCAATCAGTGACTAGCTTGCTTACTTGTAACGAATTGTCACATACTTGAATTTGACGCACCGTTAATATGTAAACAATGCCTGTTCATTCGTACTTTACCTAAAATTGTTTGTTTTAAACGTTTCTTTTAAATGACCCAATAAAGCTACCAAAATGGTGAATTCGCGATGATATAATATATACGAATCGTCAATTGTAATGGAGTCTACATAAACGGTAGCTCAATACCAATAATGGTCTGCATATTCTGGCTGCAAGAAAGTCCGAGTATCTTTAGGCCGTTAAAATTATTTTTCTTATATTTTCTCAGATGACCAGTAGCATTTCGACAATAACTCAACCCATCCCTCGAAAAACCGAGGCATTCTTATATACATTGACGATTGTTTAATACATGTATGAATAAATTGGAAGAAGTTATCACATGCTATTGCAACATTACACCAGGTGTACACTATGCACAACATGTAATTAAATATTAATTTGACTGATCTTATATAGAACAGTACATACAAATTCAGTATCATCTTAGCTTCAATGACGGTCATTTAAGAATATCCAAGATCATATTTGACGTACTTTCATACCCTGTGTTTTTCCATGGATGGGCAGGTTTTGTACAGTCATGATATGCATGTATGTGCAAAATGACATACATGTACATACTACATACAGATATCTACAAACTCAACCAACACTATTTTAAACATCACAAGTGAAACTGCATTGGTTACTCATTTGAAATTCAGCTATTCTACTTATAATTGTGTAGTCAATCAGGAGACTACCACAGCAACCACAAGCTTGTCCATTTATATCAACAATAGCTGTCAATAGATTCAACTATTCTCAGAACTTGATGGAAAATGTTTGAATTAACTAAGGAATATTTCATTTATATACATATGATCAAGTCTTGCAATTTTTTTATGTTCCGTGAGGCCATATTTCATTTAAAATTCACAAGTTATGAGCCTTTGACAGTGACCTCCAAGGTACACTATTATTTAGTTTTAAGATTTTTCAGGCAAAAATTTAACATGTATTAAATCAGAAGTTTAGAGAGTCATACTTCTGTCAAAATCCATGCTAGATTTCCTGGCCTTGGAAAGTGACCATTTTTTATGATCCTAACTATGTGCAAAGTCTTTAACACATGAAAGAATCCAATGTGCCTTGTGGATTTCAAACCAAGGTGAAATTGAGCCATTAGTTGCATGAAAAACATAAGATGTTACACTGATGAAGAATTCCAGGTGTAAAGGATAGCCCCATTTTTCTTCAAACAGTTAAGCTTAAAAAAATAACTGCACTGTAGATCATCAATGAATTTATTTCATACCTCTAAGTCTTAATTTTCAAAACAATATGTAATATGAAATTACAAATGCAATATTTTATTGATTTAACATACATGTATAACCACAGTCCTAAATATAATGTATAAAGGCTTGATCACATAAACATAACAAAAATAAGAGTACATAAGTTGGCTGAATGGTCACTCACAATCACATGGATAGATTGAAAAATATTTCTCTTCCTATGAAGTTATAACATCCTAAGTAAATAGTAACAATATCAAACTTGACCATGCAACACTAAATATATATAGGTTGGGATACTTTTAGCTAGCTATTGAGTAGGCAATGCATATTTAAGCTAGTTTGGATATTTCAGGTTTTTTTTAAGTACAATCGATTTGTGCCTTCAGCACTGGTTTGATACTTAACTTTCTGAGTCAGATACCCAGTCATATTGTTACTATGTTTAGTGAAATCATGATACCTATTCACATTGTTACTTTGTACAATGTTTACTAAATATGCATTAAATCAAAGCAAGAGCCTACAGATTATTATCTTATTTTTGGTAAGTCAATGGTAATAATTTAACAAATTTCTTTCAAATAAACCACAATAGTCATGTAACCAGCATTACTTCGAATATACACAAATGTAATCAGAAGTAACTTAGACACTAAAGGTATATTAATTCCATCTACTTGTACACAAGTAAACAAAAACCTGCTTTTCTTTTAAACTGTTTTAGGATTTCTAAGCTTTATCAGCAAGTATGCAAGCTAACTAATTAATAATTTCTCAAATAATGACATAGAAAATCATTTACAAGAAAAAAAAACAAGAGGGCCACTTGAAGACGCTCACCTGTATATAGAACCCTGGGATGGGGCCTATTGTAACCCAGGGGCTTTTATTTGAACAGACTTGGTAGACACCTATTTGAAGATGTTTCATGATAAATATCTAAGCTCTAGCTCTAAGAAGATTTTTTAAGTTTTTACTTTACACATACAAGGAAAAGCAATGACCCCCCCCCCTCTGGGCGGGGCCAATTTTGTCTCCAGGGCTTTTATTTGAACAAACTTGGTAGACACACAATACAAGATATTTCATGCTTAGTATCCAAACTCTAGCTTGTTGGGTTTTTTAAAAGAAGATTTTTTAAGTTTTTACTATACACATATAAGGAAAATCAATGACCCACGGGGCGGGGCCAATTTTAACCCCAGGGCCCTTAATTGAATAAAAATGGTAGACACCCATTCGAAGATGTTTCATGCTAAATATCTTAGCTTTAGCTCTTAGGGATTTAAACAAATATATTTTTCAAGTTTTTACTATATACATACAGGGAAAAACAATGACCCCCTTGGACGGGGCCAATTTTGACCCAAGGGCTTTTATTTGAACAAACTTGGTAGACATCTACTAGAAGATGTTTCATGCTTAATATCTAAGCTCTAGCTATTTGTTTTTTTTTTAGTAGAAGGTTTTTTAAGTTTTTACTATATACATACAGGGAAAAACAATGACCCCCTTGGACGGGGCCAATTTTGACCCCAGGGCTTTAATTTGAACAAACTTGGTAGACATCTACTAGAAGATGTTACATGCTTAATATCTAAGCTCTAGCTATTTGTTTTTTTTTTTAGTAGAAGGTTTTTTAAGTTTTTACTATATACAAATAAGAAAAATCAATGACCCTAATTTTGACCCCAGGGCTTTTATTTGTACAAACTTGGTAGACACTGACTAGACGATGTTTCATGCCAAATATTTAAGCTCGAGCTCTTTCGTTTTTTTAAGGAGATTTTTCAAGTTTTTTCTTTCGGTTGCCAAGGCATGGAATTAAATTCTTTGAACAATTTTTGAAGTTGACTACCAAAGGAACATTCCTGTGAAGTTTGAATGAAATTGGCTTAGCGGTTTATGAGAAGATGTCGTTTAAAGTAAAAGTTAACGGACAGACGACGGATGAAAAGCGATCAAAAAAGCTCACCATGTCACTTTGTGACAGGTGAGCTAATTATATATATAAATATTTTGACAATTGCCGAAAGAAGGCCGGAACAGTATCTGGTTTATGAGGCTATTACTCAAAATAGGTCATATTATTTGGTCGTTATTTAGCATTATCCATAGGACAGTGTAATTGGCTATTTTCATGCTTGATTGTAAATAAGCTATACCAGCTTATCAAAGAAAATGTTCAATAAGTTTTAAAGTTTCATGCCTTCAGATGAATCAAATTATTTAAATAAAAATAAACTATACTTAGAAGTTTAGAAAAGTAAAAAGATACTTTTTGATTTTCCATTATTAATCACCATATTCCAATCCCTCAGCGTAACTTATAAAGACTAGTTTTTGCATATTTGACTTGTTTTTGGTTATTTAAATGGAATGTAAGTGCCATTTGCAATGTGTAAATTACTTTCTTTCTTCACTTCACAATATTTTGATATTTTCAAATACATTTTGAAAACTTTGATGAAAATTAGCATGAACCTGGAGGCATGCTGCTTTAAATGAATACTAAACTTTAAGCCATTCATGACTCTAGGTCAAATACTTTTTTAGTTATGTGCGACACAAGTCGAAAATTGGAAATTTTTACTAAGTCAAGGGCAATAACTCTAAAAATACTAAAAATATCAACAAAAAAATACACAGATGCACAATAACACATGCTGAGCAACATTCTTGTAAGATTTCATGACTCTAGGTCAAATACTTTTTTGAGTAACATGCGACACAAGTTGAAAATTAGAAACATTTACTAATTCAAGAACAATAACTCTAAAAAGACTATATATATCCACACAAAAATACCCAGGTGCACAACTTACACATGCTGATCAACATTCCAGTAAGGTTTCATGACTCTAGGTCAAATATTGTTTGAGTTACTTGCGACACAAGTTGAAAATCACAAATTTTTACTAAGTCAAGGGCAATAACTCTAAAATACTAAATATATCCACATGAAAATACCCAGGTGCACAACTTCACATGCTGATCAACATTCCTGTAAGGTTTCATGACTCTAGGTCAATTACAATTTAAGCTATGTGCGACACAAAAAGTGAACGGACGGACGCACGGAAGGATGGACGGACGGAAGGACAATGGTAAATCTAAATGCACAATAATCTCAATTACAATACTAGATAATCTCAATTACAGTTCTAGATAATCTCAATTACAACTCTTGATAATCTCAATTACAACTCTAGATAATCTGAAGTACAACCCTAGATAATCTGAAGTACAACCCTAGATAATCTCAATTACTCCCCCTCCCTAGATAATCACAATACAACCCTAGATAATCTCAATCACAACCCAAGATAATCTCAATTACAACCCTAGATAATCTCAATTACAACCCTAGATAATCTCAATCACCCCCTAGATAATCTGAAGTACAACCCTAAATAATCTCAATTACAACCCAAGATAATCTCAATTACAACCCTAGATAATCTCAATTACAACCCTAGATAATCTCAATTACAACCCTAGATAATCTCAATTACAACTCTAGATAATCTGAAGTACAACCCTAGATAATCTGAAGTACAACTCTAGATAATCTCAATTACAACCCTAGATAATCTCAATTACAACTCTTCAACCTGATAAAAACCCTATTACATTAGACTTTCCACACAAATTAAGAATATTTTTGGTCTTTCAAGCTAATCGGGGTACAAACTTTTTAAGTTATAGGCTGGAAAATAAGGGCAAAATGTTGACAAATCTATTGTAACCTGTAGATAGTGCACCATGAAGCTATAACGGTAAAAGTTTGTTTGTATTGGGGGATTAACATTGAAAAACCCACATTTGCTAAGTTCCGGATAAAATCTATTTAATTTTGATCACAATTTTTACCCGATTTAATGCACATTAAACCCAAATTTAATCCCAATGACAATTGAACATTATCCAAAACCAATTAAAACTTAATCTAGTCTTAATAACAAATGTAAATAATCTTAACTAGACCTATCACTAAATGTGATTAATACCCCAGCAAGACTGCTTCGGAAATGAGGAAGTTACTAGAAACAGAATACCTTGCGAAAGAACTGAAATAGAGGTATGGTTGTCGGCAATTAAAGATAGTTGTGGGTCTTGTATGTTGCATTTCCTTTCAATGTGGTTGACCATTGAAGAAGTTTTATCAAATTACTCTGTAATAAGTCCAAAAAGAGTTACGCTTCTTTTAAGAGTTACTGCACTTTCTCTCATTGCGCTTGACCATTGAATGAAGTTTCATTAAATTCTAAACATTAGTTTTTAAGTTATGCACTTGACAAGGAAAAGGAACAAAGGGCAATAACTCTACAAATACTGAAGATGGAGTTATGGTTATTGTACACTGCACTTCCTCTAATTGCGCTTGACCATTGTATGAAGTTGTATTGAATTCCAACTACTAGTTTTCAAGTTATGCACTGGACAAAAAAGTAACAAAGGGCAATAATTAATAAATCCAAATAGAGTTATGGTTCTTATGCACTGCATTTCATCTCACTGCCCTTGACCATTGTATGAAGTTTCTTTGAATTCGAACCATTAATTTTCAAGTTATGACAATTAAAAGTAACAAAGGGCAATAACTCTGTAATTAGTCAAGAAAGAGTTATGGTTTCTAAGCACTGTGCTTTCTCTCAATATACTTGACCATTGTATAAAATTGTATTGAATTCAAACAAGTAGTTTTCAAGTTATGCTCTGGACAAGAAAAAAGCAATGGAAAAGTAAAAAAGGGCAATAACTCTATAATTACACTGGACAGATTTATGGTTCTTGTGCACTGTACTTCCTCTTATTGTGCTTGACCATTGTATGAAGTTGTTTTGAATTCCATCCTGCACTTTACAAGTTATGATCTGGATAAGGAAAAGTATCAAAGGGCAATAACTCTGTAATTTGTCAAAATGGTGCTATTGTTCTTGTACACTGCACTTCCTCTTAATGTGCTTGACCATTGTATGAAGTTGTCTTAAATTCCAACTAACAGTTTACAAGTTATGCTATGGACAAGGAAAAGTAACAAAGGGCAATAACTCTGTAATTAGCCAAGATGGAGTTATGGTTCTTATGCACTGCACTTCCTCTCAATGTCTTTGATCATAGTATGAAGTTGTATTGAATTCCAACCATTAGTCTTCAAGTTATGCTCTGGACAAAAAACAGCAATGGAAAAGTAACAAAGGGCAATAACTCTGTAATAACTTTAGATAGAGTTATAGTTCTTGTGTACTGCACTTCCTCCCATTGCCCCAGACCATTGTATGAAGTTGTTTTGAATTCCATCCAGTAGTTTTTAAGTTATGCTCCGGACAAGGAAAAGTAACAAAGGGCAATAACTCTGTAATTAGTCAAGATGGAGTTATGATTCTTGTGCACTGCACTTCCTCACAATATACTTGACCATTGTATGAAGTTATATTGAATTCCAACCATTTGTCTTCAAGTTATGCTCCGGACAAGGAAAATTCAACAGAGGGCTGGACCGACCGACCAACCCACCGACCACCGAGTGACTCCTATATACCCCCAAACTTTGATTTGGGGGTATAATAAATGAAATATGGAATGTCTTACTTGTAATCAAGTTGAAGGTTCCTGCTGGTGTAAACTGGTTCCTGGACATGCAGGGAATCTAATGATGCAGATAACATTCCGTAACTAGTCATTGAAATTCCAAGATGATGCCATTCTCCATCAAATAGAATACCCCTAAAAAGATCCTCCGTTTCAAATGATATACCAACTTTCGGATCCAACCCGTATCTTACATAAATTCCAGCCTTACTTACTGTTAGGCTAAAGTCAAACATCAAATCTTCTGGTAGTGTCGTTTCCTCTGTCCTGTCATAAATAATGATACTGATGATTTATCTCAACCTTTATATTTGCTGCTAATGCATATCTAACACTTACAACTTAGTATGACAGTGTATGACATCATAGTGTGACAGTGTATGACATCATAGTATGACAGTGTATGAAATGAAAGTATGTCAGTGCATGACATCATAGTATGACAGTGTATGACATTATAGTATGACGGTGTACGACATCATAATATGACAGAGTTTGACATCATAGAATGACAGTGTATGACATCAAAGTATGACAGTGCGTGACATCATAGTATGACAGTGTATGACAACATAGTATGACAGTGTACAACATCATAGAATGACAGTGTATGACCACATAATATAACAGTGTATGACATCAAAGTATGACATTGCCTGACATCATAGTATGACAGTGTATGACAACATAGTATGAAAGTGTATGACATTGTAGAATGACAGTGTATGACATCATTGAATGATTGTGTACAACACCATAGTATGACAGTGTATGACATCATAGTATGACAGTGCACGACATCATCGTATGACAGTGTTTGACATCAAAGTATGACAGTGTACAACATCATAGAATGACAGTGTATGACATCATAATATGACAGTGTATGACATCAAAGTATGACAGTGCCTGACATCATAGTATGACAGTGTATGACAACATAGTATGAAAGTGTATGACATTGTAGAATGACAATGTATGACATCATTGAATGATTGTGTACAACACCATAGTATGACAGTGTATGATATCATAGTATGACGGTGTATGACATCATAGAATGACAGTGTATGACAACATAATATGTCAGTGTATGACATCAGAGAATGACAGTGTATGACCACATAATATGACAGTGTATGACATCAAAGTATGACAGTGCGAAACATCATAGTATGACAGTGTATGACAACATAGTATGACAGTGTATGACATTGTAGAATGACAGTGTATGACAACATTGAATGATAGTGTACAACACCATAGTATGACAGTGTATGACATCATAGAATGACAGTGTATGACATCATAGTATGACAGTGTTTGACATTGTAGAATGACATTGTATGACAACATAGTATGACAATGTATGACATAGTATGACAGTGTACGACATTATAGTATGACACTGTGTGACATTATAGTATGACAATGTTTGGCATTATAGAATGACAGTATATGACATCATAGTATTACAGTGTATGACATCATAGTATGACTGTGTTTGACACCATAGTATGACAGTGTATGACTTTGAAGTATGACAGTGTATGACACAATAACCTCCTTGTAAGTCATGTCATATTCATATAAAAGATTCAATCAATAAAGTAGAATTAAGAATTTAGCTACTCATATAAATATTTTATTTGTTCATATAGTAAAGTTTAGTTCTAGTCTTACAGTTATTTTATCATAGTTATAAGATATAAATTTAAGATATGCAACATGATATACATGTTTATTACACACATTAATTCTATTAAGCTCATACTCATACAACAGGATAAGCCATTACTCGGAGCTCTGATTAAGTTTGATGAGTCCATAGCTAACTCACACTCAATATCTGTAATTTATGGCAACCATACACACAAAAGAGTTTACATATGAATAGATTTTTAGGTTATTTTTGTACATATTTTATTCAATAGAAGTATGTCCAAACACTATTAGAATGTGCATTCTGTAAATTATATACTTTTTGCAGAAATGTGAAAAGTGTGGATATTGATAATTCCAAGAAATTGGATGTTTGTTTTCTTTTTTGTTTTGTTTAGAGTTGCACCAACATAGTAGAAGTCAAATGGTGACAGTCCAGCTTTACTGGTGAAGGAAGATTCAGGTGCCCATTGGCACGAACAAGTACCCGAGAAGAAACACTGATGTTCTGTAAGGTAGCTGGATAGCTTCCCCACATCAAAGAATCCAAAGTATTTCGCACAAGCCCCAAGTGGTGAGGGACAGGTGATTTAAAATCAACATTTTTAACCGATCAGCCATGGACACCCAAAGATATTGCATCTAGTTGGAAAAAAATTCAAATACTGAGTTCAAGAAATGTGTTTATGATACCATATTTTATATGAACAGGAGTACCAGATCTTAACTTTTAATCTACAGATTACCATGGTAGACTTCGATCTCATGTGTACAAGTCATGTATTTCTATAGGTGTAGTCTTCTCTTTTTTTAATTTACCAAAATGATCTGATGTATTGTTCTCTTTCTAAATTTACCAAAATGATCTTTGTGTATTGTTCTCTTTTTTAATTTATCAAAATGATCTATCTTTTATATTGGTATATGAGATATGCAAAACAAATGCAAATAATAAAAGGCAAAGTAAAGGGAAAATTATCTTTTTTTCTGTTTTGTGTAATTTCTGCTTACGTGTCAACAGTTCATAATTTATTAGCTCAGGTGAGTAATGATACATTTATTTTTAAAAATGTGCCCAAATAAAAAATAAAATTTATCCAGTAAATTGCTAGAAATGACTTTTTTGAATGTTTTTATCTGGGAAACATGCCACTGGACCCCCCTATAAATGTTCTAAGTTTGAATATGAGCCGGCTACAGCCTTGAAGAATCAATATATATCATCATGATGATATAAATGATAGGAAAGTCCAGCAGTAGATTACTTACGCAAGTAAAGCAAACACAGTGCCTAGAGGAACTTCTGAGTTCACCATATGAACCCTTAGCCACATCATTACAGATAGCTCATCAGTTTTCAAGTGGAATAATGTCTGCAATGAAGCTGGCTTCTTGAGTTGATCTGCAGCATTTACCAACATTGTATAATCTGTTCTTGAATCTAGAATATACAAAATTTGTACATAAACAATAGGGAATTTACTTACTTTATCTTCTACAATCAATACAATGTTTATATCTAATATCAAGGAAATGTTTAAGATTGTCATTATATACAATAAGTGTACATACGGTATTTTTATTTTATTTATCTGTACTAACATTGGTAATTTAGTAGCAGTTTTAAAGCATTCTTTAAACAATTGTTAATTAGGAAGGACAGACACTGTCTCATTGTGCTTTAATACAACTTTCTGTTAAAATGTCCCTTGCAGAAAAATTATTTAAAGATATACACACAAAAAAATGGTTTTTCTGAGTTTAGAACAATTTAATTTAATATCAAACTACAACATGCATGTGCTATCAAGGCTCATCTGCTTAATGCAACATCTATTAACAAAAGCTGTTTGAGGAGCAACACACTGTACTAACATTAATTAAAGAAGTAAATTTGAATTAAAACACAAATTGACATCAACCTTGCATGTAGAAATAGTATGTGACAGGTAGAACTCATAAAGGTGCACCCACATATAAAGTCTGGCCACCGAGCCAGTGCTTAATTCAATGACTGCAGTCTGGGGCGCAGGGCAAAATTTAAGAAAAAGCGTGTTTTCGTCCAGCAACCCAACAGTTTTATCTTTTAAATTTCGCTCTGTACCCCTGCAGGGCGAAGTTTAAATTATTAAACTTCACCATGCGCCCTCGCTAATATGTCAGTTTTCACTCCGCACCCCCGTCATTTTAACTTGTAAATTTTTGACTTTTCGTCTGTCAGAGTCACAGGGCAAAAACAGGGATGGCACAAATCAGCCATCACAGTAAAGAGCTTGATGAGTACAGGAAGACCTGGCTCTATACTTGTAAAACATTCAAATAATCATAACTTCAATTTAGTTTTATCACTTTAAAGAGGAGAACATATAAAGAAATGGTGTCAAGTTTGTATTCTATGCTTTCAAACTTTGATTTGAAATTTGAATAATCATGTTAAAATGCTAGCTGCAATTGTTTATTTTACAGGCAAAGGATTTTGTAAAGGTAATTACATGTGTACAGATAATGTAAAAATAATGTACAGGTTAAGATAAATTTACAGGGTAAAGATAATAGTACAGGTATAGATAATTGTACAGGTAAAGGAAATGGTACAGGTAAAGAAAATGATACAGGTAAAGATAATGGTACAGGTAAAGCTGAACTTAAATTTTTCTAAAAACATGAAAATGTACTGACTTTTACAAGATGTTCCTGTCCATGTCCTCCCTTCTGTACATAGACAATCATGTGTTGATAGTGATGTTGCCTGACAAACAGCTCTGTTAAGACATGGAGTGTTGGCACATGGATCAGCTACTATCTCACATGTAGCACCACTGTAACCTACAAATCAGTGGGTTTAAATAATGGTACATTTTGATACTTTTAATAATCTAGTTGACATAGATCTGTTTAAAATTAGAACATGTCATTTTGTAATATACATAAGAAATACTATATCCCTAAAAGTAATTTCATCACTTAATAAGATGCGAGAAATGTCTGATTGCTCAGATAACTTCTACATTTAGAACACGAGTCTATCAGTAAATTATGATTATTAGTTATTTATCCGTTATCAAGCTAAATGTCTTCACATATACTCCTCTCTCTTTCAATGTGGACTAAACTATTCGTCTTTTTTTTACGAAAATTTCAAATATGTATGGAATAAGTCACAAACATTACAGACCAGGATCAGATGGCATGGATTGGCAGGCTGACTGATCTTGGACTGCACTGGTCGCATTGGTAAAATCTGTTGTCGTTAACAGTTATAGAATACATTAGTAACAGAGATTAACAATATATTTGGCATATCTCTTATTGAATTTAAAATAGCATATCACAGATCATTATTGTTTTTGTACACATTCAATACAATTTAGCTACCCTTCTATCATATTTAATCTGCTTCCATCAGTAAGAATTGCTCTACAAGTACTTTCAGTGCTTTGATAATAATATAGATAATTAGGTAAATACCTGGCATACACTCGCATTCATACCCTACTGGATTTAATTGTTTACATCGTCCATCATTCTTACATGGGTTGTCAGTGCACCAATCTTTCACAATCTCACATGATTTACCTTTGTAATCTGAAATGAAACTAACATTTATAAAAAAATCTACACTTAAGCAGATGTCACATTTTTGTTTTAATTCAAAGTAAAGGTTAGTTACTAACAAATATTGAAAAAAAACGTTAAAGTTCTTCATAATATTAATCCTTCGATTTAAGATGGACAGTGACATAAATTAGTCATATGAAAACTTTAATGAAGACATAAAGGATTGATTGGAAAACACTCTGTTGTTTTCATGCAGGAGAAAGGGCCATGAAGTGCCTGTGTACCTCATTTTAACATAAAACAAGAGGGCCATGATGGCCCTGAAGTCGCTCACCTGTACATAGGCCCCCGGAGCGGGGCCAGTTTAAACCCCGGGGCTTTTATTTGAACAAACTTGGTAGACAACCATTAGAAAAGGTTTCATGCTAAACATCTAAGGTCTAGCTTGTTTGGATTTTTAAAAGAAGATTTTTTTAAAGTTTTTTCTTTACACATATAGTTAAAAACAATGAAACACCTGGGGCAGGGCCAGTTTTGACCCCAGGGCTTTTATTTCAACAATATTTGTAGACACTTACTAGAAAATGTTTCATGCTTAATATCTAAACTCTAGCTATTTGAGTTTTTTCAAAAAAGATTTTTTAATTTTTGCTATAGTTTTACACATAAATTATAGGGAAAATGAATGACCTCCGGGGTGGGGCCAATTTCGACCCCAGGGCTTTTATTTGAACAAACTTTGTAGACACTCACTAGAAAATCTTTCATGCTTAATATCTAAACTCTATCTATTTGGTTTTTTCCAAAGAAGATTTTTTAAGTTTTTCCTATACACATATAAGGAAATTTGGAAAATCAATGACCCCCTGGGCCGAGCCAATTTTGACCCCAGGGCTCTTATTTGAACAAACTTGGTAGACATCCATTAGAACATGTTTATCTAAGCTCTAGCTCTTTGGGTTATTTAAAAGAAGATTTTTAAGTTTTTACTATATGCATATGGGGAAATCAATGACCCCCTGGGGTGGGGCAAATTTTGACCCCAGAGCTTTTATTTGAACAAACTTGGTAGACACCCATTAGAAGATGTTTCATGCTAAATATCTTAACTCTAGCTCTTTTGTTTCTTTAAAAGAAGATTTTTTAAGTTTTTACTATATGCATATAGGGAAAATCAATGACCCCCTGGGGCGGGGCCAATTTTGACCCAAGGGCTTTTATTTGAACAAACTTGGTAGACACTTACCAGAAGATGTTTCATGCCAAAAATCTAAGCTCTAGCTCTTTGGGTTTTTTAGAAGAAGATATTTTAAGTTTTTTTCTTTTGGTTGCCATGGCAACCAGAGTTCTACATGGAATTAAATTCTTTGAACAATTTTCAAAGGTGACCACCAAAGGAACATTCCTGTGAAGTTTGGATGAAATTGACTGAGTGGTTAATGAGGAGATGTCATTTAAAGTAAAAGTTTACGGACGACGGACGGACGAAAAGCGATCACAAAAGCTCACCCTGTCACTTTGTGACAGGTGAGCTAAAAACCAGTTAGGTAGAAATATGGTCTTAGTTGAGAAATTTTACATGTACGAGGGTTGTTCGATATATAATTAGACTATGTTCAACAGATGAATACAATACAAAATAACAAAGTTATTTCATTTCTAAATATAATCTGAAAATATTTAAGTAATGCATAAAACAGTTTTAAAGTTACAGAATTTATAAGAAAGTCATGTTTGCACTATCGGCCCCGCACAACAATATTTTGCGATGTCAGCTACGTCATTTGTGAAGTTAAGTCGCTATAATGTCTTCTCACATACGTAGCTTTTCAAAATATGCTCCAGAATATATGCTTAAATCTTTCGACAGTATGCGATGCGTACTTCCTACGCATGCATCAGCAATTTCGGCAAGCTCCCGCACCATTTAACGCATATCAGTATCAAGCCCTGACTGAATTGACGCGACTCTTGACGCTTTCACAGACTGTTTTCTACTGGACTTATGTTCGTCATGCAGGGATGGGTGTCCCTCAGAAAACATTTTGTACCACCTAAACACTAACATACGACAATCAAAGCAGAGAAGGCGCTGAATTTGTTTGGGTCTCAGAATGTCAGAAAAGTGAATGTTGTGAGATTATAAACCAATTTGTTTTTGTATAGTGCCACCAATGCTTTCCAGCATTTTAATTGTAGTAAATTGGCTATAAGACTAATTGAAACACTGATATTCAATTCAATGTTTATTTGACTTAAACAATTTGAAAACAAAATGAGTTGCCTTAACTAGGATTTGAACTACAGACCTCTCGCTTCCTAAGCGAGCGCGCAAACCCCTCTGCCACGGTGATATGTTAACGGCCTGAAGAAAACCATATTATTCTAAATAAGGGTTTGTAACGACGCTAACTGTTGTTTAACACAGACTGATGTAAATAATCATGGACCTTACTATATTCATGTATATCTATAAAGAATAAAACAATATAAGAAATCTTTTACCAAGCGGGAACTCATACATAATTTTGCTTGAAAATTAATGCGCCTGTCATTTGACCATCTTTACGCAGTGATCTCCCCTGAATTTTTCGGCGTCAGTGTACATATAAAGGGAAGTAACCACTTCAAAAAGCGGACTACTTTCGGCATTTGCAATTAACAGCATCAGAGTCTGAAATTTCTCTACCATTATTTGTTTGGTCTGAGGACCCAAACAAATAAAAACTGTCTTTCCCCTTTAAGCCTCTTGCAACATTGTAAATGTTTCCATCGCGGATTTGTCTAAATGCAAGCAAAACTTAATGTTCGCCCACACTTCAAGACGTTCTTCGTATATATATATATTTAAATGCATATATATATATATATATATATATATATATATATATATAAATAGATAAAATTATAATGTTTAAGAAATAACAAACTCTATGTAAATTCAGTAGCGCTTTCAATGCTTTCTTCGCATATCTTAAGCCGAAACTTTAATAAACAATAAACATATAAACAAATGACGTAATGTCATGAAAAAAAGCGGGAACGTTAAATGATAACATATTTCCCCGGCAAACACAATATGGTAATTTATACTGTAAAATTATAATATTACGGATTGTACGGATTATGCTTAATGTCCGTAATATTATAATTTTACAGTATAAATTACCATATTGTGTTTGCCGGGAAATACGTTATCATTTAACGTTCCCGCTTTTTTTCATGACATTACGTCATTTGTTTATATGTTTATTGTTTATTAAAGTTTCGGCTGAAGATATGCGAAGAAAGCATTGAAAGCGCTACTGAATTTACATAGAGTTTGTTATTTCTTAAACATTATAATTTTATCTATTTCAACACTGCACAAGGAACATTTATCACGTTTTAATATATATTAATATATATATATATATTTAGCAATAGAACAATCAGAACTACGGAAGACAAAACTAAAGACGGACGAAAAAGTCATACCATACGTGTCAACACATAATCCAAGGAATACCGAATTTTTCGCAGTTATACAAGAAAATCTACCAATTTTACAAAATGATGAAATAATGAAAGGAATTATTGAAAGAAGCCACATAATTAAAAGTAAAAGACAACCGGCTAATCTGAAAAAACTTTTGACCAGGGCACGATTTTCTTCAACACTGAGAAAGAATAAAATAATAAGATGCAGCAGTTTAAAATGCGGCCTGTGCAAACACTTGATAGAAGGAAATACATACCATATAATGGCCGCGAATTAAAAGTAAAATTCTCAGATCATGCGACATAAAAAATGTGAAAGTAAAATTCTCAGGATCATGCGACATAAAAAATGTAATCTATGCATTGAAATGTAATGGTTGTTCCAAAGATTATATTGGAGAAACTTCAAATTTAAGAAATCGAGTAACATTACACAGTCAACATATACGAAATCCAGACAATGCATTAATACCAGTCAGTCGACACATTGCAATTTGCGCAAGAGACATCACGCCAAAGTTTAATATAATGCCAATCTATAAAATGCGAGAAACAGACCTCTTCAATTATTTATTACAGTTTTGTTAATAAACAATTGCAATGTAAACTGGAAAAGGCATCGCTTCATTCTTTTTTCCCCGCTATATATATATAGGTCTGTCTGGTTATTTTAAAGGGTTATCCTTAAAGATTATTATGTTCAAGTTTGAAGACAATCCATTCAAAAATAACAAAGTTACAGCCAATAATAGCAAGAACCAGCAAAATTTAGAGTTTTGACCTTGAAGGTCAAGGTTAGTGTGGTCTACTGAAAGGTCTTGTCCCAAGGGTTGTTGTGGCCAAGTTTGAAGACAATACACCAAGAACTAAAAAAGTTATGATCCAGGTACAAGTTTGCGAACGGCAACAGAAACGCCGCCGCGACTATAACAATACCCCTACTTTTTTTTCAAAAAAAGGCGAGCTAAAAATTATTTCTTACTTAACATTATATTATAAGTTACATCTTTATAAGACAGAACGGACAGGGGCGATAACACGTTACTATTGTTATTGAAATGATCATAATTTCTATGTCAAGTTATATTGTCTACCAATGCCTATAATCTGATCAAGAATAAGTTATACCACATTTTGTTATATTTCATGTTAGAATAAAAAATAAATGAGGACCGTCTCATTATATATTGAACAGCCCTTGTAGAATTAAAATGTCCCTTAAATAACATGATCAACCTACATTTGTGATGTGTAACTGATTTAAAGTCAGGGACAATAACTTCTTAGCTTTAAAGAACCCTTACAAAGAACATTTACTATGGTCTATACAAAATCTGTTATAATTTCAATATTGATATGTGCTTGTAATCCTTTGCTTACTTTCTGGACAGTTTCTTCTGTAGTTTTTTAAAACCCAAACACTGAAAATTTTTTTCTCCCCAAAACTGTATAGAATGAAAATTTTTTAAAAGAATAGTTCCGATAACCGGCAGTGTTTCACTGTTTTTAAACAAAATTCTTACTTTTACACAAATTTAAAACCCTTTTGAAATTTAGTTTCACCCCCTTTTCACCCCTGTCCCTCCTTCCTCCCCTAAACATGCCTTGTCATCACTACAAACAATAAAAAAAACCTGTTTTTCATAAATTGGGTGAAACCCAAAAAATGTAGGGAAAAAAAATTAAAAAAAATACTAAACCCAAACATTTCTTTTTCAAAAAAATCTTGCAATTACTTTTTTTATTCATCATTACAAAGTTCCAATATTAAATGTAAAGGTTTGTCCTAATGTTCCCGGGGGGCCCATTTTTACTTTTTAAATTTTTTAAGTTAAAATAGGAAATCATATAATTACATGTAAGGCAAGTTTTTTCTTGAATTATGTGAAGTATAGAAGTTTGAATATGATTTTTATAGCAAACCCCCATATGTAAAAATGTCAAAGTCTATATCATTTTAATTTTTAATATTGTTTAAAATGGGACGGTTTTTTATGACCAGGAAGGATCACGAAAAAAAGTTTATTATTATTTATAACAAAGTAAAATTTTACTGAAAAAAACGACCAATCTTTATAAAACAATCGAAAAAATAAGGTAATCGGGAAGGATAAAAAATTCCCAAAGACGACATCTACTGCAAATGTCAAAGGCGGTACCGAGCAATTTTTGACAATTTTGGAAAACGGGGCATCCCTCGTATTAGCTCGAAAATCAGGAAAAGTTGAAATCATAAAAAAATAAAAAAGAGCAAACATTCCTGAAAAAAGTAATGACCCGTGTGCGTTTAAAATTTGGTACCAAAATGTTAACGGGGGTGGGAGATAAAAACCCAGTTTTTTCAGGGAGAATAAATATTTTGGGAAAATGAAATCAACGTCATTTCTTTAAAAATTTTGCAGGCCTCGATGTACATTTTTAAAATTTTTTATATTTTTTAAATTTAGTACAAAACAAAAATTGAAAAATAACATATAAGAAAAAAAAAAATAAGGGCTTTTTCATCGAATCTACAATTTTTTTTTAAATTAAAATCATCCGAAAATTTTCGGGCACACCTCGTGAATGGCCCTTTTTTTAAAATTTTCATCTTTTAGAGCAAATTTTTAACTAACCTTAGACATGCATTGTTTTTGTTTTCCGTCATTATAAAACTACCCATTATTTTACAACATCTTTTTAAAATTTTTTACACAAAAGGGGCTTTTTACTTTATCTCCCTGTACTCCGCCTTTTACTCACGGGAAAAAAAAAAATTTTTTAAAAAAGTTTTAAATTTTTTAAACAACTAACAAAAAATTTAAAAGTGAAAATATTTTTTAAAATTTAGGGCATATTTGAAGAATTTTGAAGTGTAAACTAGATAAAGTTCACTTGTAAATCTAAAATAGCATAAAAAATATATATATATTAGCTTGATTGTTATGAATACTTGAAGCTTATTTGATTAAACCCTTAAAGTCAATTTTATGAAGATACAGGTAACTAAAACCAATGACTTTTATACATACAGGAAACTGAAAACTACAACTTTTATACTTATAAGTAACTAAACACTACAACATTCATATATGCAGGAAATTAAAAACTACAACTGCAATACATACAGAAAACAAAAAACTACAACTTTAATACATATGGTAACATAAAAACTACAACTTCAATACATATGGTAACCTAAAAACTACAACTTTAATACATACAGAAAACTAAAAAACTACAACTTTAATACATACAGGAAATTAAAAACTACAACTTCAATACATACAGAAAACTAAAAACTACAACTTTAATACATACAGGAAACTAAAAAACTATAATACATATGGTAACCTAAAAACTACAACTTCAATACATACAGGAAACTAAAAAACTACAACTTCAATACATATGGTAACCTAAAAACTACAACTTCAATACATACAGGAAACTAAAAACTACAACTTCAATACATATGGAAAGTAAGAAAAATCTCTAACTTGCCGTACATAATCAAAAACGCTAATTTAAATTTGCCGTAGCTTTCAGCCTTGCTGCATTCTTCAGTAGCATTTATTTTAGGTACAAATATATCAAAAGAAAACAATGAAAGTGACGTAACGTCAATGAAGGGCGCCCACCGTGGACTTGTTTGCCACTGTCGCGTTATTCTTTGGTATTTACTCCATAATTATGGTCTATATGTTCTTAATTTATTTTTCCACAAATTTTCTATTGTTTTTCGGTATTTGTCATTCCTGTATAGCCCCATTATTGTAAAATCATTAACTGTGTGGTCGTTCGTGTAAAAACACGCCACTAACTGATCGTTGTATTTGGTTCATATTCTGGATAAATAATTTTAAAAGCAGATGTCTTTGGTACAACGTATCCCCTGTTTCACCTAAATAAATATAAAGTTTGCAACGCTTACAATACTGCATACACTACATTCGTAGATTTACACATGATCCGATTGCGTACCTTGTACGAAGCCGCATTCACATCAATAAATGTATTTGATTCAATGACGTATGGACAAATCGCACACTTTTTTGATCTGCAAGGCGCGCAGGAATTGGGCTGTTGAAAGAATAATTTGTTGTGTTTTCATGAACAAGAATGTTCTGTATGGTTATTGTATTGTATGGATATATACATATATACCACTTTAATTCACACAGAAAACTAAAAATTACAACTTCCATACCAGAAAATAAAAACTACAACTTCCATACATAGGTAAAGGAAAAACTACAACTTCAATACATACAGGGAACTAAAAACTACAACTTCCATACATACAGGAACTATAAATTACAACTTTAGTTCATTATTTTATTTTTCTTTTGTAACCTTTATCACTGTGCATATTCAGTAAGGCAGGAATGTGCAATTAAAGTAAAAGTAACGCAAAATCATTGCAACGCTATAGATAAAACGAATGACGAACCAAAATATGTTATTCCCAATCAAATTTTAATGAACCTGTAACACAATTTCTTTATGGCTTTAAATCATAAATATGATGTTCAAATTCAGGTTAATCAAATTTTTAAGTTCCAAAAAGCATTATTTATAAAGATATTACCGAAGTTAACATTTGTACCATTGTAAATAACGGTAATATATATTTATATATATATTTATATATATATAATTTCACTTAAGTACAACCTCAATTACAACATACAGGATCCTTAAGAAATAAATTAGCCCATACGGCTGCTACAACATTATACTTTAAACAGCATTGCATTTTTTGTCTGGAATATGTTTACCTTTTTAGATCATTCCTAAGAAAGACAACATGATTACTGTTTTGAAGGTGACTTTTGTGTTTCGTAAAATAGATATGTACACTTAAGACTATATTTTTTCATTTTCTGTATACCTAAGACATTTGTCAAACTACAAGTGTCATATAACAATATGAAGGAAGCTGGTAAAATAGGATTTAGCTACTGATAATGAGATAACGCCGTTGCTTCAGTGTTTCAGTCACGATTTCGGCGTTACCTGGTAGAAATGGTCTTAATTACGTTTTATCTGCTGAACTTAATGTTATATGACACGAGTAGATTGGAAAAACAGGTACATCGAATATAAATAATCATATTAGGTAATACGTACATTATTTATTTAAAGATATCAATGAAACTAAAAGTCGCCATCAATACGCTAGTCAGGTCTTCATTTTCATGAATGATCTTGAAAAATAAACATTTTCATGGAAATTTTTGATGAGGTTTAAAGTATATATATCTCAGCAACCATATGCCCTAACTCAATTATTCCAATTTAGTGTATAATAAAAAATATTGGACCATTTACTTTTAATTGTGGTGCTCGTTTATAAATTAGCCATTAAATTGCACAATTATGCATTATACTTTTGCACAATTCCTGCATTATTTGCACATTCCTGTGTTACTGGATATATTACACAGTGTTTATATTGAAAACTTATCTATACATTTTAAAAGGCTGCTTGTCAATTTGATAAACTGAGTTACACACCTGCAAAATGAAGTTTCTTGTAAGCTTATACATTTTCCTCCATTTTGGCATGTTAGAATTCCAGCACAATTATCTTTCATTTTTTCACACAAGTCTCCTGTATACCCTGTCTCGCACTCACATTCAAAGCTGTTTTTACCATTGGTACATTTCCCACCATGTTGACATGGGTTGCTTGAGCATTCATTGAAATCAGTCTTTGTGGAGAGAAAATAAAGAACAAGATAAATAACAAAACAATTTAGAACAGAAAATATTTTAACAGTTTAAAGCAATAAAAGATAATGATATAAATGTGTTGTCATGCCAAGGAAGCCCCCGCATGCAGCCAAAATTTCAGATGTTATAATATTTAGTTCGAAATTTGTTTGCACCAACTATTTTTTTCATTTTAAGTTCAAAGTCCTTAAAACTATTCAATGTTAGCACAAACCATTTTTATACAAAGTTCAAGGCACTGAAAGTATTCAGTGTTAACCTTTTGTAAATTGCATATTTGTAGCAAAAATAATGACTACATACATTTAAAAAAAAGTATGAGTGCTGAAACTGAAAATTCAAAAATTTTCCAAAATTCAAGAGATAACTTTGTCCAAAATTATTGAACCATGACCAAATTCAAACTTGAACTGCTTATCCCTAAGATGTATCTATATGTAAAATTTCAGTTGAATGTGTACCACCTTTGGGGAGATAATGAACAGAAACTGAAAATTTTTCTTTCAAAGTTACATGTAAAAGGGCATTACCGCTTAAAATCATCAAACCATGATCAAATTTGAACTTGACCTGCGCATTCCATTGACATATCCATATGTCAAATTTAATGTGTAATACCGTTGGGGAAATAATGAACGGAAACTGGAAATTTCATATCATTTTCAAAGTGAAAGGGGCATAACTCTACCAAATTCATCAAACCATGACCAAATTCAAACTTGACCTGCGCATTCCTTTGAAGTATCCATACATATGCATGTCAAATTTGAGTTGACTGTGTAATACAGTTTAGGGAGATAATGAACGGAAAATGAAAATTTCCTCAAGGGGCATAACTCTGTCAAAAATCATTGGAGCAAGACCAAATTCAAATTTGACCTGTATTTTTGATAATATATCTTATGTCAAATTTGAGTTGAATGTGTGCAACCGTTACTAAGATAACGATGTGTAACATAGCATTTCTATGTCAAAATGTTTTTAGGGTATTAATTATGAAAACATTAATTATTTCAATATTCAAAAATTAACATACATTTTTAATAATCATTAAAAGAATTTCATTGTTGTATAAATATTTTGATAAAAATGACTTTCAGATTCTTAACTGATAAATTGTACAACTATAGTATAAACATGTCATAGTGGTCAATAAGGAAATATTATCACCTTTTGATTTCAATACTTTATGGCTTAATTCTCTATTTCATAGTCTTTTATCAAACAAGCCATACTTGATTATCTTTTGACATTTATTGCTAATATTGCTTATTTAGGCTTAATTCCTATGACAACTCTTTCTAAATAATTTATATTGTTTCTTTTTATATTTTAAATTAGTCTTATTCTAATTTGGGAACATTCAACATCTTAAGGTCTTATTTTTAATTTCAGAACTCAGAACATCTAAAAGTCTTATTTTGTATTTTGGAGTTACAACATCTTATAGTCTTATCTTAGAAAATAAATAAGTAAAATTAACTTAGGCAAATTCAGGTGCTAGCTGTGAAAATATATATGAGTGGACTATATTATAATTTTATATCTGAGAACTTTAAATCACTTTAAAGAAATAAATGAAATAACATCAACACTGGACTTTCGTGCCATTTATGCCATCATTTAACAAAGAGGATACTGGATAATAATACACCAGTATCCCACACACACCAACCAACCGAGGGTTCACACACACCAAGCAACCGAGGGTTTCCATGTAGGGCGCTCACTACGCCAGCGAGTCCAATTCCCAAACAACACCCCAAAGCGAAGGCCCTGCCGGCGACCCTCCGCTACAGATGACTGAATGACAGAAAGTCAGAATGACAGAACAGGGTAACACTATATGCCCCAGCCATTTTATAGCGGGGGCTTAATAAAAAATATCCTGGAAATTCATTTGAAAAGAAGTGATAAAGTCATTTAAGTATGTATGCTTAGATGTGAGACTTACCTCACAATCATCACCAACATATCCAGCTTTACATATACATTCAAACCCGTCTATTCTGTCTTCACATCTACCATTTTCTAACTTGCATGAGCCAGGGCAATCATTAATGTTGTTTTCACATCTGCTACCTGTTAATAGAAAATATCTGTGAAATCAGTGAATGCTAATAAATAAAATCATCATATCATTTTTCCCTTCTCCAAGTTCTTCTGTCAAGGGCTTGTTAGCTTGTAAACATAAATATTATTTACTAAGAATCAATTAAGTTGTAAAGTCTCACTTTTTAGAAGTAAATGAGTAACAACTGAATTCTATAGAAGATCAACCATTTCATGTTTGTCTACATGTTTGTCTACATTATTACATATAAATGACTAGTTCAATAATATGATACAATTGATTCTACCTGTATTACATTTAAACAATGATGGTCATTTTCAAACTATATTCAAACTATATTCAAATCAATCAAATTAAAATCCAGCTCCTTAATTATCCACTGAATGTAAAAAATACGTAGGCTCCACTGTATGAAAAAAGTAGGATCCACTGTATGTAAAAAATAAATAGGCTCCACTGTATTTAAAAACAAGAAGGCCAGGATAGCCCTAGATCGCTCACCTGACCCATCGAACTCATTCGCACAATTACCTACACAAGCATTCTCAGACCAAGTTTCTTGACAGGTGAGTCAAAAATGTGCCCACTAGTGTTAACAAGGATTATCAATATTTGAGCAGTATGACCTATATTTTGACCCCAGGTGACCCATATTCAAACTTGACCTAGAAATCATCTTATCAAACTTTCAGACCAATTTCCATGATATTTGGATCAAAACAATAGCCACTAGAGTGTTAACAAGATTTTTCTATTTTTAGCTCCTGTGACCTAGTTTTTCATTCGAGATGACCCATGTTTGAGCTCATCTGAGCATTTACCTAGACAAGCATCCTAACCATGTTTGATGATAAACGAGTAAAAAATGTGACCACTAGATTGTTAAAAAGGTTTTTCTATTTTCAGCCTCTGTGACCTAGTTTTTCATCTGAGATGACCCATGTTCAAACTCATCCGAGCAATTACCTATACAAGCATCCTGACCAGGTTTGATGATGATCGAGTCAAAAATGTGACCGCTAGTGTTAACAAGGTTTTTCTATTTTTAGCTCCTGTGACCTTGTTTTTCATCTGAGATGACCCATGTAGAACTCATCCAAGATATTACCTACATGCAGATAAGCATCCTGACCAAGTTTGATGATATTTGAGGCAAAATTGTGACTGCTAGAGTGTAAACAAGGTGTTATCTATTTTTAGCTCCTGTGACCTAGTTTTTCATCCGAGATAATCCATGTTCACACTCATTTAAGCAATTACCTAGACATGCATCCTGACCAAGTTTGATGATGATTGAGTAAAAAATGTGACCGCTAGAGTGTTAACAAATTTTATTTCATACCATAAATTTCATAAAGAAAAGATCTTACCATTAAAGCCATCTTTACACTTGCAAGTGTATGTCTGGTCACCATCTACACATTCAGCTTCATTTAAACACTGATTACCTACACAGTCATCAATACTGTGTTGACAGAGAGAGCCAGTGTAACCAGGTTTACAACTACATACACTGTCAAGATTACCATTAGTATTTTGACAAGTTCCTTCATTACAATCCACAACATCACATGGTACTCTAACCTGGTCACAAGCATATCCCACATCTGTTGATTATATCAATATTCAAATATATACATGAGTATTTTAAATGTTGGCAAAGGACTGGACACAAACTCAAGCTGCATTGTAAGACTACATGTGTATATAACAAAATCAATTCCTTGTAGTGATGTCAAACTTTGAGCTTTAAAGAACTAAATCTTTTCTGCTACAGATCATCTTCTTATGTTGATCAAGTTAGCCAGTCTATTTTTAAAACCCATCATGGATGCAGAAGTTATGAGTTAAAGACATGAAATTTGTATTGTTTACTTGTAAAATCCAATCAGACATGCAGCAGTTATGGACAGGAAACAAAACACATAAACATTTTTAAATTTAAATCCACTAACACATAAATCTACAGAGATAAGGATAACACTTTCTGCCCCCCCCCCATATAATTGTGGGGGTGGTTAAATAAAATAAGGGTCATAATTTCAGTGTATCTAAACTTCCTATGTTCATGCATTTTGAAGAATGACAATTAACATGAATAACAGATGTTTGACTGTATACAAGAATAAAAGTTTGACTGTAAACAGGAATAATAGAGGTGAAACCATGTACATGAAGAAAATGGTTGACTGTGTACAGGATAAGTCAATGTTTGAATGTGTACATGAACAACACAGATCTAACTGTGTACATGAACATAACAGATTTAACAGTGTACATGAACAACACAGATTTTATTTTGTTCATGAAGTTCAAAGATTTGACTGTGTACATAAACAATACATAGTTAACTGTGTACATGAACAACACAGAATTAATAGTGTACATGAACAACACAGATTTAACTGTGTTTATGAAGTACAAAGAATTGACTGTGTGCATAACGCAGAATTAACTGTGTACAATGTCATGAACAACACAGAATTAACAGTGTACATGAACAACACAGATTTAACTGTGTTTATGAAGTACAAAGGTTTGATTGTGTACATAACACATATTTAAATGTGTACATGAACAACACAGATTTAACTGTGTACATGAATAACACAGATTTAACTGTGTTCATGAATTACAAAGGTTTGACTGTGTACATTAATATTAGAGATTTGATTGCATATATAGCAAGGGGGCTATTGGCACCAATGCGCTCACCTGAGTACTAAATGCAATTGATATACAAAAGTGAAGTTACCAGGTCAGGTTAGAGGACCTATAGGTGATATAACATACCAAATATCTATGATCTAAGTCTTGTACCTTCAGACATGTAGATTTTTTATGTTTTTACTATATACATATAAGGAAAACCTATGACCCCCCGGGACGGGCCAATTTTGACCCCCAGGGCTATAATTTGAACAACTTTGGTAGAAGACCTATAGGTGACATCAATAATTATGCCAAATATCAAAGCTCTAGGCCTTGTACTTTCAGACAAGAAGACTTTTTAAGTTTGCATTTTTTAACACCTTTTCTAGCCCTGTGACCTACTTATGCAACAGACCAAAACCATTTGAACAATTTTGGCAGGGGACCACCCAAGGATCATTCCTGTAAAGTTTGGTTACTGTGCAGTCATTGGTTTTTGAGGAGATGCTGTTAAAAGAAATTGTTGACGACACACGGACACACAACAATTGGGGATCACAATAGCTCACCATGAGCAAGTTGTGCTCAGGTGAGCTAAAACAGCATTTAACTTTGTGCATAAAGAAAATATGTTTGACTTAATACAAGAAGAGTAAATGTTTAAATGTATCCATGATCAAAAAAGGTTTGATTGTATTCATGAAGACTAAGGTTAAAGATAAAAAATATTGATGTATACAATTAGAATTAAGGCTTAAATATATACATGAAAATTAAAATATTTAAATTTCTCACCTGGTTTGTTATTACAATTTTTTCGAATTTCAAATGAAGAATCTTCTGTCTGTTCCCCTGTATAGGTGTTGTCATACATTTGGCAATTTGGAGTAAGATCATTGTTAAAGATGGCATAAAAACATTCCCGATTGTCCTTACATGCTGTTTTACATTGTTCAATGTCACTAACACTTTTACTGGAAACATTTTTTCCTGCTGTAGAAGCTTGTCCTTCAGTAACAACCATCTCACATCTATACCAAGTTTCAAACAGAGCTGTGTCACATGTACACACTCCCTCCATTCTGTCCAGACTGTTATAACATACATTATCTCCCTTACAGTCATTGCTTAAACAGAAGTCTGGAGTATTCTCACAGTTTGTACCTCCAAAGCCAGACTTACATTGACATTCATAGCTATCGACCAGATCAACACATACCCCACCATACGCACAGGCATTAGGGTTGTTGTCACAGTCATCTGAAACATAAAATATGAAATATTAAACCAAATGATATGATTTTTGGGACAAGCTGACATCCAGAACATAATATAACAGAACAAGCAACTAAAAACTTGATAAATGGTCTTATATTGACAGATCAATCAATAAGCCTAGTGTTCAAATGCCATTACTAAAACATTACAAATTTTCATAGCATCATGTTTATATTATTCAAGCATGAAATGGCCTTTAAAATCTTATATTTCTTTTAGTTTTACTATTTCATACAAAACTAAAAATGTGTCCATAGGACACGGCTGCCCCCACACTCCACTGTTTTGTCAATCTTATGACTCTAGGTCAAATATGCTACATGTGCCACAAGTTGAAAACTAAAAATCTTTTACTAAGAAATGGCAAGAACATTACAAATACTGAATAAATCCACAAGTGAACCCCAAGGTACATAAGTAAACATGCTGACCAACATTCTTGTAAACTTTCAGGCCTACAGGTCAAATAATTTTTGAGCTATGCTTGAACAAGTTAAAAATTGCAAATTTATACTAAGTCAAGGGCAATAACTCAACTGAAAAAATCCACATGCAAATACCAGAATAACTCTGACAAAACAGAATAAATCCACAAGCAAAACTTCACATGCTGATCAACATTCCTGTAAAGTTTCATGACTCTAGGTCAAATATTGTTCGTTTTACATGCAACACAAGTTGAAAATTGTAATTTTTTACTACCTCAAGGGCAATAACTCTAACAATAATGAACATATCCACACGAAAATACATAGGTGCACAGCTTCGCATGTTGTACAACAGTCCTGTAAAGTTTTATGACTCAAATACTTTTGAGCTATGTTCCACACAAGTTGAAAATTGCAAATTTTTACTAAACCAAGGGCAGTAACTCTAAAAATACTAAATATATCACCACAAAAATACCCAGGTACACAACTACACATGCTGATCAACGTTTCTGTAAAGTTTCATGACTCAAGTCCAAATACTTTGTAGCTATGTGCACCACAAGTTGAAAATTGCAAATTTTTACTAAGCCAAGGACAGTAACTCTAAAAATACTAAATATATCCACACAAAAATACCCAGGTATACAACTACACATGCTAATCAACGTTTCTGTAAAGTTTCATGACTCTAGGTCAAATACTTTTTGAGCTACGTGTGACACATGTTGAAAATTGCAAATTTTTACTAAGTCAAGGGTAACAACTCTATTAATACTAAATATATCCACAGGAAAATAACCAAGTGCACAACTTCACATGCTGATCAACATTTCTGTAAAGCTTACTGACTCAAGGTCAAATACTTTTGAGCTACGTGCAACACAAGTTGAAAATTGCAAATTTTTTCTTAGCCAAGGGCAATAACTCTAAAAATACTGAATATATCCCCACGAAAATCCCAAGGTGCACAACTACACATGCTGATCATCATATCTGTAAATGTTCATGGCTCTAGGTCAAAACCTGTTTGACACAAAATGAGAACGGACGGACGAACTGAATGGTGGACATACGGACGGACAAGGGTAAATCTAAATGCCCCCCCACTAAAGTGGGGGCACAAAAAGTTCCTTTACACAATAGACAACAAAATTAAATGGAGGCACAACCCCCTTAAGGCAAGACAACGATTATAATCATGTTTGTCACATTGTACTATATTCTAGCCGACATATTAAAGTAATTCTTTGCTTTACTTAAAATACAAAATGTAAGGTGCCTCTGCATGCTTGTGGGGAGCTGGTATAGATATACATTTTAGCATAAAATGTGGGGAGTCAGTATAGGTATGATTTTAGGCATAAAATGTGGGGAGCTGGCAAAGGTATAATTTTAAGCATGAAATGTAGGGAGCCAGTGCAGGTATAATTTTAAGCATGAAATGTGGGGAGCCATATTATTTTAAGTAAAATATGACTTGTAAATTGTGACTTATATACAACGTTGTCAGTAAATCATAAATAAACACAAAAATACATAAATATACGTATGCTAAATTCATTCTCTAATGTACTACAATAACTTACCTATGTTGTTTTCACAATTTACACCATCATAACCATCAAAGCAGGAACATTCATATCTCACAGATCCAAAGGGAGTACATGTGCCATGTTCACATGGGTTTGAATTGCATGGGCTGTTTGCAACATCACATCTTCAAATAGTTAATAAAGATAAATTCACCATAAATTTGACAAATCATACAAAGCAAAGAAAAACAAAATTTGTCTCATAAAAATATGTTCTTGATTCATGTTCAGCTAAACCATTTTTTTAAACCATCTTTTACTAATCACATCATTGAGTTTACAAATTGTTTCCATAAGTTAACATAAATATAGGACACCGGAATATCATACCTACATAAGTGGTATGCTGTTTCACAGTTATAGTCATTGTCTGCCTTGGTCTGAATGTATGTAGTTGGGAATAGCAAAAATATTGATTGAAGAAGTTATCTCAAGATTTGGTATTCCCAACTACATACATTTAGACCAAGGCAGACAATTTGAAAGTCAGCTTTTCGCTGAAATGTGTGAACTTTTACAAATTAAAAAGACTAGAACTACCCCATACCATCCCCAATCCGATGGAATGGTGGAAAGATTCAATAGAACACTCGTTACTATGTTAAGTACATATGTAAATGATCATCATACAAATTGGGACGAAATGCTTCCCTATGTTATGATGGCATACAGATCATGTGAGCATGAAACTACCGGAATAACTCCAAACATGTGCATGTTAGGTAGAGAAACTACATGTCCGTTAGATATTATGTTTGAAATGCCCCCTAGTATTAAGCCTGTACCTACTAACCAGTATGTATGGGAGCTTAAAGATAAACTAGAAGCAGCCCATTCAATAGTTAGACAATATACAGGTAAGTCTATGAAAAGACAAAAGAAGATTCACGATTCAAGGTTATCATATGAAGTATTTGAGGTAGGTGATAAGGTTTATGTGTATTTTCCAGTAAAGAAAGTTGGGTGCTCTTCAAAGCTTACGTCATACTGGAGAGGACCATATCAGGTAATAGAAAAACTCTCAGATGTTCTGTATAAAGTAGATTGTGGTAGATCACAGGTACCTCAGGTAATTCATTGTGATAGAATGAGAAAAGCTGAGAATCAATCTTTAACTAATGATATTAGTTTTGAAAACATCATTAATACAAATAATGATAATATTGTAGATAAAACTTTAGAAAACTTAGTTAAGAGCTCAGTTGAAGATGACAATTTAGAAAACTTTAAAGTTAAAAGTTCTGTTAGAGATAATGATATAGATGATGAGATTGTGTTAGGCAAACGAAGTAGAAGAAGTCCGTTTTGGATGAAAGATTATGTTCTTTCTATTTTCAGGGAAGATATGGACAAGACAAAGAGTGGGAAAAAGATACCATGTATTTGCCCCTTGTGTAATGAAACGGTGTCACCTACAGATGGTTACAATGAACATTTGTTAAAATGTGCTGGTCAACGACATTCATGTGAAACATGTGGTGTTTCTTTTAAGAAAAGGGCTTATTTGAAACAACATATTGTTAGAAAACACAAAACCAATAAAGTGAATATGCCAAATGAATATCAAGAAAACCAGCAATCAGAAATAAATGCTGAAGTAAGTAAAGTTGAGCAAAGTGAAGCAAAAGCTTCTGAGAGCGATGACGAGTGGGATGTTGATCCGGATATAGAATTGTCTGAACCAGATAATGCTGATAATAATGATGATAAAGATGACCGTAGAGTGAATGATATTCGTCTAGGAAGAATGTATCGGAAACAGACTAACCCATTACCAGTAGTAGCCCCTAAAAAGAGAACAATGAATGAGGAAATAACAGATACATGCAGTTCATTGATGAACAAGAGCACCGCTAGGCGGAGCATTATATGCCCGAAAGTGTTTTTTTTTAGTAAGGATGAAGCATTTGTAAGACATGGAATTCGCTGTTCATCCTATAAAATTTTACAGCTGTAGGTTGATTAATACTTAAGTTATTAATAATGACCTTAACCTTTGACCTTGTGACCCCAAAATCAATAGGGGTCTTCTACCTTATATGGACAATCATCCTAAGAAGTTTGAATATTGTGGGCCAATTGGAACTTTAATTATGCTCTAGAAACTGTTTTCAGTATTAAGGTAAAAGTGACTTTGACCTTGTGACCCCAAAATCAATAGGGGTCTTCTACCCAATATGGATAATCATCCTATGAAGTTTGAATATTGTGGGCCAAATGGAACTTACGTTATGCTCCGGAAACTGTTTTTGGTTTTAAGGTAATTGTGACCTTGACCTTTGACCTAGTGACCCCAAAATCAATAGGGGTCTTTTGCCCAATATGGACAATCATCCTATGAAGTTTGAATATTGTGGGCCAAATGGAACTTAAGTTATGCTCCAGAAACTGTTTTCAGTTTTAAGGTCATAGTGACTTTGACCTTTTGACCCCAAAATCAATAGGGGTCTTCTACCCAATATGAACAATCATCCTATGAAGTTTGAACATTGTGGGCCAAATGGAACTTAAGTTATGCTCTGGAAACTGTTTCCAGTATCAAGGTAATAGTGACCTTGACCTTTGACCTTGTGACCCCAAAATCAATAGGGGTCTTTTATCCAATATGGACAATCATCCTATGCAGTTTGAACATTGTGGATCAATTGGAACTTAAGTTATGCTCCGGAAACTGTTTTCAGTATCAAGGTAATAGTGACCTTGAACTTTGACCTTGTGACCCAAAAATCAATAGGGGTCTTTTACCCAATATGGACAATCATCCTATGAAGTTTGAACATTGTGGGTCGAATGGAACTTAAGTTATGCTCCAGAAACTGTTTTCAGTTTTAAGGTCATAGTGACTTTGACCTTTAGACCCCAAAATCAATAGGGGTCTTCTACCTAATATGGACAATCATCCTATGAAGTTTGAACATTGTGGGTCGAATGGAACTTAAGTTATGCTCCGGAAACTGTTTTCAGTTTTAAGGTCATAGTGACCTTGACCTTGTGACCCCAAAATCAATAGGGGTCTTCTACCTAATATGGACAATCATCCTATGAAGTTTGAACATTGTGGGTCAAATGGAACTTAAGTTATGCTCCGGAAACTGTTTTCAGTTTTAAGGTCATAGTGACCTTGACCTTTGACATTGTGACCCCAAAATCAATAGGGGTCTTCTACCTAATATGGACAATTGAACATTGTGGGTCAATTGGAAGTTAAGTTATGCTCCGGAAACTGTTTTCAGTTTTAAGGTCATAGTGACCTTGACCTTTGACCTTTTGACCCCAAAATCAATAGGGGTCTTCTACCCAATATGGGCAATCATCCTATGAAGTTTGAACATTGTGGGCCAAATGGAACTTAAGTTATGCTCCGGAAACCAAATTGCTAACGGACGGACGGACGGACGGACGGACGTACGGACGGACGGACAGACAGACAGACAGACGGACGCCAGGGGGTATTACATAATATGCCCTTTCGGGCATATAAAAAGAATAAAGTCATTGTAAACAGAAATGATGAGAATAATAATGGAAAAATTCACAGTGGCATAAATAAAGAAATTGATAATGAAAAGGATTTGTTGGAATGTGATGATGAGCTATTAAGGTTTGAGACAACTGACCAAGAAATGGAAAGTAAGGTTGTTAGAGAGGATAACGATCATATTAATAAAAGATCAAATATTAATGAGACTGAGGCCAAAGCTGGCCCGTCAAGTGTTGTGTGTAAGCAAAAAGAGATGTCACATTGCAGTAATTGCATGATATTTTTCGAAGATGATATTATGTATTCTTTACATATGGGGAGTCATAGCTTAGATAACCCTTTTAAATGCAATATTTGTGGAAAATTATTTGACAACAGATACGGGTTTTACACTCATTTCCTCAGGGGACATACAAATTGAAGGTTCAGTTTGTAAAGAGTTGTATAAGACAATACATTCAGAAGTTCTGTTAAATATGTTCATAATGTTATTTACTTTTTGTTTGTTATATGTATACAGGTATATGCAAAAGTTTAATAAAGTTCAATTTGAGATAAGTTGTTGTCCATGCGAGACGCATGAAATCGGAGGCGTGGGAAATGTAACGTTTTTAAGGCACACAAACCCTGCCGGTGAAAAGCTAGCTCACCACTGAGAGTGGTTTATGCCCTTATATATTGGATACTATCCTTTATGTGAATTCATCATCTTTTGTTTTCGCATATTGTAATGCTCATTAAATGACGTTCTACCAACGTCGTTACAATATACTCAATGTCACAACAGTAAATAATCATAATTTATCACTACTAATCATATTTTGTTTCATTTACACTGGGATACATAGAGGATATTTGTTTACAATCAGTGTAAGATCAGAATAAATTTTACTGAGTGACAGCAAAAGGTCTATATTTCAAGAGTGGCGCAGCCATTCACTTCACACTCATATTTTGTAATCACACATTTTTAGATAAACACTGGAATTCCTCATTTATATACAATTAATTGATTATTCTTTAAATTGCATAATAAGATCTCAGAAGTATTTTTTCATACATTACAATATATATGAGCCGCGTCATGACAAAACCAACATAATGGGTTTGCGACCAGCATGGGTCCAGACAAGTCTGCGCATCTGTGCAGTCTGATCAGGATCCATGCTGTTCGCTTACCAACTCTATTAAAAGTGGAGAAACTGACAGCGAACAGCATGGATCCTGATCAGACTGCGCGGCTGGTCTGGATCCATGCTGGTCGCAAACGTGACGCTTGTCGTAACGCGGCTCATATTATTTGGCCCTACATTGAGTCACAACCAACACTGGGTCACAACACTGTAATGCAGGATAGAATAAAGACATTTAAAGACAGAAATCCAGATTTACAGATAATAGAAGTTGTAAGAAAGTTAACTTTGATTCAATTAAAAAATAAAACAGCCACAATGCAGACAGGCAAAAATAACTCTTTGTTTTATTCTTTAAGGGGTCAAAACCTCACTTTCATTTTGACAGTATCAAGCTGTTTTAAAAAAGTATCAATCTCTACTAGTTTGTCTGAAATCAAACATAAAATGAAACCAGTTCTTGAAGATGACCAAATCATTTTTGATGGACAGACAGACTGTATATCAAGGTCAGGAAATGGACAACAGAATCGTATAGATCCAAAACTGTAGGTATGCCTGATTTACCTTATTCCAGAAAATCCTCCATTTGCAGAACAAATACATTGAGAGCCATTGATATTATTTTTACATTGTGAGCTTTTATTACAATTATTGTTCTCACAGTCATCCTTAGTATCTTGTTCACATCTTAAACCACCATATGCTGCAGAAAATATAAACAAATCAAGTCTCATTTATAAAATACAGTTTCACAATGTATATAATGTTAGTAACTATATAGTTCCACAATGTATGTTAGAAACTATATCGCATCACAATTTATGTTAGTAAATACAGTTGATATGGTACAGTTTATCAGTACTGTGTAACAAAGCCTATGTTATCAACCAGATTATGCATCAGCACTAATTAATACCTCTATCAAAAGAATTATATACCAGTACTACTGTGTTTTTTTACAATAAAGATTGTAAACTTGGAAGAGCACTAATGCTTCTTGCACAAGAACTTATGCATGCTTGATGTAACAGCACTAATCATCTAACATATAGGTCATATACCAGCACTAATCATCTAACATAAAGGTCATATACCAGTACTAACAATCTAACATAAAGGTCATATACCAGCACTTATTATCTAACATAAAGGTCATATACCAGCACTAATCATCTAACATAAAGGTCATATACCAGTACTAATAATCTAACATAAAGGTCATATACCAGCACTTATTATCTAACATAAAGGTCATATACCAGCACTAATCATCTAACATAAAGGTCATATACCAGCACTAATCATCTAACATAAAGGTCATATACCAGCACTTATTATCTAACATAAAGGTCATATACCAGCACTAATCATCTAACATAAAGGTCATATACCAGCACTAATAATCTAACATAAAGGTCATATACCAGTACTAATCATCTAGCATTAAGGATTACATACCAGCACTAATCATCTAACATAAAGGTCATATACCAGCACTAATCATCTAACATAAAGGTCATATACCAGCACTTATCATTTACCATAAAGGATAACATACCAGTACTGTTTATCTAACATTAAGGATGACATACCAGCACTTATCATCTTACATATAGGATTACATAGCAGTACTTATCACCTAAAATAAAGGTAATAAACCAGCAGTAATTAACTATCATAAATGTCATTTACCAGCACTAATTATCTAATATAAAGGATTACATACCAGCACTAATCAAGGTCATATAAAAGCACTAATTATCTAACATAAAGGGCATATACCAGCACTAATCATCTAACATAAAGGTCAATTACCAGCACTAATTATATATCATACTGGTCATATACCAGCACTTATTATATTATATAAAGGATTACATACCAGCAGTAATCATCTAACATAAATGTAATGCACCAGCACTAATCATCTAACTTAAAGGTCATATACCAGCACTAATAATCTAACATAAAGGTCATATACCAGCACTTATTATCTAACATAAAGGATTACATACCAGGACTTATCATCTTACATAAAGGATTACATAGCAGTAACTAATTATCTAATATAAACGATTACATACCAGCACTAATCAAGGTCATATAAAAGCACTAATTATCTAACATAAAGGGCATATACCAGCACTAATCATCTTACATAAAGGTCATATACCAGCACTAATCATCTTACATAAATGTAATACACCAGCACTAATCATCTAACTTAAAGGTCATATACCAGCACTTATTATCTAACATAAAGGATTACATACCAGGACTTATCATCTTACATAAAGGATTACATAGCAGTACTAATCATCTAACATAAATGTCATATACCAGCACTAATCATCTACAAGAGCGATCAGTGATCACATGTGTCGCCTCATGATGGCCAATTTCATGTTGGGACAAGTTTTGTGACAGACGGACAGACAGACGGACAGTGCACAACTAGATTTGGTACTGATCATTCCTGTAAAGTTTGGATAAAATTGCACCAGTAGTCTATGAGGAGTAGTCCGGACAAGCTTTTGTTTATCTGGCAACTAACCATGCTAACAGAAAAAACACCTTTTTATCAAAGGGCCATAACTCGGCTAAAAATCATTCAACCGGAAAACCCTTGCAATATGTGCAAGGACTTGAGCTATAGATTTATCCTGTAAAGTTTCATTGAAATTTCATTAGTGGTATAAGAGAAGTCAGTCCGGACAAACTTTAAAAATAACAAGAACTGTCGGAGGACAGTATTGGCTCGACTATTCAAAAATTGTCACAAGGGTGTTTTATTGAGTATAATAATGCTAATTACCTATGAATACATAAAATTGACCGAAAAGGTACAAAGGCTTGTTATTAAGATGTTTTATCAAGAAAACCACTGCTTTGTTATTATGAATGCATAAAAATGTCCAAAAAAGGCACAAACTCTTCAGTAGTAATGGAGATAACAGCTTACAAAACCCGTGCAATATGCGCAAGGACTTGAGCTACAGATCAATTCTGTAAAGTTTCATTGAAATTGCATTAGTGGTATAAGAGAAGTAGTCCGGACAAACTTTAAAAATAAAAATTATTAAAGGGCCATAACTCTGACAAAAAACGTGAACCCAAAAATGCTGACAATATGCACAACTAGACTTGGTACTGATCATTCCTGTAAAGTTTGGATGAAATTGCACCAGTAGTTTATGACGAGTAGTCCGGACAAGTTTTGTGATGGACGGACAGACGGACAGACAGACGGACAGACAGACGACGGAGAAGTGGTTCCTATATGTCGCCACTACTCCGTAGAGGCGACACAACAAAAATTAAGTTAATATACCAGCACTTATCTTCTAACATTAAGGTCATATACCAGCAGAAATCATCTAACATAAAGAATTACATACCAGTACTAATCATCTTATATAAAGGATTACATACCAGTATTAATCATCTAACATTAAGGATAACGTACCAGCACTAATCATCTAACAAATAGGTCATATACCAGTACTAATCATCTAGCATTAAGGATTACATACCAGCACTAATCATCTTACATATAGGTCATATACCAGTACTAATCATCTAGCATTAAGGATTACATACCAGCACTAATCATCTAACATATAGGTCATATACCAGTACTAATCATCTAGCATTAAGGATTACATACCAGCACTAATCATCTAACATAAAGGATTACATATCAGTGCTTATGCTATTATGCTATTAACATATACAAGTTATCTGTTGCTTTAAACACATTCTAATACCAGCAGTAACTCTGACACAATCCCAGTATTCTTGTATGAAATATTTTAGTACTGATAGTAAGTTATGGAACTGGTAGTAAATTTAGAACATGTCTTTGAAATATGTTTGATCTAACTAGTGAATTCTTAGACATGTTTCAAATACATGTTTAATACCAGTGCTAAATTGTTTTATATGCATGATCAAGAATAAAATAGTTTGATGCCTTAGTGAATACAACATTTCTAGATCATAAATCAGCAAAATGTGTTTCCTTAATTATTTTCCTCAACTGTATAACAGAACTGTCTGAGAAACCAACAACTTATAACTCAGATTATGATATACTTTGATAGACTTATTACAATACAAACGCAACATAAACATTCATTTTAATCATTTTAAATACATTGTTGATTTTTGTACAATTACACTACTGGTGAGCTATCATCGATTATATAAAATACAACTAGAAATGTGTCCATAATACACAGGTGCCCCCACCGCGCCACTGTTCTGTCAATCTTATGACTCTAGGTCAAATACTTTTTGAAAACTAAACATCTTTTACTAAGTAAAGGGCAAGAACTTTACAAATACTGAATAGATCCACAAGCAAACCCCAAGGTGCATAAGTTCACATGCTGACCAACATTCTTGTAAACTTTCAGGCCTACAAGTGAAATACTTTTTGAGCTATGCATGAACAAGTTGAAAATTGCAAATTTATACTACTGTAAGTCAAGGGCAATAACTCTAACAAAACTAAAAAAAAATCCACATGCAAAGTCCCAGGTGCATAGCTTCACAGTGATGTGAATCATTATTCCTGTAATTTAGTGATGTTGATCATTATTCCTGTAAAGTTGGTTGATTCTAACTCAAGCACTCAAGGAACAAATAACAACATAATGAAACAGTTTTTACTAAGTCAAGGGAAATAACTCTACAAATACTGGATAAATCCACAAGTGAAACACCAGGTGTAAAACTAAATATGCTGAGCAACCTTCCAGTAAGGTCTAATGACTCTATGTCAAATCCTTTTTGAGTTACATGCGACACAAATTGAAAATTCCAAAATTTTACTAAGTCAAGGGCATTAACTCTAAAAATACTAAAAATATCCAGACCAAAATACCCATGTGCACAACTACACATGCTGATCAACATTCCTGTAAAGTGTCATGACTCTAGGTCAAATACTTTTTGATTTACGTGCGACATGGACAGCCGGAAGGACGGACGGACAAGGGTAATTCTAAATGCCCGCCACTAAAGTGGGGGCACAAAAATGACATTTTTTTACCTGTGTTACATTCTTTTTTTAAGTGGACATCTGCTGGGAAATCTTCATCTATTAAATCAGCTTCTTGAATAGTGTCATTAAACAGTAAACAGAACTGGTTAGCTATAAACGAGGCTTCTTTACACTGGCTATCTGATAAACAGCTTGCATTACACTGTTCTAAAGTTCTTGTCAAATAAGTTTGATATAGTGCAGATGAACTTTGAGAACCCATTTTAACATCATTAGATACCTTCATTTCACATGTGTCCAAATCTAAAATTAACCAAATAAACATAAAATTATAATCACAAATAAATATGCTTTTGTTATTTTGATTAAGCCTTAGACAGTTTTTTTGTGTCCTAATTTTTGTTCATTAAGAATTTCAACATCAAATCTGAGCAGTTCATGCTAGTGTCATTATTGAAACTAGTGACTAAAATGTTAAAATCAACACAAAACAACAACAAAACAATATCAAGTTTAATCCTAAAATAAAAATGTTTAATGATAAAGAAAAAAAAAACTACAGACATGATACAAATATGTTTTTGAGACATTTTTTTAACAGGTTAAATCATTAAAAGAAATAGTCTTGTATTATATATTAGATTATAATAATTAATAATGATTTTTATAATATTGAATTATATCTTTAATAAACATATTTTAATGCACATTTGTATAGTAATAATTAGTGCCCATTTTTTAAAAAAGATGCAAGCTGGGGGTGGCATTTAATGGAGACAATACAATAACTTTTATAGAAGACAACTTGTTAATGTTACTTGCTTAACATACAATATAAGGGACAAAACTTACTTAACTTTTGCTACATAACAATTGCCTTATTTCATTTTTAGATTTTATTTCAACCTCAACCTTTAATTGTATAACTAGCATACATATTGATTAGTAACCCTCTTGAAAGACAAGACAAGAATGTTACAATTCCTTAAGTTTCATCAAAATCTGCCAGTTGTTTTCATTTCAAGCTTATTTTTGATTTTTGCTTTAGTGGCCCTAATGTGTTTATCAGATCAGAACAATTCCTCCAATATAACTATTCAAACTATAAGCCACTTAAGATTTATAATTAAAGGTATATGTTACATCAACTTAATATTATAGCAGATAAACAACTACATAACAACATTTATTGAAACCTTGCATGATCTTAGAATAATTATGATAATAATAAATATAAGCCAAAAATATATGGGGTCACCAATACCATTTTTAAGTTACCTGACTTTTGGTGAATTGATATCTCAAATATGTGAAATAAAATGATTTTGGTTTTTGCTTATTTCACAGTGAATCTCAGGAATAACTTACATCTTCATATTCTTTGAGGTACAATTATTTATACTTTTATCAAAATTTGAGCAAAACAGGTCTACTTGTAATACATTTTTAACATTATGGCACTAAACATTGGAAATGAAAAATAGCAAGTATCACACAATTTGAAATATTTACTTGTCCTGCATGAACATGTGTAGTCCTTGTAAGTAGCTCCACGGATACATGTGCCACCATTTTTACAAGGATTTCCATCACAAATATGGTACATATTCTGACAGCTATCACCATAGTAACCAGAATCTGCATCTGAAAATACCATAATACTACTAATTAGTATGCAAATAATGTATATCATCTAAAGTTGTAAACTAACACCTAAATATACAATAATATACTAGTAATTAGTATGTAAATAATGTACACCATATATAATTGTAGACAGACACCTTAATATAACCCTTAACTCCTTTCTAAAATGGACTAGTCTAGCTTCCATTTTTGAACTGACAATTATAAATTTCAGGGGTATGAAGTTGATTAAAGGTTAGAATGGTAGAAATATGCAGGCTGGTCATGCAACATGGTAAGAATATGCAGGCTGGTCAGACAACATGGTAGGAATGTGCAGACTGATGAGAAAATTTGGTAGGAATGTGCAGGCTTGTTAGACAACATGGTAGGAATATGCAGGCTGGTTAGACAACATGGTAGGAATGTGCAGGCTTGTTAGACAACATGGTAGGAATATGCAGGCTGGTCAGACAACATGGTAGGAATGTGCAGGCTGGTCAGACAACATGGTAGGAATGTGCAGGCTGGTTAGACAACATGGTAGGAATTGTGCAGGTTTGTTAGACAACATGGTAGGAATATGCAGGCTTGTTAGACAACATGGTAGGAATGTGCAGGCTGGTCAGACAACATGGTAGGAATGTGCAGGCTGGTCAGACAACATGGTAGGAATGTGCAGGCTGGTTAGACAACATGGAAGAATGTGCAGGCTTGTCAGACAACATGGTAGGAATATGCAGGCTGGTCAGACAACATGGTAGGAACGTTCAAGCTGGTCAGACAACATGGTAGGAATGTGCAAGCTGGTAAGACAACATGGTAGGAATGTGCAGGCTGGTCAGACAACATGGTAGGAATATGCAGGCTGGTCAGACAACATAGTAGGAATGTGCAGGCTGGTCAGACAACAAGGTAGGAATGTGCAGGCTGGTCAGACAACATGGTAGGAATATAATATGCAGGCTGGTCAGACAACATAGTAGGAATGTGCAGGCTGGTCAGACAACATGGTAGGAATATGCAGGCTGGTCAGACAACAAAGTAGGAATATGCAGGCTTGTCAGACAACATGGTAGGAATGTGCAGGCTGGTCAGACAACATGATAGGAATATGCAGGCTGGTCAGACACCATGGTAATAATGTGAAGGCTGGTCAGACAACATTGTAGGAATGTGCAGGCTGGTCAGACAACAAAGTAGGAATATGCAGGCTTGTCAGACAACATGGTAGGAATATGCAGGCTGGTCAGACAACATAGTAGGAATGTGCAGGCTGGTCAGACAACATGGTAGGAATATGCAGGCTTGTCAGACAACATGGTAGGAATGTGCAGGCTGGTCAGACAACATAGTAGGAATGTGCAGGTTTGTCAGACAACATGGTAGGAATATGCAGGCTTGTCAGACAACATGGTAGGAATATGCAGGCTGGTCAGACAACATAGTAGGAATGTGCAGGCTGGTCAGACAACAAAGTAGGAATATGCAGGCTTGTCAGACAACATGGTAGGAATATGCAGGCTGGTCAGACAACATAGTAGGAATGTGCAGGCTGGTCAGACAACATGGTAGGAATATGCAGGCTTGTCAGACAACATAGTAGGAATGTGCAGGCTGGTCAGACAACATAGTAGGAATGTGCAGGTTTGTCAGACAACATGGTAGAAATGTGCAGGCTGGTCAGACAACATGGTAGGAATATGCAGGCTTGTCAGACAACATGGTAGGAATATGCAGACTTGTCAGACAACATGGTAGGAATGTGCAGGCTGGTTAGACAACATGGTAGGAATGTGCAGGCTGGTTAGACAACATGGTAGGAATGTTCAGGCTGGTCAGACAACATGGTAGGAATGTGCAGGCTGGTTAGACAACATGGTAGGAATATGCAGGCTGGTTAGACAACATGGTAGGAATGTGCAGGCTGGTTAGACAACATGGTAGGAATATGCAGGCTGGTTAGACAACATGGTAGGAATGTGCAGGCTGGTTAGACAACATGGTAGGAATGTGCAGACTGGTCAGACAACATTGTAGGAATATGCAGGCTTGTCAGACAACATGGTAGGAACGTGCAGGCTTGTCAGACAACATGGTAGGAATGTGCAGACTGGTTAGACAACATGGTAGGAATGTGCAGGCTTGTCAGATAACATGGTAGGAATATGCAGGCTGGTTAGACAACATGGTAGGAATATGCAGACTTGTCAGACAACATTGTAGGAATATGCAGGCTTGTCAGACAACATGGTAGGAATGTGCAGGCTTGTTAGACAACATAGTAGGAATGTGCAGGTTTGTTAGACAACATGGTAGGAATGTGCAGGCTTGTCAGATAACATGGTAGGAATATGCAGACTGGTCAGACAACATGGTAGGAATATGCAGGCTTATGAGACAACATGGTAGGAATATGCAGGCTTGTCAGATCACATGGTAGGAATATGCAGGCTGGTCAAAAAACCATGGTAGGAATGTGCAGGCTGGTCAGACAACATGGTAGGAATGTGCAGACTGGTTAGACAACATAGTAGGAATATGCAGACTGGTCAGACAACATGGTAGGAATATGCAGGCTTATGAGACAACATGGTAGGAATATGCAGGCTTGTCAGATCACATGGTAGGAATATGCATGCTGGTCAGACAACATAGTAGGAATGTGCAGGCTGGTCAGACAACATGGTAGGAATGTGCAGGCTGGTTAGACAACATGGTAGGAATATGCAGGCTTGTCAGATAACATGGTAGGAATATGCAGACTGGTCAGACAACATAGTAGGAATGTGCAGGCTGGTCAGACAACATGGTAGGAATATGCAGACTGGTCAGACAACATAGTAGGAATGTGCAGGCTTTGTCAGATAACATGGTAGGAATATGCAGACTGGTCAGACAACATAGTAGGAATGTGCAGGCTGGTCAGATAACATGGTAGGAATATGCATGCTGGTCAGACAACATAGTAGGAATGTGCAGGCTGGTCAGACAACATGGTAGGAATGTGCAGGCTGGTCAGACAACAAAGTAGGAATATGCAGGCTTGTCAGACAACATGGTAGGAATATGCAGGCTGGTCAGACAACATGGTAGGAATGTGCAGGCTGGTTAGACAACATAGTAGGAATATGCAGACTGGTCAGACAACATGTAGGAATATGCAGGCTTGTCAGATATCATGGTAGGAATATGCAGACTGGTCAGACAACATAGTAGGAATGTGCAGGCTGGTCAGATAACATGGTAGGAATATGCAGACTGGTCAGACAACAAAGTAGGAATATGCAGGCTTGTCAGACAACATGGTAGGAATATGCAGGCTGGTCAGACAACATGGTAGGGAATATGCAGGCTGGTCAGACAACATAGTAGGAATATGCAGGCTGGTCAGATAACATGGTAGGAATATGCAGACTGGTCAGACAACAAAGTAGGAATATGCAGGCTTGTCAGACAACATAGTAGGAATATGCAGGCTTGTCAGACAACATGGTAGGAATATGCAGGCTGGTCAGACAACATGGTAGGAATATGCAGACTGGTTAGACAACATAGTAGGAATGTGCAGGCTGGTCAGATAACATGGTAGGAATATGCAGACTGGTCAGACAACAAAGTAGGAATATGCAGGCTTGTCAGACAACATGGTAGGAATGTGCAGGCTTGTCAGATAACATGGTAGGAATATGCAGACTGGTCAGACAACATAGTAGGAATATGCAGACTGGTCAGACAACATGGTAGGAATATGCAGGCTTGTCAGATAACAAAGTAGGAATATGCAGGCTTGTCAGACAACATGGTAGGAATATGCAGGCTGGTCAGACAACATAGTAGGAATGTGCAGGCTGGTCAGACAACATAGTAGGAATGTGCAGGCTTGTCAGACAACATGGTAGGAATGTGCAGGCTGGTCCAGCTCGATATACCGAAGGCAATAATGGTGAATTACTTTCTGTTGAAGCATTATGGTAAAGGTTTAACCAGGGTCTCATGTTTCAATTAAACAAAAATGTACCTCGCCTTAACACAATTAAACATTGTCTTAAGTACAGCTCTAATTCGCTATTCCTTTCATTATCTGTTTACATCAATATTGACAAAAAGGGGTGTCAATAATTCTTATATAAAAGCATACTATTTATCGCCTAAATCTTTAACTACCTAAACAATTACTCACTTCTTAACCGTTCGGCGAAATAGCGTAGTCGTTGAGTGTTGGCTTCGTCAGTGTAGAGACCGTGGTTCGATCCTTGGAAAAGGCATTTTTTCCTTTCTTTATTTTTTTGTTTTTAGATATTTTTCAAAGAACACGTGAATTTATTTCATACAATACTTTTTAGAACATTTAATTTTTATAAATTACACATAATCGCTTTTAACAAGAAAAGTTAGTGGCAACAGACAGTTGTAATTATAGTGATAAATGTGGAATGGAAGAAATTTGAATATACAAATATACAAATGAGCTGGAATTGTTAAAAAAATATAACAAACTGAATTCAGAATTTTAAATAGAATATTTTGTACAGGAATATAATCCCAAAGGCAAACAGGCCAGTAAGGATTAACACCTAAATCTCATACCATAGTTTGATGACTGTTAAAATCAAATACAATGTACAATCAATTTTGCTAAATCGTTATAAGTTTAATTTGAACTTGAACATTACATAATTCTACAACAATGCACTCAAAATTAAAATACATTTCCGAAGCAGTATTATTTTAGCATCTTATCATCAATACAAGAATTATTACAATTGTTGAAGAAACGTTAATAGATATTATACAATTAACATGAATAAACTTAGCAGCAAATACTTAATAAATTGTGTATACATAATAAAAACCTTACAAACATTTTTGAGGAATGAAAATATGATATTAGGCATAAAGATCCCACTGTTTCAACAATCTAAAATAAATCTTACCACAAGTACAGAAAGTACGATGACGTTTGAAAGAGCAATTACCATGACCATTACAATAGTCTCTATCACATTCTGAAATGAAAATAAAACCAACAATTATAATATCTATATATGTTACTTTCAAAACCAGTGAAATGAATGGTTTTAAGTTGGTGAGATACACTCTTCCCTATATAATTTTTTTAGTTATTAGCCTTTGTTCATTTTCATACTATTTTGTATATATATTTACTTTTAAGAAAATAACAACAAAATACAGATAAATTTTGACACTGAATGTTGATATAGAATATAACAAACTTACCATCTGTTATTGCAATACAGTCATCACTCTTTGTGCTGCCAGTAGTTGATGTTTTACTGTTATCACTACATTCTTTACAAGTCATCTGTCCTGTCTGATCCTGGTAGAAGTTAACTGGACATGATGTACAGCCATTCTTATTATAGCCTGTTCTAGAGTATTGACCCGCAGGACATGGTGCTATATATAACATAACAATTGAATTATTACGATTCATTTCGCAAACTTATACATGCAGGTGAATAAAATGATATTTACACAGTATAATAAACAAGTCTACATCCTGCTATAGCAAGACAGTCCAATGTTGAAATTATCATTTACTTACAATAAAGGTACAGTGAATCAAAGTAACACATGATAGTATTTGCAAGACAGAGTATATATCAAATTGTATAGGCTTGCAAGACACGGTAGAGTAATTTTGATTATATACTGTGAATTAGTACAATGAGGCACTCAGGTACATGAGTTTAATTTTGAAACTGTAACATTCTACAAATGTAACAAAGTAACCAGCCAAGACCATAAATCAAAGTGGAATATATCTAGACTTTAAGTTACCAAGTAACAAGACCAAAATAAACGGCAAATTATCAAAGACCTGGGTGTAGACAAAAAGGTAGTTTCCAAATTTAATGAGGATGATATTCATATAAGTTGTCAATGTCTTATTCTTTTCTTCAGACAAAAATAATCGGACAGTATAGATTTCTTACCATAACATCTGGTGTCATCCGGTGCTAAACCATCAGTTGAATAGCCAGTTGGACAAGGTGAGCATTCGTCTTTAGCAGTCCAGTAAGTGTTTGGCTGACATGGTGTGCAAGGATAAAACCCATTTCGAGATATCAACCCTGCTGCACAAGTTCCTGAAAATACAAAACAAGTGAAATCACCTTCATCAGATACATTTGACAATTCTAAAACTGCAAACTATTTTCATAAAGATTTAATTCAAACTATATCAAGAGTAAATGAATAACAATGACACAAGTGTAATGATTGAATGTATAAACAAACACAAGTGTTACAAAATGGAAGCATGTGTAAACAAACAAAAGTGCAACAACAGAATGTGTAAACAAGTGAAATGATAGAATGTGTAAACAAGTATAATGATAGAATGTGTAAATAAGTGTAAAGATAAAATGTGTAAACAAGTGTAAAGATAGAATGTGTTTAAAAAGTAATAATATAATGTGTTAACAAGTGTATTGATAGAATGTGTTAACAAGTGTAATGATAGAATGTGTAAACAAGTGTAATGATAGAATGTGTAAACAAGTGTAATGATAGAATATGTAAACAAGTATAATGATGTAATGTGTTAGCAAGTGTTATATGATAGAAAGTATTAACTAGTATAATGATAGAATGTGTAAACAAGTGAAATGATAAAATGTGTTAACAAGTGTAATGATTGAATGTTTAAACAAGTGTAATGATAGAATCTATTAACAAGTGTAATGATTGAATGTGTAAACAAGTGAAATGATAAAATGTGTTAACAAGTGTAATGATTGAATGTTTAAACAAGTGTAATGATAGAATCTATTAACAAGTGTAATGATTGAATGTGTAAACAAGTGAAATGATAAAATGTGTTAACAAGTGTAATGATTGAATGTTTAAACAAGTGTAATGATAGAATCTATTAACAAGTGTAATGATAGAATATGTAAACAAGTGTAATGATAGAATATGTAAAAAAGTGTTATGATAGCATGTGTAAAGAAGTGTAATCATAGAACGTAAAACAAGTGTAATGATAGAATGTGTTAACGAGTGATAGGAAAGAATGTGTAAACAGGTGTAATGATAGAATGAGTTAACAAGTGTAATTATAAAATATGTAAACAAGTGTAATGATAGAATGTGTTAACAAGTGTAATGATAGTATGTGTAAACAAGTGTAATGATAGAATATGTTAACAAGTGTAATGATAGAATGTGTAAGCAAGTGTTATGATAGAATGTGTTAAAAAGTGTAATGATTGAATGTGTTAACAAGTGTAATGATAGAATGTGTTAACAAGTGTAATGATTGAATGTTTAAACAAGTGTAATGATAGAATCTATTAACAAGTGTAATGATAGAATATGTAAACAAGTGTAATGATAGAATATGTAAAAAAGTGTTATGATAGCATGTGTAAAGAAGTGTAATCATAGAACGTAAAACAAGTGTAATGATAGAATGTGTTAACGAGTGATAGGAAAGAATGTGTAAACAGGTGTAATGATAGAATGAGTTAACAAGTGTAATTATAAAATATGTAAACAAGTGTAATGATAGAATGTGTTAACAAGTGTAATGATAGTATGTGTAAACAAGTGTAATGATAGAATATGTAAACAAGTGTAATGATATAATGTGTTAGCAAGTGTTATGATAGAATGTGTTAACAAGTGTAATGATAGTATGAGTAAACAAGTGTAATGATAAAATGTGTTAACTATTGTAATGATAGAAAGTGTAAACTAGTGCAATGATAGAATCTGTAAACAAGTGTAATGATAGGATGTGTAAACAAGTGTTATGATTGTGTGAGTAAACAAGTGTAATGATAAAATGTGTTAACTATTGTAATGATAGAATGTGTAAACAAGTGTAATGATAGAATGTGTTAACAAGTGTAATGATAGAATGTGTTAACAAGTGTAATGATAGAATGTGTAAACAAGTGTAATGATAGAATGTGTAAACAAGTGTAATGATAGAATATGTTAACAAGTGTAATGATAGAATGTGTAAACAAGTGTAATGATAGAATGTGTAAACAAGTGTAATGATAGAATGTGTTAACAAGTGTTATGATAGAATGTGTTAACAAGTGTAATGATAGTATGTGTAAACAAGTGTAATGATAGAATATGTTACCAAGTGTAATAAAATGTAATGTGTTAACAAGTGTTATGATATGTTGTTGAAACAAGTGTAATGATAGAATGTGTAAACAAGTGTAATGATAGAATGTGTTAACAAGTGTAATGATAGAATGTGTTAACAAGTGTAATGATAGAAAGTGTAAACAAGTGTAATGATAGAATGTGTAAACAAGTGTAATGATAGAATGTGTAAACAAGTGTAATGATAGAATGTGTAAACAAGTGTAATGATAGAATGTGTTAACAAGTGTAATGATTGTATGTGTAAACAAGTGTAATAATAGAATATGTTAACAAGTGTAATGATAGAATGTGTTAACTATTGTAATGATAGAAAGTGTAAATTAGTGTAATGATAGAATGTGTAAACAAGTGAAATGATATAATGTGTTAACAAGTGTAATGATAGAAGTGAAATGATTTTTTGTGGAAAAAAGTGTAATGATACAATGTGTAAACAAGTGTAATGATAGAAGAGGTTAACAAGTATAATGATAGAATGTGGAAACAAGTGTAATTATAGAATGTGGAAACAAGTGTAATGATAACGTTTCTAGTTCAGCCAAGTTACTCAGAAGAAGCTGAGGAAGAAAGTACCTCTCATAATACAGCTATTTCATTTGAAAAAAATGTTCACATATCTGATTTAACTGTCAATAAAATATCATAAATTATAGTTTCATTTGTTATGCAATGAAGGTATCATACCTTACGTTTAAAATTCTTTCATTTCTATGTTACAAGGACTGACAGTTTATTCAATCAATTCATTTATTAAGTTTTGCAAAATAAGAGAGTTATAAATGAACTATATAACTATTCAAGATATTTGTACTTACGTTGACAACTGGTTTGATCACCATTTGGGAACTGTCCTTTAGGGCATTCTTTACAGCTTGTCTGGGCTAAACCATTTTGGTATTGTCCGGCTGGGCATGCTTTAACAATATTTGTATCCTCATCAAAATATTGTGCAGGACCATGTTGTACTGTGATAAAATATAATATATTTTCATTTCTTGCATCAAATTTATTACAGTTTCACCAATTCATTAAGACAATATACAATGTATTAATTCTTTATATTAACATTTTGCTTGAATCATAAAAATAAAATATGACTGGAAACAATCATTGTTCAAAACAGTAATGCCTAAGTGTTTAGTAAAAAAATAAAATGAGCAGGGGAATTCCATTTACTGATAACAAGGTCAAATTCTTTAAAACATAATGTGAATACAATAAAGTCCATGCTTAATTATGGAAAAATAATTTAAAAAAGATTCAACAGATGTAAGATACAGATTTCCATCACATTTTGATTCATATTATTATTTTTAATTAATTCAAGGCAATAGATGCTTTGATATAGCCATGTTATATATGACAATATACAGGGCATTAAACTGTCAACATTAAGTCACTTACTCTAGTTGTTGAACTCTTTTTTATAATATTAAATTATTTAAGTGATCTTTGAGAAATAGCCATTATACATATTCTGCTCACAACAAAGAAATTTTCCGACAATATCTTTACTAATTTAAAATGTATTCTTTTCATCAATACTCAAATATAAGCCTTACTACAGTGAAAATGATATTTTATAATTTCTTTGTCCACTGAAAAGCATAAAATAAAGAACAGCATGCGACCACGCGTATTAAGTGAATTTTGTCTTGTTAAGCAACTTTTGCTCAACCTGACCAGCGACCGCTAATTAGTCATGTAATTGAGATCAAGTGACAACTTTTTCCTGTCAGGTGTTTGAGGTTTTAGAGAACGCCGCCTCATGATGTCACAAAACACAATATATGAATTGGCAAAAAGCCTTATTCCCCATACCATTTTTAGCACATGCAAATGAAGTTAAGTACATGTATGATGCTTATTCTCTAATAAATTCAATAGAACAATGCAACGCTTTGCCCCTACAGTGATGATTTATACGCTTCTCTCTTGATATTTACACTGCATTGAACTTGATCAGCAGTTAATTAAATTGATCATTACAATTAGACATAATTTAAATTTTCAAATTAAAAATGCACAATAAAAAGCATTTATACTCTTGAGATTTTAAGTGTCAGGGATAAGGAAAAGCAAAAGAGGAGCCTAAAATTATAGAAAATATCAAAAGTGTATGTAGCGGAAAAAACTGTTTTATTGATAAATATGAGAAAGTCATTTTTTTTTATTTTAATATCTATTTTGATTGTCAGAGTGTTATAACTATTAAACATATTGATATAAATGTAATTGAAAAACTTCCCCAGCACAAAGGAAAGATATCATGAATGAATTTTGACTTTTTTTCATGCTTTGTGTTAAGAGAGTGATGTATTAAGTGACAATTTTTGTTGTTTCTCTTGAGCGGTGGCTAAATACATGTTTGCCTGTATTATATTTGACTGAGTCTAAGACAACATAAGATTACAGAGAACTCACAGCAAATATTGCCATCAAGGTAATACCCAGTCTTGCAATTCTTTGTTCCTTGTCCATTTGTTATTGTCTCTACAGTCAGGGTCTGTAGATTTTCATTGCATGTCAAATTAGTATTGTTAACAACAAATACCGAGTTAACTTTATTCACTATTTTCTGGATACATTCATCAGCAGCGGCCACAGTGACAGATGACTGCAGGGTTAGTTTCATAGTTGTTTTATACTAAAATATCAAAATAAGTTCTTGTTAGTCCAAATTTCAGGTCCTACTGACACTCAAAATGTTATACAAAATAGCAAACTTGCAAAGTGGATAGATTATTCAAATATAAAACAATGTAGGATATCAAAATATTTCATTCTCCTACTTCCCCCAAAAAACTAACAAATCCTCAATAGCAAACAAGACCATTAATAACAACTAATATAAGAAAATATTATGTTATCATATAACATATTTAAACACTCACTGTTAATATTTATTATTACATCTTGCCTTTCACAAATTTGATAAAAATACATAAATTGTCTAAATATATATTATGTATGTCTTACTATAAAATTTTCATTTGAAACAGTATTAGCTGTCACATCTGAAATTGTCCATGATTGACTACAGAGATTGCTTATTCTGGATCTGAAAGTATTTACACTCCCAGTCACAGCACTACGAAAGGCATCCAAACATCCCAAAGTAAGAAAACTTAATCTATGTTGTACTGTGAACGGAACATCATACTGTGGGTTGTTTTGCCCTGAAATATGCATGGATAAAACTAATAAATAAACACTTCAATATATACATGTATTCAACAGTCATAAATCCCATGCTTAAACATCTTTTATTATACAATCTAAAAATAGCTGAAATCCCATTGGTTCAAACAGTAGTCAATACAAAAAGTAAAAATTATATTCACTTATTGTGATCATATTCACTGGCTGATTGGAATTTTCCTGATCTAAAATTAGAATCAGGCTTAGATTCAAAGACCATACAGCATTATAAGACTATTAAAAATTGTTGAATTTTGTTCTTTATGCAAATTATTTACAGTCCACAATAATATATGTAGTTTAAAAGTTACACTGCAATGATAAATTCATTGATAACTTTTTCAATATTTGGCTTCACTTTTTGTTTTTGTGTGTGTCTTTTTTTTCTTCTTTTTTCTTTAATCTTAGACTGATAATAAAACAATTACTGACTAATGATCCATTGAATATGTATTTGTATAATATGACATTTTGGCAATTTGTATCACATCATATTCAATGGCTCACTTGTCAATAATTGTAAAATATTTATAAGGCAATATATTAACAATATATGTTGCACATGTCTATGAGATATTTAGCCAATATTGAAAAAGGATAAACCACTAAAAGGATGGCCCCATCAGAAATTTGGGAAAAAAGAAACAAAAATAATTCAGTTAAACAGGCAACTATCATAGTATTGCAAGCAATGTATAAGTAGAACCTGAAAGCAATATTTTGAATGGCCATTGGCCATTCAATTATGCCATTGAAATATGACATGATAAACCTTATTAATAAATCTTTTGAGTGCTTAGTTTGCCTGTATTAAAGTAATGTGTTAAGTTTCCCTGCCTCAAGGAAGGAAATTATGTTTATGCAACAGATTATCAAAAGATTTAATTTTCTCAGGATGAATATATGATTCAACTTTTCTCTTATTTAAGTAAATTTGATGGAAAAGTTTTTTTAAAGTGATCTCAGGAAACAGTTATTAGAAACGGACAGACAGATGGACTGACACACACTCTGAGTGTAAATCTTTAATCATCGCTGGTTGTAACCATAATATAACATTTTTAAAAGCAAAATTCTTAAACTTAAAAGGAAATAACTCTTGAAATAAAGTTGCTAGACTTATGAAAACTGTCATACATGTTGCAAGTGCAAAGAAAAATTATCTTAAGTTTAAAGTAGATATCATTTATAGTTACAAAGAAAAAAGTAAAAAAAATAACAATTTTCAAATGTACCATTTATAGTAACAAATAAAGAAATTATTTTAACTTTACCAAATGTTGTTACTCTAAAGAAATCATGACATAGTCACATCAGAACCATTGATGTCTGAACTTTAGAGAATTCATGACATAGTCACATCAGAACAATATATTTCAACTTTAGAGAGATCATGGCATAGTCACATAAGAACAAAATGTCTTAACTTCAGACAGTTCATAACATAGTAAGATTAGAACCAAATATATTAACTTTTGAGAGTTTATGACATAGTCACATCAGAACAAAATATTTTAACTATAAAGAGATAATCACACAGTCACATCAGAACCAAATGTCGTAACTTTAGAAGGTTATGACATAGTCACATCAGAACCAAACATTTTAATTTTATAGAGTTCATGACATAGTCACATCAGAACTAAATGTCTTAACTTTATAGAATTTATGATATAGTCACATTAGAACCAAATGTCTGAACTTTATAGAGATCATGACATAGTCACATCAGAACCAAATGTCATTACCTTAGAGAGTTCATGGCATAGTCATATCAGAACCAAATGTCTTAACTTTAGAGAGTTCATAGCATAGTCACATCAGAACCAAATGTCTTAATTTAAGAGAGTTCATGACATAGTCACATCAGAACCAAATGTCTGAACTTTATAGAGATCATGACATAGTCACATCAGAACCAAATGTCTTAACTTCATTGAGTTTATGATAAAGTCACATCAGAACTAAATGTCTTAACTTAAGAGAGTTCATGGCATAGTCACATCAGAACCAAATAATATAACTTTAGAGAGTTCATGACATAGACACATTAGAACCAAATATTTTAACTTTAGAGAGTTCATGACATAGTCACATTAGAACCAAATAATTTTACTTAAGAGAGATCATGACATAGGCACATCAGAACCAAATATCTTAACTTCAGAGAGTTCATGACATAGTCACATTAGAACCAAATGTCTTAATATAAGAGAGTTTATGACATCGGAACATCAGAACAAAATGTCTTTACTTCAGAGAGATCATGACATAGTCACATCAGAACCAAATATTTTTAACTTTAGAGAGTTCATGATATAGTCACATTAGAATCAAATGTCTTAACTTCAGAGAGATCATGACATAGTCCCATCAGAACCAAATGTCTTAATTTTAGAGAGTTCATGACATAGTCATATCACAATCAAATATTTTAACTTTTGATAGATCATGACATAGTCACATCAAAACCAAATGTCTTAACTTTAGAAACTTTATGAAATAGTCACATCAGAATCAAATATTTTAACTTTAAAGAGTTCAGGACACAGTCACATTAGATCCAACTATTTTAACTTTAGGGAATTCATGACATAGGCACATCAGAATCAAATATTTCAATTTACAAAGTTCATGACAGAGTCACATCAGAAACAAATGGTTTTTTAGAGAGTTCATGGCATAGCTACATCAGAACCAAATATTTTAACTTAAGAGAGTTCATGGCATTGTCACATCAGAACAATTATTTTTACTTTAGAGAGATCATGACATAGTCACATCAGAACCAAATATCTTAACTTCAGAGAGTTCATGACATAGTCACATCAGAACCAAATATTTATCTTTAGAGAATTCATGACATAGTCACATTAGAACCAAATATCTTAATAATAGAAAGTTCATGACAAAGGAACATCAGAACCAAATGTCTTAACTTCAGAGAGCTCATGACATAGTCACATAAGAACCAAATATTTTTAACTTTAGAGAGTTCATGACATAGTCACATCAGAACCAAATATTTATCTTAAGAGAATTCATGACATTGTCACATTAGAACCAAATGTCTTAATATTAGAAAGTTCATGACAAAGGAACATCAGAACTAAATGTCTTAACTTCAGAGAGTTCATGACATAGTCACATCAGAACCAAATATTTTTAACTTTAGAGAGTTCATGACATAGTCACATTAGAACCAAATATTTTAACTTTAGAGAGTTCTCGGCATAGTCACGTCAGAACTAAATGTCTTAATTTCAGAGAGTTTATGATACGTGGGCATCTGGACCAAATATTTTAACTTTGGAGAGTTTTATTATTTATTATAAATTTCAAGTGAATATTTGATCTGATGTCAGAAATATTTAAAAACATGTTAAAATCTAAGAATGTTTTCTACGTCAAAATGGGGCATTATTTTGTCAATTGTCAATGAAGAGTTGTGGAACTTGGCCTGATGAATCCAAGTTTTGACCTATTTTAATTATACATTTCAAGTGTCTGTTCTGAATTCATAGACACTTAAGTCAGAGACGTAATTCTTAATTTTTTAAAGTGCACTAGAGTTCTGGAGAGTCACATTTTACATGAATAAAATTTGAATCAAACATAACCATTCAAAAAGTTTAAAACAGTAATAAACTTTGTTTTAAAATAATACTCAAAAATGAATAAGCCTGGAAAAAATAAATGCCACATACTTAGACAGTATCGATTATGAGGTTGTATAATGGGTGACTGATCATAATCCCATAATCCTGACCCTGTACATCTAAATGTTTTTTTTGTGGTTTTATCTGAGAACATATAGTCAGGCTTGCATGTTGATGTACATACAAGCTTGTTATCCTCGGTAACACAAACTTGTTCTCTAGCATTAACATCATCAAATAATTCCTCTTGGAAACAAGCACCCGCTGTAAACATAAAAATATACTCTTGATTTGAAAAAAGTCTTGTTTTCTAACATAAAGATACATTTTGAATAGAATTTTTTTCTCTTAAATTAGAATTTTCACATCATAAGCACAATTTTCCATAATCAAATTAGAGTCATTCCGGAAATGCAATGCACAATGTTAACATAAATTATGTATAATCACAATGTAATATAGGAAAAGTTATTATGATATATGATGAAATACTTTTCTACACTGGGTATGATTACAGAAACAAATACTCTCGACCCAAACAAACTTCCTTACAGACTCGAACTAACAACAGTTACTGTAAAGTCTATCACGTGATCATGTGACAACTATCATGATACCATGTGATAATTATCATGTTATCATGTGATAACTATCATGTGATCATGTGATGATTATCATGTAATCATGTGATAACTATCAAGTGATCATGTGATGATTATCATGTAATCATGTGATAACTATCAAGTGATCATGTGATGATTATCATGTAATCATGTGATAACTATCAAGTGATCATGTGATGATTATCATGTTATCATGTGATAACTATCATGTGATCATGTGATGATTATCATGTAATCATGTGATAACTATCAAGTGATCATGTGATAATTATCATGTTATCATGTGATAACTATCAAGTGATCATGTGATGATTATCATGTAATCATGTGATAAATATCAAGTGATCATGTGATGATTATCATGTAATCATGTGATAACTATCAAGTGATCATGTGATAACTATCGTGTGATCAAGTCATAACTATCATATGACTTTATAATAACTATCATGTGATCATGTGATAACTATCAAGTGACCATGTGATAACTAAGGCCAAAATTGATATCATACATCATACTAAGCTACATGAAATAAAGTAAAAATACCGGTATATATATCATACCTAATGTTATAACATATTTCTTATGTTTCTGTAAAATGACATCTGATATTACATCAAACATATCATTTAACACAGATCTGTTATACATAATAGTAATTGAACTCACCAACAAAATGTACCATATAGGTACAAGATGATTCAGTGTTATATTCATTGGCTGCTGTAATAGTTATCAGCTCCATTGTACCTATCTTATCAACAGAAGAACGAATGAGCGTTGGATTCACACTAGTGATGTTACCGCCAGTAACTGTAACATCTTCAGTATAGTTGTATGTTTTAGAATTTCTTGAAGTAACCACGAAAGTCTTTGAATCAGGACAAGTTAAAGTAGGTTTGTCATTACGATCTGTAAAATTATCAATGCATTGTTTGAAAACAATAAATTATTAATTTACAATGATTAACTTTGTTAAGGAGATTTTCGATCAGATGTTTTTAAGTCAAATCACAGTTCTTAATCAGTACAGGAGGTCAGGAAATGATGTGAAATTTATAATAAATACATTATACATGTAGAACTGTAATATACTAGTCACTTTAGAAATTATAATGCTCTATCTCTTGTCTTTTAACAAATAGATTGTATTTTTATTTTCATGTATTTACAAACTAGAATGAAGAAAGTTTTTCTTATCTATATTTGATGTACAAGTTTAACTTTGATTCAAACAAGAAAGATGTGTATACAATGCCACATGATGTAAGCTATATATTTTTCAGCCTATTTACAATAACTCTTTCCCTACTGGATGGTTATTTAAAAAAAGCTTGTTCTTCCTTGATAAAAACTGTAGTTTAAATATCTCCTAGGCAGAATATTTACTGAATTTTTCGTTAAAATTAAAATTGTTTAAATCAATAAAATATAGATAAATCAAGAAATGAATTCTGTCTTAAATTATAGATAAACTTTAAATGATAATACATACTTATGATATTGAATTGAACAGAACAAGTTTCTGTATTTCCTTCAAAATCTACAGCGGTGTATGTGACTGTAGTGTCGGTGATAATTCTGTCACCTGGCCTAATATTATCAGTCATGGTGATGGAAGCAAGGTTGAAGTTATCAGAGGCGGTAGGTGTGTTAAAGCTTACATTGTCAACAGCATCTACATACTTTGTATCCCCACAGCTGCCATTAAATGTTGGTTTAGTCGTGTCTGGAATATTACAAAATGAAAGTTTAACTATGACATGTTTATACAAGTTATACCATTTAGACAGAGAGAGTTAAACTTTCATACTTGAGAAAGTCTTCAATTTTCATGCAATTTTATCGTTTTCATTGCCTTCAAGGAATGTCCACTTACCAAGTTTTAAATAAATCTTGTAAGACTTTATCTGACTCTGCATATAGAAACCATCTCTGTTTTTAGTTTCAGAATAAAAGATTTAAATGCATTTTTTCCCTGTATACACATGTCTATTTTAATTAAATGACTGTTAGAGCAAGCCAATTTTGACCCAAGGAGCATATTAACTATGTAGTTGCCCACCTGAGGCAATGCTAAAACCCAAAAATAATCTTTATATTGTTTTGTTTTCCTATTGAAAACATATATTAAGTTAGACTCATTTTCATTCTAGGGGCATAATTTACATTACCATATGATCATTTATTTTCTATATTAATAAATGACATGATTATCGCATTATCCCTAGAAATATAAAATGTAAACTTTTGAGGACTTACCTGTACATTCTGGTAATTTTTCTACAAGATTGTTAGACCACACAGCATTATCATTAATATATTGACATTTATACTTGATGTCAGGAACAGTAAATCCATCTCTGTCACATGTGTAATAAAGTTCTGAGCCTATGTCATAATCATCAAACACCTGTTTTGAATCTCCTAGTGTGCCCGGGTCACTACACATTTTTACTGGATGGACAAATTTAAATTAATTTTAATAAGATAAGTTCTAAATGAATATGAAAATTCTTTGAACATTTACACAATTCATTATTTTTAACTTGTAACTTAAAAGCATCTGAAATAGTTTGTATGAACAATAAGTAACTAGGAAATGGAAATCACATTTATTGTTCATATTTCAATTAAATGATAAATTTTAAACAGTAAACTTATTCGCTAACTTTTAATAAGTACATGGTCAAACATTTTAAACTATAAAAGCATTTTTGTATAAAAAAATCTTTATTGGGCATAACTCATAGTCTACTGTACTCAACTCTAGATGTTATATTTATCTTATATAGTACAAATATATATAAATTGTGTCCTATCTAACACGGGTATGTTAAGAATAAGCACATACACAAGTAAGAAAAAAAAATGACCCAAAGATAATGTTTATACCTGCACAAGCAAGTGTACCAAAACTCCATCTACCATTGTCCTTACACTTGACTACATTATCACCTTCTTCATCACCTGATGATCCTATCACATCATAACCAAGTTCACAGTCAAATGTAAACTTTGAGTTGTTGGATAAATATGTTGTTGTAGAGGGTCCTACATCGTTTAAATATTTCCCACCAGTAGGCATTACTAACTTAGGATCACTGCAGTTTATTTCTATATCATAAAACAATAAGATTATCACTGCTAGTGTTAACTGAAGGAATGACTATATCAAAATATATGATTTCAAGCACCATTATCTCTATAATGTTCCCATGACCAAATGTTACATTATAGAAACATATACAAGTAGTATTCACCAAATGAATGAGTGGCTACGTGCTTAACATGTCCGACTTTTAAGTTATCTAAGAATTGCTGGTCACGTGGTTTCAAACCCGTCAGGGGTAAGCTGTTGTTTCCATAAGCAAGAAACTTTACATTCATTGCTTTGTACCGGTTTCTTCCAGGAACGGATTTGAAAGTGTTTCAATAAGCTTATAGCTTTCAACACAACCAAAACTAAAATGCATTACTATAAACAATACATATATACTACTTAGTCTTATCAAGTCATATCTGTTTGAATATGTTAAACATTGATATTAATTTGTCTTAAATGTTATAAAATTACCTGATAAATAAACAATTTACAATGTCATAAATTTTACCATCCTAACATAACAATATCTAGAGCTAAACCGTGTCGGGTATTTGCGCATGATATATTTCAATATTAAGTTATTTTCATTATTAGTAAGTAAAGTAAGTAAGTAACGACTTTATTTACTTGATTGAGTAACTGTGGTATGATTCTTATCAATTTATTCATTTAATTACAAAATTCTTATTTTGTATTGCTCAATTGTGAAAGTGTTATATTTAATATGCATTTTAATTAACTTCTTATTTATATATTCATGTTTAAGGTTTCTTTTTCTTTGTATACAGCAAGTAACGTATTTATGTTTTAAAATCAACGAAATCCAATCAGAAATATGTTCAATTTTGTGCATGCCATTTTTCAAGACGCTACTCGAAAGTTGGCAAAGTGTGGCGTTCTACCTTAAGGCTTCGTTTTCTTTTAAATTAATGATCATATGCCAGGAATTGTTAAGTACTGTAATCATTCTACCCTGTGACATTATCATACATGTATATCTATTGTTTACATTTCAATAATATGAGAAAACTGGGGCACAATCACACAGGAATGGGAATAAAAATTTTGGTAGATCTTAATAATGTTCTGACATGATTGTTTTAACTTTAATAGAAAACAAAAGATACTGTTTGGAAATGACAGTTTGATGTGTGAATTAATATTTTATATATAAAGCTTCAAATAATTTATAGTTATCTCATTTTACCTGGACACTTTGTGGTATCATCCCCAGCAAAACCTAGACCAGTATCCTTATCTTTATATATACAAACAGCATTTAATTCCTTCTTGTTTGCATCATCATTTGTAAGTTGACATGTTAATTTCAAACGGTCTCCAAACTTTACCTCTGTCTTATTATATACACCATTATGAGGTACTGCAGGTAATGCACACTTTCTTGCTGGAAAAATCATAAAATAACTATTTTAGAATGTATCAAATAAAGCAACTATCATGATGACTGTGCTAAGTGTATACTGAATCAATCCAGAAGCTTGGGGCAGAAATATTGACAGACTTTTTATCATCATTAAATATTGACAGATATTCTTTTCCTAAAATGGGCATATAGTCACAACTCAATTGAACTCTTTATTAACAGCTATTCTGTTCCTACGGTTAAACTCAATATTATCAGCTATTCTGTTCCTATGGTTGAATTCAATATTAACAGCTATATTCTGTTCGTATGACTGGACTCAATATCAACAGCTTGTTTTGTTCCGAAGGTTTTACTTAATATTAAGAGCTATTCTGTTCTTTTGGCTTAACTCAATATTATCAGCTATAATCTGTTCCTATGGTTGAACTCAATAATAACAGCTATATATAATCTGTTTTATGGGTAACTAATATCAACAGTTTTTTTTTCCTATTGTTTTTCTCTAATTATCAATAGCATTTGTTTTCTAATTGTCTCTACATTATCACTATTTTTTCCTATTGTTTTTTCTCTATTTTTAATATTCGTTCAAGGTTTACTCTATATTAACAGCTGTTCTGTTCCTATTGTTGTATTCTATATAAACACCTATTCTGTTTGTAAGGTTTCACTCAATATTAAAAGCTATTCTGTTCCTTAAGTTTAACTCAATATTAATAGCTATTCCGTTTCAACAGTTTAACTAAATATTATCAACTATTCTGTTCCTATGGTTGAATTCAATATAAACAGCTAGACTCTGTTCCTATGGCTGGACTCAATATCAACTGTTTTCAGCTTTTTTTGTTCCTAAGGTTTTACTCAATATTAAGAGCTATTCTGTTCCCTTGGTTTAACTCAATATTATCAGCTTTTCTGTTCCTATGTACCCAGTTGAACTCAATATTAACAGCTATATATATTTTGTTCCTATGGTTGAATTCAATATTAACAGCTATAATCTGTTCCTATGGCTAGACTCAATATCAACAGCTTTTTTGTTCCTATTGTTGTTCTCTATATTATCACTTTTGTTCCTACATTTGAACAAAAATTTAAACTATTTGTATTTTTTTGTTTTTTATTTTACAGCTTTTTCTTTTCCTAAGGGTTTTACACTCTTTTTAAAAAGCATTTTTCCAAAATTTTGTACTTATATTATCAGCATTCTTTTTTAGGTTGTACTCTAATTAACAGCTATTCTGTTTCTAAGAATGAACTCTATATAATCAGTTTTTCTGTTCTTAAGGTTGTACTCTATATTAGCAGCTGTTTTGTTCCTTTGGTTGTACTCTAAATCAACAGCTATTCTGTTCCAATTGTTGTACTCTATATTATCAGCTATTCTGTTGTAAAGGGTTTGTACTCATAAAAAGTTTTCTTTTTTCCTGGGTTTTACCTATTTACAGCTATTCGTTCCAAAGGGGGAATTCTAAATTAACAGCATTTTTCCTTTTTGTTGTTATCTATATTTAGCTATTCTTTTTTAAGGTTTTTACTCTATATTTTTCAGCTTTTTCGGGTTCCAAATTTTTGTACTTTATTATAACAGCTATTCTCTTCCTACTGTTGTACTTTATTATAACAGCTATTCTCTTCCTATTGTTGTTATCTATATTATCAGCTATTTTGTTTCTAAGGTTGTACTCTATATTAACAGCTATTCTGTTCCTATTGTTGTACTTTATTATAACAGCTATTATGTTCCTATTGTTGTACTTTCTATTAACAGCTATTCTGTTCGTAATGATGTACTTTATATTAACAACTATTGTGTTCCTAAGTTTGTACTCTATTCAAACAGCTACAGCTATTCTGTTCCTTTTGTTGTACTAGCTATTCTGTTAAAAACAAGCTGGGCCAATAGCAATGACAATTACACCTGTAACCTTATCTGTTTATTTAATCATTATATGTGATATTTAAAGTCAAACCAAGTCAAGGCGAAAACAAGGCAACATAAATTTTACAGCAGAACTTAAAGATATCAATAATAACTTACAAACAGTATACTCTCTATTAATTATGTCAAGTTATACTACAAAAGGTTGTAATTTCACTTTATTTCTAAATTCAAGTTTAAATCTGACCTTCACAAGTATGTAGTACATCCCAAGTTCCATCAGCAGTACATCTAGATACAGCTGAAGTGGAAGTTAAACCTGTCACCTGATATCCATCATTACACTGTAAGGTTACATCATCTTCAAAATGATAGTTATCCATCTTGGGTGAAAGATACTGTCCATTTTCCACCGCCACTAGTGCTGGGCATTGTTTAGCTGAAACAATTGTTTCACACATACAAAATAATGGTCCTACTTGCATGACAGAAAAACACAAACACTTTATAGAGCAGTATGATACCAACATGTAATGTATAAAAAATTATTCTAACACTCCTCCTGATTTTGTCACTTTATTCAAAGAAGAAAAAAACGGTATTAAATTACCAATAGACTACGTATACTTGGCTGGTATTTTTACTCCCTTGATAAGATAGATCATAAACAAAGCCTTTTAAGACAATAATAACGCTTTTTTACTGACATGTTCCGTTGTTACTATGTTTTCGTTTTCATATGATGCTAAAATAACATCTCACATACACTATTATAAATGCCATAGGTTTGATCCATATCAGTTATTGAAATTTATATAAGACAAATCGTAAACAGGGTATTCATGACATCATCCTATGTATGTAAGAATGACATGTGCGGGGTTTGAATAACGATGATTCAAGCACTGATGTAAACACAATACAATTCAGTCTGACACACAAATTTAAATTGTTAAACTTGATAAAATAATTCTTGAATAATAAAGTGAAACAGATTTTCATGTTATTTCTTTTGTTTAATAATCTTTATACTTTTGGGACAGTCGAGTGCAAAATAAAACAGCATTATGCGAAATTCAAAAGCAGAAATAATCTCCCCTTAATGATTTTACTTATACATTTTGTCTTATTAAAATTTCAATAATATCGGTTTTAGCGGTGTTTATCGGTTATTTGTTTGGAGTTTTGATCCGTAGGAATTGATCATTTTATGAACATAATATCAATGCATGTTTAAGTAATACCGGTAAATGAATTTAAGCATATAAAGTATCTATGCTAAATATAATCTAGCCTATTGCCAATGTCAATAAAGAACACAAGAATTTGTGTCTGAAATAATGTGAATACTTTGATTATTTTTTCATAATACCCACCAACACAAGTGTGGTCAATATAAAACACATCTCCAAATCGTAGTCCCGTCTCGCCTGCTGGAAGGTTGAATCCCTGGAAACCATTGCTCTGATAGAGCTCTTTACCGGTGGGACACTGACATTCATATGAGCCTTCTGTCTCTACACATGTATCACTACATCCTCCATTATCACTGTCACACTCTTTTATATCTGTAATTGAATGCATTATGCTGTTTAGAACATATAGTATCTCCTGAGAAAGTCACACTAATCTGTATGTTAGAAGGACAAAATCCACTTGCCGACTTAAGTTCAGGTCTACTTAAGTTATTTCTTGCATGTGGCATAGCATTAAGTAGGTGCTTAAGTTTAAATCAGATTGCCAAAAACCCATCTTGTACTTTTACATATCTTTTACATATGAAAAACAATTAAATCAACATTTTGCTTCCTTAGGGCTGACAAAAAAAACCCTACAGAACTGTACAATATAATCATAGAGCTCTGTTAAAGAATCCCACAAGTCTACATATATTACAATATAATAATTACTATGTAATGTGCATGTATAAAACGAAACAGCTCCATTTTAGCTCTTCTTAAAAATAATCTTACTTCTTGGTTATTAATTTCAGTGATACTTAAAAAGTTTTCTGATAAAATATTAAATGAAAATGAAAATTATGAGACAACAACCTCAACAACAACAACAACAACAACAAAAATATATATAAAGTAATATATTTAATAGGTCTTACATGAAAATACAAGTTAATTTATGAAAGCAAAGACTGTTATCACCACATAATGACGATGTTCTGAGTACACATTAATGATGAAAATATACAAAACAAATTTTATTTTCAAAGAATAACTAACTCTTCAAAACCATACAAACTCTACAAGCCTTTACACTATACCTTTGTTAACACAAACTTCTCATCATAATTAAGATAACTAACAAATGAGCATTTCATTTAAGTAATCATCTGAGTAGGTTGATATAATTTATCTTATTACATTGTTAAAATCAAATTTACCTAAATGAGTGTTTCAACAAAATAAATTCTAAATTGAAAGCTACTTATAAATACCTGAGTACAAAAATGTTTTATGAAGCTGCTCCCAGCACATTGATCACTAAGCATTAATGCTAAGTCATATTTTTTGTTACACATGGTATTCTTAGTATACGAGCATTTTTATATACATTATATATATCATCAATATATGTACTATAAAATATAAAATTAACCAAACTTTCGAACAAACAATTTGTACATGATACATCAGTAGAGAATAATAACAATTACCTGTACAGCTGAAATCATTCAATCTGGCAAATCCTGTTTTGCAGGGACATGTGTAGCCCCCTATATTATTGTGACATGTTGTTGATGCACTATTACACTGATTACTGCCATCATCACATTCATCTATGTCTGTAATAAATAATCATAATTATCAGTTTAACACCCTGTACTAGTAATAGTGATCATTATACATGTACCTATCAATGTCTTTGATAGAATCTGAAATAGATAGGTGGAAAGGGGAATAACTCTTATGGGAGAAAAAAGTGTAAATTACAGTATCCTTGTGACTTGTACAGGTAAAACTATCAATATATTTTATGTATATAATAAACTTTGAAACTAGTAACAATATTCGCTGATTGTGCCCCTTTATGTATAATATACTTGTATAATATCTGATATTAAAGTAAATGTTGGTTTAAGGATTTCTAAATTCAAAGAGATAAAGAAATCTGATGACCCTGCAAGTATATAGAATACATTGTATATGTTCTGATTTTTCAGAGATATCATAATAAAATAAGTTACTGTAAATACAAATACTGAAAAGGGGGCATAACTTTGTTAAATTTGTCAACATGCAATACAAAATTCTAAACTTAGCCTGCTTATCTTGTAGGTGACATTTCATTCCATTGAAAGTCAGATCTGGTCCCTGCAAGTGGACTGCAGGAAATCTCTCTCACCTACAGGTATACCATTATGTTCTTCTTTTAATCATTTATAATGGCAAGTGTCAAATAACACTTACTGTTATCATAGCCATATCAATATACATTTGTTAGGACAGACAGGAAGATGGAAAATTTAGTTTCTACTTGTCTGAGCACATGCACCGAATCAATTACATCTACATTGTATTCTATTTTTAATTCATCAATCCTTAATCTGCTATAACCAAACATGATCAATATTTGCCACCAATATAGAACCAGGCCAGTCTCTTCAATGTTGGTAGCTGTTCGTATTCTGACATTGTTATATAGTCTGACATTATTTTATTCTGACATTGTTATATTCTGACATTGTTGTATTCTGACATTGCTTTATTCTGACATTTTTATATTCTGACATTGTTGTATTCTGACATTATTTTATTCTGACATTGTTGTATTCTGACATTTTTGTATTCTGACATTATGATATTCTGACATTGTTATATTCTGACATTGTTTTATTCTGACATTTTTCTATTCTGACATTTTTGTATTCTGAAATTGTTGTTTTCTGACATTTCCACAACTCAAATTCAAAATTAAAAAAATTCTTTAAAGACTTACCTTCACAAGACAGAGTTTTATCAAATGTCCTGTTAGCCTGACAAGTAAGTGTAACAGTGCCAGTTGCTCCAGATTTGAACTTAAATCCTGTGTTACAACTTACAGGAAAAGTTTCTTCAAAATAGGTTGGTGAAGAAGGACCAGCCAGTGGTACATTAGAGTTTGCTATTTGAGGTACTGGACAGGTTTTTTCTAAAATATTAGAATTTTAAAAGATATTCTTGTATATGAATATGACTTTTTTGTATAAATTAAATATTTAGGGCATATATGTTATTGTTATATAAAGATATATTGGCAGAATGACAACTGTAAAACAACACTCATTATTTTATATATTCTGAGAAATTTGAAAAAAGAAAACATTTTAAAAGACAAAATGGATATCAAGAAGATCATTTTTGAGTTATTTGCCTTTGAACTTGAAAAGTTTACTAATTTCAAGGACAGATAATTCAAAATTTACATTATAACTGTAATCAGAAAAAATAGTGCCTCTTTTTTAATGGTTATTAGCACAATTATAGTGGGTTCATCTCTGTTAAATCAGCTCATAAAATATTTCTGTATACTGTAAAATATTAAAATGGGGAAAAAACTTTTTGGTTTAAAATGATATTATCATGTCAAAAAAACAACAACAATAGAAAACTAAAATTTTCTACATACTTTGACAAGTTGGTAGATTATTAACATGAGTCCATCCTTTAGAATTGCAATGTGATAACTCTGGTCCCAACAGTTCATATCCTTCATTACATGAGAATTTTACAACTGTATCAAAGTCAGCATTGTTGTTGGTAATATTACCTACTTCGATCTCAAATTTTCCATTAGCTAGCATATTTTCACTCAATGCTGAACAATTGGAGGCTGAAAATAGTTAATGTATTGGTTTTAATTTGATTTTTTGAAGTCTCACAAACTTATTTTTGTTATTATACAATAAAAAAAAAGATAACAAAGACAAGAAAACTACTGACATGAAACTTTTGATGTTATAACAAGTTAAAATCTTTATCCTCTAACAAATTAAATCGTTGACATTATAACATGATCTAATCTCTATCTTCTCACCCATGAAATATCTGATGTTATAACACGATAGCATATCTATCTTCTGACACATGAAATCTTTGATGTTATAACATGATAAAATCTATATCCTGTAACAAATGAAATCTTTGACGTTATAACATGATATAATCTCTATCTTCTCACACATGAAATCTTTGATGTTATAACATGATAAAATCTCTATCTTCTAACACATGAAATCTTTGATGTTATAACATGATAGAATCTCTATCTTCTAACACATGAAATCTTTGATGTTATAACATGATAAAATCTCTATCTTCTAACACATGAAATCTTTGATGTTATAACATGATAAAATCTCTATCTTCTAACACATGAAATCTTTGATGTTATAACACGATAAAATCTCTATCTTCTAACACATGAAATCTTTGATGTGATAACATGATAGAATTTCCATCTTTTAACATGTAAAATCTTATAATGGATATAATGGAATTTGGATAGTGACATCATATTTTGCACTCACATAAGAGTGTGAAGCTTCAACAATTCACTTAAGAAGTTTTGAAGATACCAACTTGCACACAAACACTTAACCAAAGTGTGACACCGGAACCAATTCCATGGTGAGTACAAAAGCTCTCGCTATTTTTGAAATACTCAAGCTAAAATTGCTCTCAGAAATATTCCTTACCCCTTATTGAAATTTTGTGATTATTGTAAAACAGTTATAATTGCCTGTATAATTTTAATAATTATACATGTATTATATATCATGTATATAAATCATATGAAATGTTATAAACAAGCATGCTACAAGGGATCAAATGATTACTCTGATATTTAAAATGATGATCTTATATATATATACAGTCCTCCATACTACTTATATGTATGTTAAAATAAACACTTAAACCTAAATAACTGTGATTTGAATAATAGGATTTTTAATAATACATAGCAACAATTATTATACATTCAAAAGAAAGAAAACTGTGACATTTTAAAAACAAAACTTTAAATAGTTAATACATTTACTTACACTTAGTACATGTTGGTACATTTTCCCAATTGCCATCCTCTCCACATGTAGCATTTATCTGCAGTGGGCTCTTTATAAATCCTTCATTACAGAAATATTTAGTAACTTTGTTGTATGTAACTCCAGTTACTGACTCAATTCCACCATTCTGAATCTTATCAGGGGGTCCACAGTAAATCTCTGCAAAAATTAGTTTCTCTCTTAAAATCATATTACACTTACAAGGCCTGTATTATCATGATAACTTATAATTAGTATTCAATTTTCATTTTTACCATTAAATATTTTCAAGTTTTCAAAATTAATTTAAATAAGCAACAATAGCACGCAACATAACAGATATCAGTATTAAAGCAATATAACATTTAACAAATCACCTGATATTTTATTTACCTTGACATTCAGGTATAGCACCTGGATTTTTACCATCTATTGTCCACATGCCGGGACCTTTCGGGCCTGTATAATATGTCGAGTCACAGTGTAGAGTCACTTTTTCAGAGTTACGGTATTTCTCCATGTGGAATTTATAACCAGTCGGACATTTAAGTTCAACATTTTCCTTGTAAAAGGTCTTGTTGGTGCTTTTCTCAGTTGCTTCGGATAAATCTAAATCTTCACAATCTAGAAACAAACGTTCAGTATCATGATTAATAAATTTTGTCAGCTTCAGTATACATGAGGCTCAAGTGGGCCTGTAACGTTTACCTTAAACAATGGACATTTTATCAGGATATATTAAGTTCCCTTTAGCCAGGAAAATTTTAATGGCTTTAGTAATTTTACAATACATATAATGTTGGTAGTGGTCTACTAGATAATGTTACATACATGTACCTAAGAATAAAAGAAAGGGGCATGCTGTGTCAGTGTACTTTAACTTTAAATGTGTGAGTCAAAGATGGGAAATCTGGAGCAATGTTACAAATTGCTGCTTGAGAGTCAAATTTAGTAAACTGTCATTACACTTCTTCATTGTTAATTGTATCTATAAACTATAATGACATTTTTGTGTCTTCAAAAATAAATGACAAAATTTTGACATGTTAAACGACTTTCAAGCTTAGAATGATATTGTTGAAACTGATTAAGTAAAATATGTAATGGATACAGTACGAGTTTTTTCTTCGAAAGTGTCTTCTTACAGACGTAAGAAGACAGTACGCTAGGATAAATTACAAATTGTTCCAGGCAAAGCAGAGGATAAATTGTTGTTCGTCCTAGCAAACTGCCTTCTTCACGTCTGTAGAAGACACTTTTGAAGAATCAAAGCACAGAAGGCTCTGAATTTGTTTGGGTCTCAGAATGTCAGAAAGGTGAAGGTTGTGAGATTATAAACCAATTTGTTTTTGTATAGTGCAACCAGTGCTTTCCAGCGTCTTAATTGTAGTTAATTGGCTTTAAGACTAATTGCAACACTGATATTCAATTCAATGTTTATTTGACTTAAACAATTTGAAAAAAAAGAGTTTCCTTCCTGGATTTGAACTCCAGACCCCTCGGCCACGGTGAAGTTATATGTAACAGGCCTGAAGAAAACCATATTTAAACCCTCGCTTAAAGTCACAATTAACATATGCACTTTCGCCTTCAATATATATTTTTGAAAAGTGCCGTACGGCTAGCCAATACAGTGTGTCCTGGCTAGTCGTACGTGACTCACGTACGGCTAGAACTTTTGGCTAGCCGTACGGGCCCGTACGGCTAGCCACTTCCTATTCTAAATTAGGGTTAATGTAACCCTTATTTTTTCGACTCTAACTGTTGTTTAACACAGATGTTAATAATCATGGAGCTTATTATAAGCATGTATATCTATAAAGGATAAAACAATATTAGAAATCTTCGACCATTCGGGAATTATTTTGCTTGAAAATTAATGCGCCTGTCATTTGACCATCTTTACGCAGTGATCTCCCCTGAATTTTTTCGGCGTTGGTGTACATATAAAGGGAAGTAACCGCTTCAAAAAAGGACCTATTTTTGGCTTTTGCAATTAACAGCATCAGACTCTTTTTCGTTACCATTATTTGTTTGGTCTGACGACCCAAACAAATAAAAAACGAGTAACGTACTCTCGGTATCCGACTTATACGACGTTTAAGTGTAAAGAACAGATAAATTAATAAACAAATTTAATTATAAATAGATCTAATTGAAATTAAATGTATGCTCACGTTGAAAATAAAAAAAACTATAGAAAATATTGGCATGGCCTTTTAGCTTTTGTAAGCAAACTGTGTTTGCACGGAATTTTCGTGCCTTTATTTCAATCGGACAGAATTCACCTTCATTCATGATAAACATGGTTAAAATGGCTGCATTATCAGTGAGATCTTTCATGCCATTCAACATTGAAACCATCTCTGAACATGTTTAGCGTCAATGATTATCATGTTTAGCGTCAATGATTATGGATAACGTTTTGGACCCCAACTTTGGTAAGTTTTCCTCTTTCACATGCTTAGCTTAACGCAATAATCAGCTGTATATGGCCGATGATTTGTGTGTGTGTGTGTGTGTGTGTGTGTGTGCGTGCGTGCGTGCGTGCGTGCGTGTGTGTGTGTGTGTGGGGGGGGGGGCTGGGACAGTAAATGATTCGTCAATGCTAAAATCATCAGTTATAATATTCCTTGAAATGGCCATCCAATTTATTTGATTCATTTCTCGATGAACTGGATTTACCCATGAGTTGCGCTATCTGGTTCGCTACAATTTTCCGTCAGTTTCTATGGTGTCCTGTTTGAGGCAGTTAAGATATCGCATGTTACGATTTAAAATTGACTAAATTTCTTGTTTTAGCTCGACTGCTCAAAAAATTGGGAGAGCTATTGTAATTGTGAATTTTGACAGAACTTCGGCAATTTTTGAAGATAAAAAAATTCTACATTTAGGCCATTATTTTTTGATATTTCGGTTTACTGACTCCGTATTTTGGGAAAATGAAAAAAAAAAATCTGCCCCCAAAAAATTTTGTGTTGTCTTGAAATACGCCGCTAATAAAGTTAAGATGTTAGTTAATATTCTATCAGGATATATATATCTCATCTTACGACTTTTCAAACAAACGTCAAGAAAAATTTTCACGGTAATAATTATGAAAGAATGTCTGTTAAATGGGTCAAGCCATTCTCACAGAATTATATGAGGCTTTGATCATATTTCATCAATACAATTAAGGTGTCCAAATGCGTAAAAATGTCAAAGTAAACAAAACAAAAAAAAAAAAAAAAAAAAAAAAAAAACACGCCAAAATTACGTAAGCAGTTACATTCAAGGACAGAGCAAGAGAAATCTGATGCAATTGACAAGATCAGTATTTTCAGATTTAACAAAAAAAAAATAGTCTTTAAAAGCAGATTGAATACAGATTTTCAAACAAACAAAATTTAAAAATGCACTTACTATTAATAGATTTTTATGTCAATAATTGACCCGCTAATTATCCGACAAAAAAATATTTTCACATCGGGCAATATTAAAATTGAACATGTGTAATCTTTTCTTGACAGTTTTTTTTAACTGAGTGCAAGTCAGCTGAGTTTCGGCACCTTTGATGATTCAGATTACACAGCAGTGTGTAAACATCAAAGAATGACAGATTCTTTTGAAGGGCTGGCTTGCCACTTGTCATTAGTCATCGTGTGTAGATTTCATGTGTGTTTTTTAAACAATGGCAATGTGAGCAAAGTTTTTTTTTGTGTATTTAGACAATCTTTGGAATACACAATCGGCGATCGATGTATTTAATTTCATTGCTCTGGTAAGTACTATGTATATGTATGCACCACATTTAAAGTTATGAAAACCTTTTTTTTTTTTTCCCGCCGCCGACCCAACCTTTTTTTGGAAAAAATCAGTAAACCAAAATATAAAAAAAAATGGCCTTATTCAGGCTCTTGTTTTACTATCAAGCACTGAGACTAGTCAAACGCACTGGCTCTTGTTAATAGATAAGTTAGGGAGATTTAACATTCTCGTTCGAAGACTTTTCACTATTGACACTGGTAATAAGTTAAAGTTCTCGAAAGCAACATGCGAAAATTAAGGTTAAAGCTGCTTGCCTCAAAATGAGTCAAAATATTTCAATAAAATTAAACATCAGAAATGTTTACTATGATTTAAGGAAAATTAAAATGATGCAAGATTCAAGTAATACATGTTTCACAAGTTATGTGCAGTTAAGGAATGATTTTTCAGTATTCACAACTATATTTCTATAGCGTTACTAACGCAGTAAGGCATATTAATGCATATTTGACCACTTTTTGGTAATATACGTGGGCTGTAAGTGCCATTGATAATGTGTAAATTGCTTCCTTTATATTAAACATTCAAATACATTTTCAAAATTTTCATGAAAATTAGCATGAGTCTGGAGGCGTGCTGCTTTAATCATCGCGAAGATTTTTACATTTTGATTCGCACCAGGATTTAAGTATTTAAGAAAGAATAAGCATGAGACAAATTCAACGTTGTATAGCGCGAATAGTTTCTTGTGAGAATGTAAAATATTGCCATTTTTTCTATGAAAATACAGAAAGAGGGCTAAGACTTTAGAAAAAAAATAGCATGTCAATAAGAGACCTTCAACTGGCCCAAGCAGGACACCGTTCTGTATTTAATTCACGTGGAAAGTAACGGTTATTTAAAAGTGTGTTCTTACAGACGTAAGAAGACACTTTTTAAATAGCTCTGCTTGGAGTATAGTCATATAACTGTAAGCCATACCTGTTCCAAAAGCAATTGTGAAACCTTTAGACATGAAAGCAGAGTCTGATTTGAATTCCACCTTGAAATGTCCTCCAGGTGCATGTATAATATTGCCTGTGTCATTATTATACACATCAATCTCTGATACTTGTTCAGTGCTTTTGTCAGCATAGATCTAGAAAAAAAAGAGTAAAATTTGTTGAATTAAACAGTGTATTCTGATTTTGGTACAAAAAGTGTATTCTGATTATGGTACGAACAGTGTATTCTGATTGTGGTACAAACAGTGTATTCTGATTGTGGTACAAACAGTGTATTCTGATTATGGTACAAACAGTTTATTCTGATTATGGTACAAACAGTGTATTCTGATTGTGGTACAAACAGTGTATTCTGATTATGGTACAAACAGTTTATTCTGATTGTGGTACAAACAGTGTATTCTGATTATGGTACAAACAGTGTATTCTGATTATGGTACAAACAGTGTATTCTGATTATGGTACAAACAGTGTATTCTGATTATGGTACAAACAGTGTCTTCTGATTATGGTACAAACAGTGTATTCTGATTGTGGTACAAACAGTGTATTCTGATTTTGGTACAAAAAGTGTATTCTGATTATGGTACGAACAGTGTATTTGATTGTTGGTACAAAACAGTGTATTCTGATTAGGGTACAAACGGTGTATCCTGATTATTGTACAAACAGTGTCATTCTGATTGTGGTTGCGAAACAGTGTATTCTGATTATGGTACAAACAAGTGAATTCTTGATTGTGGTACAAACAGTGTATTCTGATTATGGTACAAACAGTGTATTCTGATTATGGTACAAACAGTGTATCCTGATTATGGTACAAACAGTGTATTCTGGATTGTGGTACAAACAGTTTATTCTGATTAAAGGTACAAACAGTTTATTCTGATTATTGTACAAACAGTGTATTCTGATTGTGGTTACAAACAGTGTATTCTGATTTATGGTACAAACAGTTTATTCTGATTATGGTACAAACAGTGTATTCTGATTATGGTACAAACAGTGTATTCTGATTATGGTATCAACAGTTTATTCTGATTATGGTACAAACAGTGTATTTCTGATTATGTACAAACAGTGTATCCTGATTTTGGTACAAACAGTTTATTCTGATTATGGTACAAACAGTTTTATTCTGATTATGGTACAAAACAGTGTATCCTGATTATGGTACAAACAGTGTATTCTGATTGTGGTACAAACAGTGTATTCTGATTATGGTACAAACATTTTATTCTGATTATGTACAAACAGTTTATTCTGATTTATGGTACAAAACAGTGTATTCTGATTATGGTACAAACAGTTTATTCTGATTATGGTACAAAACAGTTTATTCTGATTATGGTACAAACAGTTTATTCTGATTATGGTACAAAACAGTGTATCCTGATTATGGTACAAACAGTGTATTCTGATTGTGGTACAAACAGTTTATTCTGATTGAGGTACAAACAGTTTATTCTGATTGTGGTACAAACAGTGTATTCTGATTGTGGTACAAACAGTTTATTCTGATTATGGTACAAACAGTGTATTCTGATTATGGTACAAACAGTGTATTCTGATTATGGTACAAACAGTGTCATTCTGATTGTGGTACAAACAGTTTATTCTGATTAGTGTACAAACAGTGTATTCTGATTTGTGGTACAAACAGTGTATTCTGATTATGGTACAAAAAGTTGTATTCTGGATCATGGTACAAACAGTTATTCTTGATTGGTGCGAACAGTGTATTTCTGAATTATGGTACAAAACAGTGTATTCTGATTATGGTACAAACAGTGTATTCTTGATTGTGGTACAAACAGTGTATTCTGATTGTGGTTGCGAACAGTGTATTCTGATTATGGTACAAACAGTGTATTCTGATTATGGTACAAACAGTGTATTCTGATTATGGTACAAACAGTGTATTCTGATTATGGTACAAACAGTGTATTCTGATTATGGTACATAGAAAACATTTTGAACAGTCATTAAAGTGTGACTTCTATGTAGATTTCACACTTTGCATGTTCTTACTTCTTCTGGAATACCAGACTATCTTATATTTACAATTAAATTGACAAACAATCTTCTGGGATAATCTCTGTTGTAAATATGCAAACTTGACCATGCATTATAACTTAGGCAGTGTGTTTACACTTTATATTAAAGAGGTCTAAAACATTGGAATTTTTCATTAAAATCATGCAGTTCCCCCCCCCAAAAAAAATGAATATTACTTTCTCAATTGGCAATTTAAGAAAAAATCAAGAGGTTAAAGACCCCTATCACAAATCAAAAAAAAAACCATTGTAAGGAAATCTAAATTGTCATACACATTAACTAAAATTAAGTAAAAATCTATGTGCTTGATTAAATTGTTCAAATTAAAAAGATTTCAATGAGTTAAAGTTATCATATTACCAGAATTTCTTTACCTTGTAGGACCAGGTCTTTAAGGTTGGCATTATAATCCAATAAATACATTTAACTATACCTAGTAGTTTACATATAGATGATTGTGTACTTGAAGATGTCTCCATATAGGACAAAGTCAAAAAGGCTGGAAAACTGCTCTTAAACTTACACTAGATGTAACAGCATCGAAACTTTTTAGCACCAATATTTCATGCACAAAGTAGAATAAAAATTTAAAATAACTTTCTATTGTTTAACATGAAGTAAAAGACCTTTACCATAAATTTATCTTCTGATCGAGTAGTTGGATTGGTTCATAGAGAATCCTGTGCCAGATTCAGGTATGTAAGAAATTTGAGAAACCATTTCCCACTGGGATGCACTTTCCCCAGCATCAAGTGTCCATATACACATGAGGTCATTGGGTACAGGATGAGGAGAAACTATAACACCATATGTGTCATCTATTGCCACTCCACACCCTTCAGAAATTAGAATACATTTATAAAAATCATTATCAAAGAAATGAAAATGAATAACAGTGAAATAAGAATTAAAGAATTATTTATTATTATAAATTTTATTTTGAACACAAAAATTAGCATATTAACAAATTCCTTCAATTACATGAATACTTAAAATAGCTCAATTATAATGAGAGAAATGGTTTTGAAAGAAACCAGTTTTTTAACTGAAATGTACCTAACATATAATCACCTGTTGTATTCAGATCATTTTAATACACGCTGCCTGATCATTTGTTCAATGTACAGAAATGATCCAGGCCGGAGCCTGAACATAAGTACCATGATAGATCTAGACCAGAGCCTGAATATCAGTGCCATGATAGATCAAGGCCAGTCTGAACATCAGTGCCATGATAGATCAAGGCCAGTCTGAACATCAGTGCCATGATAGATCAAGGCCAGTCTGAACATCAGTACCATGATACATCTAGGCAAGAGCCTGAACATCAGTACCATGATAGATCTAGGACAATCTGAACATCAGTGACATGATAGATCTAGGACAGTCTGAACATCAGTACCATGATAGATCTAGGCCAGTCAGAACATCAGTGACATGATAGATCTAGGACAGTCTGAACATCAGTACCATGATAGATCTAGGACAGTCTTAACATCAGTTGCATGATAGATCTAGGACAGTCTGAACATCAGTGACATGATAGATCTAGGCCAGTCTGAACATCAGTGCCATGACAGATTAAGGCCAGTCTGAACATCAGTGACATGATAGACCTTGGCCAGTTTGAACATCAGTACCATGATACATCTAGGCAAGAGCCTGAACATAAGTGCCATGATAGATCTAGGACAGTCTGAACATCAGTGACATAATAGATCTAGGCAAGTCAGAAAATCAGTGCCATGATAGATCTAGGACAGTCTGAACATCAGTGCAATGATAGATTAAGGCCAGAGTCTAAACATCAGTGCCATGATAGATCTAGGCCAGTCTAAACATCCATGCCATGATAGATCAAGACCAGAGTCTGAACATCAGTGCCATGATAGATCTAGGCAAGTCAGAAAATCAGTGTCATGAAAGATCTAGGCCAGTCAAATCATCAGTACCATGATAGATCAAGGCCAGTTCGAACATCAGTGTTATGATAGATCTAGACCAGTCTGAACATCAGTTCTATGATAGATCCAGGCCAGTCTGAAATCAGTTGTAATGATAGATCTAGGCCAGTATGAACATCAGTTCCATGGTAGATCTATGCCAGCCTGAACATCAGTGACATGATAGATCTAGGCCAGCCTGAACATCAGTACCATAATAGATCTAGGTCAGCCTGAACATCAGTACCATGATAGAGCTTAGGCCAGCCTGAACATCAGTGACATGATAGATCTATGCCAGCCTGAACATCAGTGACATGATAGATCTATGCCAGCCTGAAAATCAATGACATGATAGATCTAGGCCAGTCTGAACATCAGTGTAATGATAGATTTAGGCCAGCCTGAACATCAGTGACATGATAGATCTATGCCAGCCTGAACATCAGTGACTGATAGATTCAGGCCAGTCTGAACATCAGTGTAATGATAGATCTAGGTCAGCCTGAATATCAATACCATGATAGATCTATGCCAGTCTGAACATCAGTGCCATGATAGATCTAGGCCAGTCTGAATATCAGTGACATGATAGATCCAGGCCACTCTGAACATCAGTGACATGATAGATCCAGGCCAGTCTGAACATCAGTGTAATGATAGATCTAGGTCAGCCTGAATATCAATACCATGATAGATCAAGGCCAGTCTGAACATCAGTGCCATGATAGATCTAGGCCAGTCTGAATATCAGTGACATGATAGATTTTGGCCAGTCTGAACATCAGTGACATGATAGATCTAGGCCAGTCAGAACATCAGTGACATGATAGATCTAGGCCAGTCAGAACATCAGTGCCATGATAGATTTTGGCCGGTCTGTACATCAGTGCCATGATAGATCTAGGCCAGTCAGAACATCAGTGACATGATACCTCTAGGCCAGTCAGAACATCAGTGCCATGATAGATTTTGGCCGGTCTGAACATCAGTGACATGATAGATCTAGGCCAATGTGTACATCGGAGTGTCATGATAGATGTAGGACAGTCTGAACATTAGTGCTATGCAAAGATCCAGGTCAGTCTGAACATCATTACCAACTGATTATGAACAACACTCTTATCAATCACATATTCAATTTTAGCAATCAAGACATAACTGGCAAATGTTTCATTTTTTGAATATAATTAAAAGATTTGGACTAACCTAGTTTGTATTTCAAAGTTACATGACCATTGACAGGGACGTAGTTAGACATCAATTTTACTTCATTAGTTGTTGATGTATAATAATGGCGGTCAGATAGAGAGTCTTCCATTCCTTCAACATTTAATTCATACTTTACTTCATCCACCGAATACCCTGATTTAGGGGTAACTTGCACCTGTAAACACAAATAATATGATAACAACAATTTAACCTTTCAGAAGAAAACTTTATCTTGAGATTTATATTAGGTTTCACAGCTTCATGTCCAATTTTTTAATGGAAACAAAATTACTTCCTTAAACATGGGTCATTACTGATTTTCCTTTTATGATTAAATACAGTAATGTCTTAAACAATTATCAATGCATTAACTTATAAAGTACACTTATTTTATGATCTGTTCAAAATATGCAAAAATATTTTAGTGTGTTTTCACTATACATGTTACATGTACATATAGAGACAGCTATTAAGTGTAACATACATAATAGGTTATCACATTTCCCTCGTTTGCATTAATTTGCCAACTCAGCTTCAGATTTATTGGTGTATACTCATCATTTGTAAATGGCATACTGATATTTTTCCAATCATTGATTGCCATTTCTTGTTTTGTTCCCGCTGGTATTGATGGTATTTCTACAAAAAACAGTTATTCATGTATTTCTAATTTTGTTTGTTTTAATAAATAAGAAATGTGTCGTCACGTCACGGATGCCCCGGCATGCAATAAAAATTCAGATGTAATCATATTTAGTTCAAAATTTGTTTGCACAATCTATTTTTTCATTTTAAGTTCAAAGCCCTTAAAACTATTCAATGTTAACACAAACCATTTTTTATAAAGTTCAAGGCACTGAAACTATTCAGTGTTAACCCAGCCAGCATCACTATATCGGGCCGATATAGGATTAATGTCGGCATGTCGGCAAAATATGCCGACTATTGGCCGACGTCGGGCCGCTGCAGTGCCGACATATTGAGTATTTTGAAAAATTCTAATTGCAATGCCATTGTTTACTTAATAATGTGAATAAATTGTCCTTTGTATGATTTCAATTACTAGAACAATATTAACCACATTTCGTGTAAGATCAAAAAAGATACATCGGGTCTGCGTCGGGCCTACATGACCTATCAATGCAAGTATTTTGTATATCGGATTGACATCGGTACGATATTGCGTTTTCTGTTGAATTGAAAATCATGCAGCAAATAATTGTAAATTTTGATATGAATTTCTAAAATAATCATAGTTGAGTTTGGAAATGATATGTGGTTTGTTATTAAATTCAATATTTACGTTTTGACTACATAAAATCACTCTTTTATTATATCTTAAATGAAAAGCTTGAAAATATTCACTGCAGTCCTACAATTAACAGATTAAGCGCCAAAAAGAAAAGCTAACAAAGGAAGGTGATGAAAAGCATGTTTTTATTAATGTAATGATGATACAACAAATCTGTAAACGCTGTTAATAATTTGATTTTACACTTAAAACTATTGGAAAAACACAATTTATCTGTTTGTCTCTTTTTTAGATGTAAAATTATGTTTGAAAATATTTGTCACATAATTTCGCGGCATGCATTATCATGGTAGTGATTGTCATTTGCACATTTAAGTTAAAATATGTGTCTTTATTGTCTAATTTTGTAGAATAATTATCTTTTAATTTGTGTTTTTGCAGGTTGTGCCAAATGCTTGCTGCTAGATGTCATCAACATGCTAGCATAAGGATGATACCTGGTCTATATAGGACCGATATCTTTCTACTGTTGGCTGACATCGCACCGCCATTGTTTTGATGTAGGCCCGATGTCGGCAAGAAATATCGGGCCTATATCGTTAAGATGTCGGCCCGATATTGTTTTGCCGATGTCGGGCCAACATCATTCCTATTTGCAGCCGAGGTTAAAGCCGACATCGGGCCGTCATAGAAAACCATGTCGGTTTGATGTCGGGCCGATATAGAATGTTGGCTGGGAACCTTTTGTGAATTGCATATTTAAAGCCAAAATAATGACTACATCCATTTCAACAAAAAGTTGAAAATTCAAAATTTTTCCAACATTCAAGAGAGATAACACTGTCCAAAATCATAATGTTCTACGACCAAATTCAAACTTGAACTGCTTAATTCTAAGATGTATCTATATGTCAAGTTTGAGTTGAATGTGTAATTTTACTATTGGGGCGATAATGAACAGAAACTGAAAATTTCATATTATTTTCAAAGTTTAAGGGGCATAACTCAAACATGACCTGGGCATACCATTGACATATCCATATGTCAAATTATGGATAATGAATCCATATGTCAAATTATGGATAATGAGATAATTAATAGAAACTGAAAATTTCATCAAGGGGCATAACTCTGTAAACAACCATCAAGCCATGACCTAATTCGAACTTGACCAGTATATTCTTATGATATATCCATATGTCAAATTTTAGTTGAATGTGTCGCAACTGTTTCTAAAGATAATGAACGAAAAATTATGATAATTATATATATATATATATATATATATATATTTTCTAAAACACGCCCAGCAAGCTTGTCGCTTTTCTTTAAAATTGTGGGGTTTTTTTTTGGTTTTTTTTTTCTAAAACACGCCCAGCAAACTGTCGCTTTTCTTTCAAATTGTGGTGTACGGTAAAACGAGCGAATGGCATTTTCGAGATAGAGCGGAAGGCCGATTTAAACAGCTAATTGTAAGTTTTGTTTATGATTTTGTCTTGTAATTCATTTAAGTTGTATTTTTTAGAAAACGGAAAATGTAGTTCCGTGTAGGATTGATTTAGGCTTCCAATGATCTAATCTGTTACAAAAAGAAAATAATATTAAGCCCTGGAGAACTTTTCTCCCTGACGAAGTGAACGACAATTCGTTAAATATCAAACTTCCAACCATAGAAAAGCTCTACACTTCGGATTTCTTTAAAAGGTGTTTTAGAAAAATATCAACCCGTAACAAGAGTAAGTCCTTCGTGAAAAATAAACTGCTCTTAGTAAATTTCTTAAATTTTTATATAGAATTTTTTCGAAAGTAGTGGAGCCAAACAAGAGCTAAACGGGTCAGTTGTAGGGTCAAGGCGATATTAAGTTGGCGTTAAGAGCGTAGTCTACGAATTTCTATAAATAAAATCTTTAAAAGCTAAAATGTGAAGCCGGAGAAATATGATAATAATATTAATTTATTTCTACTATAACTAGGTCTATCAATTATTGATAATTTTAGTCCGTACACCAACTGAGCACTGCCTGTTTTATTACATTCGTTTTGTTCTTAGATTCCCTGTGTATAAAGAAACAACATTTTACAGATATTGCTTTTAACTTATTTGTTTTCTTAAACCAAGAATTTTTACTTCAGTGTTTTATCATAAAAGTAAACATTTCTATTAATACTTTGAGAGGACAATAATAAACTAAACAACAATGCTAAAAAAGGGAGGAAGTTTCTTGAAACATAACTTTAACACGTGTTATATCCTCAAAACGACTGACACCTTGTCAACCATTTTCATAGAGATTCCCCACCTTACAAATTCATAAAAAACGTGGCTTATTTGTGTTTGATCTGAACATGTACGTTAGAGCTATTTATTACAGAAAGTCATAGTAAAATGAACTTGGTAGTAGTGATCCATTTAATTTGCCCCGTGCATTGCATAATTTTGTCTCTGTTCTGCACCTTGAATATCTAACTTTTCGAAAAACATAACATTTTGGCAAGAACAATATATATCTCGGTCTCAACACTTGAACATGTCTATTTTAACTTCTATAGCTTTTATACATAAAAGTTCATAGACTTCGCTCCTCCCAATACGTCAAATTAATATCGCCTTGCGCTCAACATCGAACCTTTCGCTCCATCTATTACCTTTGGCTCAACTACTTTCGAAAAAATTTAAGAAATCCTTCAGGAGTAATTAATGTTGCACGAAAGACAAGTTCTTATTACGGGTTGATATTTTTCTTTAACACTTTTTCAAGAAATCCGAAGGGTATGGCATTTTAATGGTTGGGAAGTTCAATATTCTACAAACATTGTTCGCTTCGTCAGGGAGAAAAGTTATCCCGGGCTTAAAATAATTTTCTATTTTTAACATCTTAGATCATTGGAAGCCTAAATCAATCCTACACAGAACTACATTTTCCGTTTTTCGAAAAAATACAACTTAAATGAATAACAAGACAAAAACAAAAACAATACTTACAATGAGCTGTTTAAATCGACCTTCTGGTCTATCTCGGAAATGCCGTTCGCTCGTTTTAAATACCGTACACCACAATTTTGAAGTGGAACGACAGTTTGCCGGGCGTGTAAAAAAACATGTAAAACATGTAAAAGTAAATTAGTCAAGTATTTATACACTATCATACCTATTTGAAAAATATATTTAAAAGGTTAAATTTTGAAACAGGTACTGATACAATTTATTGATTTCACAATGAAATATGATTTAATGCTGACATTTATGTGTATATCCAACACAAACTCATGTATACCTGTTACCCATTCGAAACTGTATGTTCCAATATTTCTACTTAAATCACTAGCAGCATAAAATCTAATGGAAAGGTAATGGTTTGTTGAGTATAGATGTTTGCTGCTGACACTGCCGGTAAAACGTCCTAACATCTCGGAAGATTGAAATAAGAAGCTACCAGTCCAAACCTCTAAAAATACGACATTTTCTTCAAGATTCATCTGTGGTATCTGTTTGAGGAAAAATAAATAATATACAAATATGGACTTTTTAGCTGTTGAATATGATGTGATATTATATAATTTATAAATAGCTTTTATATAAATATGGCTTTTCAAATCTGCCATTGCATACGACGTAAATCATTATTTTTCAGCTTGTCTATTTTTCCATAATTTGACCCTTTCTTTTAAATGAGCGCATTGGCATGCTAATCCCTATTGTTCTTAAAATGTAAAGACTAAAATACACTTAACAAAAGTTCTAACCGATCACTTTTTAAATTTTGATTATTTCAATACGGGTCAATAGATCCTTATAAAATTTGCAGAGGTGATTTCTGTGTCGTTTTCTACCGATTTGTGGACAGAGAAATAATCTAATACGGTTCCATGCAATCACACGGGAGGCAAGGCGCGGTTTACACGAAGTGGCACGAAATTTTCGTGCAGAGCGTGGTGAGTATTAAATTTTACATTGCATAAATCCTTGTTAACTTTATAAGTGAAAAAAACATAAAACATGGCACGAATGTCGATGCAGTTGGAATGTTGAATGCTGGAGTCTCTATCAGACAGGTGTGTGGCTGTTCATAAAAATATATTTTTTAAAGATATCGATAAAGTATTATTTAAATAGAAATATGTTATAATTTTATTATTCTCAATGTGTTCATTCTCTTCGAATAAAATATAAGTCGGATCTATTTGTATTATTCTTGTTCATATATAAGCGAAAACTCAGGGTGATCGGTTAGAACTTTTGTTCAGTGTAGAATATAACTAGAACTGCCATTGCCATGGCGTGAATACCCCCGCATACCACTTTGTCAGAATCAACAGTGGCCATTTAGAGCTCAAGGATAACCTCCCTGCCAAATCTGAGGTTACTAAGCCAGTGCATTTCTAAGTTATGTATTCTCCATGCTTCAAATGTAAAAATGTCAAAATCAATACACTGCAGATAGGTATTCTTAAGCATTTGAGCAGACAAGCTTATTATAGTAAATATCCTTGTGACCTTGACCTTTGACACAGGGATCATCTACTAGTCATAAACAACATCAATACCAAATATGAAGATTGTTGATCAAAGCATTCTTAATCAATTGAGCGGAAAAGCTTTTTAGTCAAGGCTCCTGTGACCTTGATCTTTGACCAGGTGACCTCAAATCAATAGGGGTCATTTTCTAATTATGACTAACCTCCATGCCAAAAATGAAGACTGTGGGTCATATGAATCTCAAGTTATTGGGCTGACAAGCTTTGTTTAAGTCAAGGCCCCTGTGACCTTGACCTTTGAGCCAGTGACCTCAAAATCAGTAGCGGTCATCTACTAATCATGACTAGCCTCCACGCGAAATATGAAGACTGTGGGTCAAAGGAATGTCAAGTTATTGGGCGGACAAGTTTTTTTAGTCAACCCCTCTGTGACCTTGACCTTTGACCCATTGACCTCAAAATCAAAAAGGGTCCTTTACTTATCATGACTAACTTCCATGCCAAATATGAAGACAGTGGGTCAAAGGAATCTCAAGTTATTGGGCAGACAAACTTTTTTTGTCAAGGCCCCTGTGACCTTGACCTTTGACCCAGTGACCTCAAAATAAATAGGGGTCATCTACTGATCTTGATTTACCTCCATGCCAAATATGAAGACTGTGGAGCAAAGGAATCCTTAAGTTATTGGCTGGACAATCTGTTTTAAGTTAAGGCCTTGACCTTTGACCCAGTGACCTCAAACTCAATAAGTGTCATCTACTAATCATGACTAACCTCCATGACAAATATGAAGACTGTGGGTCAAAGGAATCTTAAGTTATTGGGCAGACAAACTTTTTTTGTCAAGGCCCTGTGACCTTGACCTGGTGACCTCAAAATCAATAGGGGTCATCTACTGATCTTGACTTACCTCCATGACAAATATGATGACTGTTGGTCAAAGGAATCTCAAGTTATTGGGTGGAAAAGCTTTTTTAGTCAAGGCCCCTGTGACCTTGACCTTTAACCCAGTGACCTCAAAATCAATAGGGGTCATCTACTATTCATGACTAACCTCCATGCCAAATATGAAGACTGTGGGCCAAAGGAAACTCAAGTTATTGGGCGGACAATGTAAAACCGACGGACGGCCGGACGGAAGGCCGGACAGGGAGATGGACGGACGGCCGGATGGACAAGCTGATTCTAGTATACCCCCTTACAGGGTATAACTAAAATAGACTTCTTTGACTCTTATTGACACATCACTCAAAGTTGTTTGCTTCAAACAAAATTTGCGTGACGTCACATCATAGTCTCGCGTCTTTTGGGGATTTCCAGAAAATCTATTTTTAGAATAAAAAACAGTGAATATACTCTGAAAATCTATTTTTAGGAAAAAAACAGTGAATTTACTCTGATACTGACCTGTTATTTTTTTACAAAAGAAACTGCTTGTTAGCCAATCAGGGAAAGGCATTTCAAAGCTATTTATGGATTATTTAATAATATACAAATATGGACTTTTTAGCTGTTGAATATGATGTGATATTATATAATTTATAAATAGCTTTTATATAAATATGGCTTTTCAAATCTGCCATTGCATACGACGTAAATCATTATTTTTCAGCTTGTCTATTTTTCCATAATTTGACCCTTTCTTTTAAATGAGCGCATTGGCATGCTAATCCCTATTGTTCTTAAACTGCTTGTTAGCCAATCAGGGAAAGGCATTTCAAAGCTATTTATGGATTATTTAATAATGTATAATATGTCAACTGTGATGAACTTCTAGAAAATATGTTTGTAATATTGTGATACAATATTTTATGTTATAATTTTATATACTTGACTTGTCACACACAAAGGAATACAAATATACTAAATGTAAATTAACAATTAAGCAAAGTCACTTTCAAATTTTAATAGGCCATTGTGCAGGGAAACATTTTTTTTAAACCAATGACCCATAACCTCTTGGTGAAACATTGACATTACAACTATCCACACAGCTGTATGATACAATGTGTTATATTAATATTGTCAATATTTGTGCCAAGTTTTTTCAAAATCCCTAATCAGATAATTCATATGCCATAAATTGTTTAAAGAAACTGTTAACATTGAACCTTTAAAAGTAACCTTGACACATGGATACATACATAGAGTTTGACATAAACTCACTCATCAAGCTTCATAATTACTATCTTAAACTATTTCAAAATTCACCATTTTTATTTAACAGATGCAACACTTACATAAAGTCTGATTCTTTGTCCTACTCCGGCTTCTAAGACCCAGGTTTGTTCGTCAAAATCAGACATAGGCTGAGTCTGGACTGTTCCAGTAGTTTCAGATAAGGTAAGATACCAAGTTCCACGAGATGCTGAAATAACAGCAATATGTGTTTATAATAATATATGGATTATCAGTATCAAATGAAGTATCAGAGAAATGCATGTCAACATCAGGACAGATTTTAAAATATTTGTTCTCATCACTTGACCTTTATCAGGTCATATTAATTACTTCTGAAGTACATTTAAAGCAACTACAAATGTTGATGTTTATTACTTAAAAACTAACCATGTCATTACTAAATACAGAATAAGCCTATGAGTCATGTAAGAAAGTATTTAAAACCAAAAAGAGTCCTTATCTTTTACAGAATATTCCATATATTCCTTATATTCAGATACAACATATGTAATTTGTTTATTGGTGCAACTGTGCATGAGATACTTAATTGAAATAAACAAAACCAGTCCTGTTCCCCACATTTAACCTGCTGGATAGTTAAATCATGGCTGTACACTCCAAGTCATGGTTAAATGAAATTATCATAGAAAGGGCGTCATAATTCTGCTTAAGTTCTGAGCAGACTTACCTGCCCTAGACAATCAACAAATATTTCAAGTTTGATTTGAATACCTTTGATGGTTTTAAGAAAAGGGCAATAGTCTAAATGAAAAAGGGAAACAGTATTTTAGGATTATCTGACATTAGAAATGTATTTCAAATTTGGTAGAAAACAATATTACTCCAAGCTTAAAGAATAAGTAAATATTTTTGACACTTTTTTTAGAAATGTAGTTTAAAGCAGCACGTCTCCAGATTCATGCTGATTTTCATGAAAATTTGAAAATGTATTTAACAGTATAATATTGTAAAGTTACCAAAAGAATGTAATTAACACATTATCAATGGCACTTACAATTATGTGAATTACTATAAAGAGGTCAAAATATGCAAAAATAGCCCTTACTCCATTAGTAACGCAGTAGAAATATAGTAATACATACTGAAATATTCAGTCATAATCATATATAGCATGTTAATTTTTACTAGAATTTTGAATCTTTATACCTTTCCTAAAATCTTAGTACATTTTTCTCATGTTTGATTTATTTGAAATATTTTTGCGCATCTGGTGGGGTGCAGCTTTAAGTAAAAGATTAACCAAGACATTCAAAGTTAAAAAGGCTGCATAACTGAGCAAGGTTATAAATGAAGTTTAACAAGTATTACAAGTTTAAAGTGGTTTACTTGAGTTTTGAGAACTTGAACTTAGTAAAAAACATCAATTTAAAAAAGGAAGATGCGTTACTTTTCATAATTCTAAAATTATCTACCCAGAATAATTTCTGGATTATCTGCCCTTTTGAAATGGCATCTCTCATGATAAAACAGTAATGCCAAGTTTGAAGTTAATAGTTTTCATAGTTTTTGAGAAAATGGACCTAAATGAAAAATTTAATAAATGCCAATGGCAATGAGAGGGTCATGACAACTCTAAGCTTCTTTTTTTCTTGGAAAAGTGGAGCTAAAAATGAAATAAATAAATAAACCACATAAAATACAGCTTGGTTAATAGATTAAATAACATAAGTATTTAAGAATTCAGGTGATATATTGATGACATGGACATGTTTAATCCTTACCATCCTAAAACCTTAAATATTTCAATCTGGACAAAACCATTTACCATTATTGGGAAAATTTAAAACATTAAGTGACTGAATAAAGCAAACAGTGAAGACCATGATCTGCAGGACATCCTTGATGTGCACTGGTTGCAGGGGTAGAATTAGCTGGCACATTATTGGTCTGCACTGGTCACAGGGGTAGAATAAGCTGGCACATTCTTGGTGTGCACAAGTTGCAGAGGTAGAATTAGCTGGCACATTATTGGTGTGCACTGGTTGCATGGTACATTATTGATCTGCACAGGTTGCAGGGGACGAATTAGCTGGCACATTATTGAAGGGGTAGAAAAAGTGGGCACATTATTGGCCTGCACTTGTTGCAGGGGAAGAATTAGCTGCCACATAATTAGAGGGGTAGAATTAGTGGGCACATTATTGGTTTGCACTAGTTGCAGGGATAGAATTAGCTGGCACATTTTTGGTGTGTACTGGTTGCAGGGGTAGAAATAGCTGGCATATTATTGGTCTGCACTGGTTCTAGGAGTAGAATTAGTTAGCACATTATTGGTCTGCACTAGTTGCAGGGATAGAATTAGCTGGCACATTATTGCAGGGGTAGAATAAGTGGGCACATTATTGGTCTGCACTAGTTGCAGGGATAGAATTAGCTGGCACATTATTGCAGGGGTAGAATAAGTGGGTACATTATTGGTCTGCACTAGTTGACGGGATAGAATTAACTGGCACATAATTGCAGGGGTAGAATAAGTGGGCACATCATTGGTCTGCACTAGTTGCAGGGATAGAATTAGCTGGCACATAATTGCAGGGGTAGAATAAGTGGGCACATTATTGGTCTGCACTAGTTGCAGGGATAGAATTAGCTGGCTCATAATTGCAGGGGTAGAATAAGTGGGCACATTATTGGTCTGCACTAGTTGCAGGGATAGAATTAGCTGGCACATTATTGCAGGGGTAAAATTAGCGGGCACATCATTGATCTGCACTGGTTGCAGGAGTAGAATTAGTTAGCACATTATTGGTCTGCACTAGTTGCAGGGATAGAATTAGCTGCCAGCATCTGGATAATGATTAAAATAATATTTGTATGATTGACTTACTACAATTGTTTTCATCTCTTTCATCGACACATTCAGGTAAACCATTACATACCTGTTGTGAAGGTATACATTTTGCATCACAACGCATGTAACCTGAAATTCAGAGGTATATAACATAAAATGCATTCCTCTTCATCAATTGGTATATTGCTAGTTATATGATTTTTTGACATGTTATATAACCCAATATTAATGGTTGTTTTCGTACAAATCGTATTGCAAACAACCATTGATTTATGGCCATTTAACCTGTCAAGATTCTTTATAACAAATTTATAGTACAGGAAATTCCATTTTACAGAAAAATGATTCTTTATAAATCAACAGCAGCTATATATATATACAGATTTACATGACTTGTTGAAAAGAACATATTGAATTTTATTATATAATCTATAAATAGCTTTGAAATGCCTTTCCCTGATTGGCTAACAAGCAACTTTTTGTAAAAAATAACAAATCAATATCAGAGTATATTCACTGTTTTTTTTCCCTTAAAATAGATTTTCAGAGTATATTCACCGTTTTTTCTTCTAGAAATAGATTTTCTGGAAATCCCACGAAAGACGCGAGACTATGACGTGACGTCATGTCAAGTTTGTTGTTATTATTCAGAATAAATGTTTAGTGACTCGTATATAAGAGTCAAATTAGTCTATTTTAGTTACCGCCAACAATACAAATGAGCGTGCCAATGCACTCATTTAAAAAAGAAAGGGCCAAATTATGGAAAAAGTAGACAAGCTGAAAAATGGCAGATTTGATAAGCCATATAAAAGCTATTTATAAATTATATAATAAAACAGATATGTACTTTTTAGCTGTTGAATATGATATGTACTGAAAATTTAATATTGATATCAAGACATAAAAAAGCAAAAAAAAAAGAAGTTAAGTGTTATTCTTCAACAGTATGACGGAATTTTGTACAAACTTACAAATTTAATTTTACTGACAATATCTGATGTAACTTAATTTTTAAAATAGAACATGTTATCAATGTATTGATGATAAGTTTATGACGTGACAGTATCAGGTATTTCATGTTTCAGCAACTTTCATGGTAACATAAAAAATTCATTAAACTCAACCCTGATATTTCAATTAACTTGAAGATAAAACAACATTGCTGGCATGTTAAATTTAGTATTATCAATATCACATCTGTGTTTACAAAACATCATAACTTCTTGCAAAACACATCTTTTCTTAACAGCACATCTTTCTAAAACACACTTTCTAAACAGCATGATCTTTCATTAGACATATCTTTCATAATAACACATCTTTCAAACAGCACATCTATCACAACAACACACTTTTCTTAACCACCCATCTTTCTTAACAGCACATCATATTAACAACTAAACTTTGTTAATCACACATATTTCTTAACAACACAACTTTCTAAACAACACAACTTTTAACCACACATCTTTCGTAACCACACATTTTTGCTTAACCACACATCTTTCTTAACCACAGGTTTTTTTAACAGTAAATCTTTCTTAACAAAACAACTTTCTTAACCACACATATTTCTAAACCACACATCATTTTTTAAAAAACAAATCTTTTCATAACAACACATCTTTTTTTAACAACATCTTTTCATAAACCATATCATTTCTTAACAACACTTTTTTCTCAACATTTTTCATAACAACATATCTTTCATAGTGCTGTTAGGAAAAATGTGCTGTCAAGAAAGATGTGTTGTTATGAAAAATATGTTGTTGAGAAAGATGTGATGTTATGAAAAGATGTGTTGTTATGAAAAAATGTGACCACTAGAGTGTTAACAAGGATTTTCCATATTTTGGCGATGTGACCTTGTTTTTGACCCCAGGTAACTCATATTCGAATTTGACCTTGAAATCATGAAACAAACTTTTAGACCAATTTCCAGGATATTTGGATCAAAACAGTAGCCACTAGAGTGTTAACAAGATTTTTCTATTTTAGCTCCTTTGACCTGGTTTTTCATCCGAGATGACCCATGTTCGAACTCATCCGAGCAATTATCTAGACAAGCAACCTAACCAAGTTTGATGGCAATTGAGTAAAAAATGTGACGACTAGAGTGTTTACAATGTTTTTTATATTTGGGAAGTGTGACCTATTTTTTTGACCCCATGTGTCCCATAATCGAACTTGACATAGAAATCATCAAAACAAACTTTTAGACCAATTTCCAGGATATTTGGATCAAAACAGTAGCCATTAAAGTGTTCAGGACGTTTTCGGGAGTTTACAATATAGACATTTAGGCAAAATTAAAACAGTTTTATAGAATTTCTATAAACTTGGCATGTTGTTAGAATATGATAACAGAAACATTGTAAGCGAAAAAAAAATGTGGTCACCGTACTCGTTTTTTAGTTATCTGCTCCTAATTCAGAATTTCTACTTATTTTAGGTCATTATAAGGGCAGATAACCTATATAGACATAATGCATTTTTGTTTTTACTTCTGGATAATGTTTTTTCTTTTTATTCTTAAATACATAATTACATGTAATTCCTTATATCGTTTCTGTTAATTTTTTTTCAATGTTAATAAAGGTACTTTAAATTATTAAAAAATAGGCCAATTTTTTAAGAAAAAAAATGCACAGGTTAAGAGAAAAAGTGAGAAAAAACTATCCACTCTAAATTTGTTCTTAAAATTTTTCATATTGACTAAGACGAACGTAAGCTTCATGAAAATAAGAAGAAAAAAATGTATTGTTTAGCTTCATTGCAAATTATCTGCCCTTGAATTTAACGAAAAAGTCCATTTCGAGGGCAGATAAATCGAAAATGAGAACGGTGACCCCAATTTGTTTCCGTTAAAAATGTTTCTGTTATCATATTATAATAACATGCAAAGTTTAAAGAAATTCTAATGAACAGTTTTAATTTTGCCTATATGTCTATATGAAAACTCCGGAAAACGTCCTTAACAAGATTTTTCTATTTCAGCTCCTTTGACCTAGTTTTTCATGTTCGAACTCATCTGAGCAATTACGAAGACAAGCAACCTCAAGTTTGATGACGATTGAGGCAAAAATGTGATTGCTAGAGTGTTAACGAACAAATGTGGTGGACGGACGACATACGACGGACATTCAACGATCTTAAAGCTCACCTTGAGCTATCTCAGATGAGCTAAAAAGGCACAATGCAATAATTTCAGTCAACACGTACCTTCTAAGCATGCAGGATATTTGCATACAAATGGCAACAATCCACTAGCATCATACATCATTACTTCATTTTTTGGATCAACAGCAGTGGCATTACCACCCATCAAGTCAGGTTGTCTATTACCCCATCTTGGTATCATTTCTAATGGAACATCCCCTCCCAAAATCTTCCATTCATCATCAGATTCTTTCAGTAGCCCTAACAAGATAAAAATTGCAATGCACATAAGAAAAAACAACAAAGTTATTAAAATATACTGTCTAATAGGAATCAGTATTCATTGCCTCTCTAATGTGATTCAGGATTTGTTTGTAGGAGCTACCATTTATATTAAATCTTTCAGTCACTTTTCCACATTTTGGTGAAAGGAGGCAGAGCCCATTAGGTGGGGAAAATGTGTCCTTAAAGGCTACTTTGGGGGATGAAAGTATAGACGAGGGTTGAAACAATTGCTGCTTCATGTATTCTTTTCAATTTCACAATGATTTAAACATCAATGGCCTAGCACATTTCCATTTTATGCTTTCTTTAGTTTATAATCACCCAAAAACATTCTATGTTTTTTTTTAATTTTAAAAAACCTTTTAGGTGAGATTGGTTGCATACTTTTCCAGTTGGGGGATTGGGCCTAATTTCAACCCTATAAAACCATTAAAAAGTGGCTAGTTCTACATACAGCACAGAGATATTGTTAAGTTTTTACATGTGCTATATACAAAAAAAGATAAAAGATTAACATATGTTGCTACCTACCAAACCAAATCTTTTTAGGCAGCAGCTTTGCAACATAATCATGATATTCAATTTCATCTCTAGGGTAGTATGGCTTACTTCCTTGTCTGAAAATAAAGTACATTGTATTTTTAATGACTTATCAATAAAATTAAAGCAATGATTCTATTACTTTCATGAAACTGAAAGTTTTTAAGCATGTGGAAACCATAAGAAACTGGATCTGTTCATTATTTTTTCTGATTTTTTAGCTCAATTTTAAAACACCTTTATGATCAAATCTCCATATCTCAGCTGTTGAGCCACATTACCATGATATCTTACCAGTAATAACCAGTTTCTCCACCACTTACCATTAACTCATCCCACACAATTTCTGGATCAGCGTTGCTACAGTAAGAGCATTACACTGAATGCTTGAAATAAAATTTCTCAAAGAAATTATGCCAACCTAGAGCATTGAACTAGCGTACCCTTGATTACCCTCTCACTTTATGTATGTTTGTAGTCTATGCTCAATGAGAGTCCATCCGCCCATAAGGGCACACAATTCAGCTTTCGCTGTCGAGTACGGACCCCGGAGACATGTCACCAGTGTTAAAGAGTTAATTTTGAAGCACAAAGTGGTGATAATTCACCTTCGTGCAATTTCCACGGAGAATAAGCCGAAGATATGAATTTTGAGCGAAAAGTAGGTCACTGTTCGGCGGTCAATGAGAACCTAAATGTACAGTTACCTGAGACAATATGAAAGGGTAGCCCTGAAAATGGCTGTTGGTGCCAGCAAAAGGCCTGCCGTTCAAGCCGTCTAATCGTGCCAGGGGGTCACGTACCCTAACACACCATCCTCATCCACCCGAAGCCTACTTTGTAGGGACACTCCACTCGGCTTTAGTCAGGACATCGGCAGCTGGTCCGCAGTACAAGTGTCGATCTTTACCGCCGTCCAAGTCTTCAAATCTTCTGCCGATGCCCTGTGTCTACTCAACGACGTACACGTACCGAGGGGAACAAAGAAGTCCCCAGGGTTTAGATTTGGACCCCTTTATTTATAGATTTTATTTATATAGGGTTTTTTTATTCCATTTTAGGTTTGGTCTCCTAGCTGCTTAGCAGGGCATGTGAGTGGCTGGTAAACAATTTGTTTTGGATATGGTCAATCACGTTTCATTCAAATATGGAGAATTATGTTAGCATTTAACCAGGATAAATCAGAACTCACTTTGGTTGGATCCCTAACTATGGTCATTGTAACAACCCTAACATGTAACTGTCAAACCGGAAAGGGTGGAAGTCAGATGATGGATTATAGCATCTGGACAAAGTTTATATTTTAGATAGTTATTTTTTTAAATACTTACCCCGAACAGACGACATTGGCGTCGGCCACTGTAGCTGGGACATCTATTGCCTTGTAACAGTTGCCGTCGTAAAATGAGAAACCTAGATAAAACAAAACCAATATAGATGTATCTGCATTTTTATAATCTTTTATTAACATTACATTTATTTATTTCAGCCTTGCTATAGCCGAGAAAAGCCTTTAGTTTGGAACTGTTTCTTCTTGAATTCATCTAAAATCATATACAATTTTTTTTAAATATCTCTGATTTTCATGACTTTAATTTTTCCTCCTTCAAAATGTTTACCTGCTGTTATGATAAGACCTAACTTTATGATAAGCTCAACTTCTTAAAGATTTACATATTTCAGAGTGAAGCGAGTATCTGACTTTCGTATATTTTTTTTTATAAATTATGTATCATAGACATTTCAATACCTTTTGAACATTCGAAGGTTATACCGTTCAGTGTTCCTTTATCATGAACACCCTTAACAATCTGAAAAAATATAATAAAACAAAGTCATTATAATAGAAATTGGCAGGGTGGTTTTATAGAGTCACGCAGGGTTATATATGATCAACTAATTGACATGTCTATATTGAGTCAGCAGACCAACGCAGTGCTTGAAGCACCGTAGAGGCACGGGTAAGTAAGTAAGTAAAGTCTTTATTTACTGAGGCAACACATTTGATTACCGGCCTCAAAACATAAATATACATAAAATATACATAACTTACACCATGGTTATACAGTGAATTTTTCAAATAACATACATTGTACATGAAAACACAACATGCATAATATATATATATGAAAACAACAACAACAAAAAACAATGTACATTCAAACAAAATACAAAGGCACATTTTGCCTCAAAAACAAATAAATTAGAAAGGGCAAACATAAGTATTATAATGTTTAGATAATGGTTTAAGAGAATGTTACATAGTTGTTACTTGAAAAAATTAGGACGAAGTGTGAAATAATTTGTCATTTAATTAGGAAATTTAAAAAAGAAGCATTTTGACTTCCAAACTAAATACTATCTCATATTAAACAGAGGAAAATGATATTTCAGGCCATTGGTAAATGAGTCACTTTTTGGATCACAAAAATTAGAGGGCTTTTAAGGAATAAAGATAAAAGCATTTATGAGACATAATGGACCTTTAAAGGGAAAATTAAATTGTGATTGTTTTGCTAAAAAAAAGAAAGTGAGTTAATATTTCACATACGATATATGTAATAGATGAACTGACACAGGAAGTTAACTGCTCACAAAGAAAACAATGACTAGATCGTCACCTCATGCAGGATGTCACACACTGTATATATAAACTTTATTATTATCATTGAAAATACAATTTTACTGAACCTTAAAATTATTTTGAAACTTACGCAAGAACCACGTGACAGACAGACAGGTGTTCTTGTATTCCAAGCTATACAAGCCAAGAATGAAAAGTATGCAATAAAGAATATTATGTGTCGAAGCGTGGAAAGACCTTCATTCCTACCTTGTGCAAAAATAAATCCCGGTTTCTACACCGCGTACATTATAAAATAATATCAATATTATCTTTTATATAATTATGCCCCTACTTCGAAGAAGAGGGGGTATATTGTTTTGCACTTGTCGGTCTATCCCGTCCGTCGGTCCGTCGGTCCGTAGACCAAATGGTTTCTGAGTGATAACTAAAGAACCCTTAGGCTTAGGAACTTCAAACTTGTTATGGTGATTGGTCATGACCAGTAGATGACCCCTATTGATTTTTTGGTCAAGGGGTCAAAGGTCAAGGTCATATTGACCTTTTAGGTAAAAACGGTTTCCGATCAATAACTAAAGAACCCTTAGGCCTAGGAACTTCAAACTTGCTATGGTGATTGGTCATGACCAGCAGATGACCCCTATTGATTTTTGGATCAAGGGGTCAAAGGTCAAGGTCACATTGACCTTGTAAGTAAAAACAGTTTCTGATCAATAACTAAAGAACGCTTAGGCCTAGGAACTTCAAACTTGGTATGGTGATTGGTCATGACCAGCAGATGACCCCTATTGATTTTGGGGTCAAGGGGTCAAAGGTCAAGGTCACATTGACCTTGTAAGTAAAAACGGTTTCTGATCAATAACTAAAGAACGCTTAGGCCTAGGAACTTCAAACTTTGTATGATGATTGGTCATGACCAGTAGATGACCCCTATTGATTTTGGGGTCAAGGGGTCAATGTCATATTGACCTTGTACTTAATGACGGTTTCTGACCAATAACTCAACAACTCAAGTTGCCTTGGTTGATATTTTTATATTAAACTAAAAATGCTTTTGGTATACACATTTGAAGGTCTTATGTAATATAACAACTTGGCTGTCATTAATGAGGCCTACATGATTCATAAAATTTATGCATATATTATTTGGTAAGATTTGTAATAACTTAAATTGCTGCACACAACCTATGGGGTCACAATAATTATTACCTTGTGACTAGTCATGACCAGTAGATACTAGATAACCCTTATTAATTGTTTGATCACTGGGTCAGAAGTCATGCATAATAACCTGATCACATGACTAATTGGCTGCCAATAGGGGGCATACATGTTTTACAAACATATCTTGTTTATATATAAGTTAAGCATGGGTTTATACAACTTTCATGTATAAACTGCAGTTCTGCTGTCTTTGTTAAATATTTACCAATCCCACAAGAAACAAGGAAGTCACGATTTCGTCATCGGTTATTGATCATGTTTCGACATTTAAAAAAAAAGAAATCAAGTTAATTTAATTAGGTTTTCAATAGTTCACACGTACATTTAATTAACTGCGGCAAGGAAGTAAAACAACACAATAAAAGTTGTTTTTTCTGTACTGTAAAAATAAACTTGAAATCAAACATTAACATACTCTGTATTCTTCTGTTTGAACGTGACATCCACTGGTAGCAGGGCATAAATCATATGTTATGAAGGTGATGGAATACATGATATTAATTCTTGTCGGAAAGAACACCCCGGTACACCGTTGTTACGATGTGATTTCCAACATTACATTGCTTGCTCGTATAACTTAAAAAGTTTAGAATCATTGTGGAATATATGCTTGTCACTCTCACGACCATTTATAAAAAAAACCCATAAAAGCTTTCCAAAGAGTAAATCTAAAGCGTAGAAACAAGTTCTCGAATAAAAGTAAATGATATGACATTAAGAATATTTTAGAATAAGAGTTAAAAACTTTAAAAGTTTATATTACATAATTACATGTATATCGTAATTCTCCGTCTCCAAACGTATATAACGTATGTAAATGCATAACACAAAAATAATTCCCTACACTGGGAACGAGGAGATAATTGAATAGAACTGTTATATAATTTTGACATTATCGGTTCTGACGAGAGGTTCTGAGCTAACAGGTCATATTATTACATGCCACCTACCCTTATATATACAGGTGAGATACAATTTATTGATAACAGCCACCAGAAAACTTCACTACCATTTATATTTGTCCTAAACACTTGAAAATCATTTTATCTGATAGATATTAGGTTAATTATAAATAATTGACTGCATTTAATGCTATTTTATTTTTTTCATCTTATCCAAAATTCATTTCAAAAAAATTGGCCGGGTAAAAAATTTCATGTATTCCGCCCAGAATTATGCTGTCCGGGCGGAAATATTTAAATTCCAATTTGAATTTTCTAAAAATTTTATTTATTCCAACGGAATTTCATTTTTTTTGAAATTGTCGAAATACATAAGCACATGCTTAATATGTATTTGTATGCATTTTCTTGTTGAAATAGCGTCAATTTAAGCATTTTTTCGGAAAATCCGATCGGATTTTTTCCATTAAATTTAACTGGAAAAAACTCAAATTGGAATAAACCCAAACTGGTTATTATTCCAATTGGAGTTTTTTTTCCAATATTTTTTATTGGAAATATTCCTATTGGAATTAATTCCAATTTAAAAGGAATGAAAATTAATCTAATTGGAAGTTAATATATATAAATATTTAAGGTAGTTTTATGCACTTTCCGAACTTAATAACGAAACGTGTTAGGGCCGATTTTTGCACATGGGCCGATTTGGTGTAATACTAAACTGCTGACGAATTAGCTGATGATATAGAATATATAAGAATCTGCTAACGAGTTTTAATAAAGAAGGGTAATCAAAAACTGCTGACCAGTTAGATAAAGAAGGAAAATATTGAAGATGTCAAATACGTGTCAAATAGCCGTTGGTGCTATTCTAGGCGAGGTCGAGAGATGCTTGATAAGACGTATTTTCAAGATGACAATATTACAAATAATAAATATTGATATTATAGATCTTAATTGATATTTTTCTCAATTTCTATTGATAAAATATTTTATTTCAGTATGTTAATGAATTGTCTTCAATGTGATATATATTGGTTAAAATTTAGATAATGTAGTCATAATATGGTGAACTTACATAAAAAAGAATATCATAATTTGTTTCAAATATATACATAATAATATGCATCATAGTTAAAATGTATACATATATGGTAATGTATATTATAACAATTGAATGAACAATAAGAGGATTTTATCTTTTTCATCAATTGTGATGAGCCGAAAATTAATTATTTAATGGAATAATTGCAAATTCTTTTAAACTATTTTGTTTGTGTGTGTTCACTATCCTTAAGGAACTCTGACTTGAAAATAAATGAAAATTGCGCGTAAAACTTCCTAGTTATCTGTCAGTTCGCAGCTACAAAATACACAATATCGAGATCGACTTGGCCCAAGGTCATAACAATTTAAGGAATTTTCACACGTGTCATTCTTAATTTGTCTATTATGAACGCAGATGGATTCATGTAGCAACCGACAAAATACAATAAACAGATCAGTCCAAAATATATTATTAAATAATTAAGTGAAAATGCTGACAAGTTATATATAGAGAGAACAATGATATTTTGGCATGAAATCGTTATTCATCTTTTAATGTCTGCAAAGTTAATGCATTGTATAAATCATGCTGACAATTGAATTTAGTAAAACCTGCTGACCAATTATTTTAGATATCTATTCAAATTGATTTAAGCCACAAAACTCTTCTTATTCAATATGGTCAGCACATTTAACACTCTTTACATTCAGAAAATATATTGTATAAAATCATGCCGACCATTAAATTTGTAAAAAAAACTGCTGAATAGGATCAGCTAAATTTTAATTCAAATTTATCTAAGGCCATAAAATTTCTTATTATATATGGTCGGCAAATTTAATGCTCTTTACATGCAGGCGAGAAAATGCTGACCAGTTAGATATATAGAGAAAAATGATATTTTGCCGTGAAATTGTTATTCATTTTGTCTGAAAGAAGTCTGCAAAGTTAATATATTGTGTATAAAGTCAAAATAAATGCAGATATATATATATAAATAAAGTGAAAATTGTATTCACCCATCCAACCAACCAACCCAAAGACTCAGAATCA